ACATATGCCATTAGAAACCTGTCAATGGGCCGATGGGAATGTGTAGAGTAGGGCTCGAGATTGGTTGAAGCGAGAGGTTGATGTGGGACTTTAGGAATCAAAAATGGACAAAAGGAATGTTGAAATGATTGTGGATCGTGAAATGGGTGACGTAGAAAGGAGCTTTGAAATTTGTCTGAGGACTTTTGATTGGAAGAATTGGATGAGCAGCATGTTGAATGGCTTGACAGAACCGCAGAGTTCTGCTGCAAGGAGTGGATGGAAGCGATTAAATTCACAAAGCATGCACGAGTGTCAGACCCTTTCATAAGCGCAAGGTGTTCTTGGATTTAGGAGGTACTGAGAGCTTAATATCGCGCACATACCTACAAGATTTCTAATGAAGTTATTAATTTTAGCGCTACTGAGAGCGAGAAATTTAGAAAGCCGTTGGTTATTTTAAAGCAACACACTGCTTCTTTGAACTTCAGTCTAAAAGAGAGATACTAGTAGAGCATTATATCACGCTCGCAGTATCGGAATAAAGGCAGGATCGTGATGCCACACTCTCAGTACCTCACTGGAAGCAAGACCGCGATATCACGCTCGCGGTATCGGAATAAAGGCAGGATCGTAATAGTACGCTCTCAGTTCCTTACTAGATATCACGCTCACTATCCTGAATGGGACAATTGAGAATGGTTTTATTCAAAAAACGTGCGAAAATTCAAAGTTGTTTAAAATAATCATCAATTTCAATTGAATCAAGCATTTGAAATAGAGTGAGCATTCCGTTATTCACATAAATTAGTAATTATCGCCAAAGCACATAGTAAGAAGTTGTACGGCACATCCAAAAGTAGCATCAAGATTTACCCTCACGCGCTTTGAATTGGCTTAGATTTATCGAAGAAGTTAACGAAGCGTCTCTTTGAAAGCAATCAACAAAAGCTATTTTTGCATAATCTCTTAAATACACGCGGCATTAAAACACGTGAGCAGACAGGCGACAAGAATGGCTAATTTACTCTTGAGGTGAGAGTGAGAGAGCTGTTAGCTTGTTTCTCCCAAGTTTAGTACTGTCAAGTTAGTTCTACATTTCGCTTAGAGGTAGAATCAAACCCACTGTTAAACCGACTAGTTTGACTCATGTTGCCTTTACCCACGCAATCGAGTTTATCTGTTGGTATATCGTTGAAAAACAAGATGATTTATACAAAATTAATTTTTAATGCTTTAATAACATTTTTACATTTGTTGGAGGAGGAACGATGTCTCATTTTCAAAAAAAAGAAAAACATAAACTGAAAAAATAAAACAACATATACATTGAATTAGTTGAAAATAATCTCAACCTGTTAACTGTCCTCTTCCCGGCAAATAACTTGAAACAGCTCATCTGGACCGCTACAAAAAAACTGTTAAAATATGACTCATATCAGCTTTTTCTCCCCATCCGTTTACGTAATGAATCAAGGGTCAGGAGCGACAAAGATCAATCTAACATATTTGCAGCTCACATACACATTTACTCATCATCAAGGCATAAATGATGCTCCTCATGCACAACAGGTATAACCTTACTATACCAACTTCATCTCCCTCTCAAACCATTTTCATCCTTCTGAATTAAGTTACATATTCACAAATCCCCAAGTGGATAATGACATGATATGATAATAACCTTCCTTATTCTTCGAAACCTCCCATAAAGGTTATCTTAGCGACTAAATATAGTGCCATGCTACGAAACCATTCATTATCCTCTCTTTTGGAAATATTTGGTCGTTATTTTCATTCTTAAAACCCACAAATCTCCCTACCATATGTCCTTCTAGACCGTCATCCGTCTCCCTGTAATGTCCAAAATCTTTGATGATCTGCTTTTAATGTTCTTAATACCCGTCGTAGATACTTATGAAATCACTCCATCTCATCAATTCGGATTCCGTTCCCACCATCCAACAAAGTTTCAGTAATGTCGATATCATGTACTTTGCTCTAGAAAGCATGGAGTATTGCTTGGGTGCGTTCGGAATGGTTGGATGCATAGGCTTTTGATAGGGTAAGGCACCCGGGCATGCTTTGAAAACTTAGAAGTCTTGCCTTATGTTAAGGTATCCTACCTTCCCGACCGCTGCTACGTGAAAGAAATGAGACCTGTACAAGCCAGCATTCTTGATCTCATTGTTTACATCATTTACATTGCGGACCTAACTGCTACCCTAATACCACCTATGCGGACGATACCACAATTTTGTCTTCTAAATCGAATTCTATCCAAGCACCTCCAAAATCCAACAACACGAGCTTATCGACGACTGGTGCAAAAAGTGGAAGACGAAATTTGGAATGAAGAAAAATAATCTCAGTGTACGTTCACTTTGAAAAAAAAAACAGTCTTGCCCTCGATACCTACTTCTCTGGGCTCTGCCAAGCCATCCAACATCCAGCGCATCCAACCATTCCAATCAAAAGTCCTCAGACAAATTGTCAAATTTCCTTCAACTATCCACAACGACCATTGCATTCTTTTTGTCAACGAACTGATCCATTCTCGTTTCCAAAGGTTTCACACCAACCTGATCCTAACCATACTGCTCTAACAGTCTCTTCGTCGCCTTAACCGACGATTGCCTCGAGGCCTTACCCTTTACTCCCTCACACTGAGTTCCAGCATTGGGTCGTTTCTCATGGCATATATCACAGATAAATACTTGTCCTTAGAAATCAATTTACAAGTGAAAACAAAAATATATTGACATGAATCAGTTTTTGTCATTATTTCAAGTTTTCAATATAATATAATTATGAAGGTTTGATAAATCATTCAAAGCATCAAAAATAATTATCAGAGAATAAGTTTTTACTGTTACTGTTACATGGATAAATTGAAAACCCGAGTTTATCCTAGAAAATGTCTTTTAGGTTTTATTTTCAACGAGCCCTATTCAACCGTATCGCTTGAAAATCCTCCCGACATTGAATTGAACCACTGAACATTCTGCATTCTCTCTCACTCTCTCTCTCACTCTCTCTCTCTCTCTCTCTCTCTCTCTCTCTCTCTCTCTCTCTCTCTCTCTCCCTCTCCTTTTTTTAGCTTTGAAGGGAAAAGGCGCATGTGGAAACAACCCCCTGGGGAATTTTACGCCGGGAGAGTGAGAGAAGAACCTAAAATTGTACCTTCACATCTCAACGTCGATATTTGAGAGGCCATAAAACGCCATGCTCCCGAGGTGAAAAACAAGATTGAGCATAGCAATTCCGAATCAATGGAAAAAATATACGTCTTACAGTCGAAACGAGTCTCTAACAAAATTGGCAACCGACATAAATACAATAATACAACGATAATAAAAATTTATTGTTTTATTGCATTGTATATAAAAAGATTAAACAATTAGGCATACACATTCTAAATAACTAATATAATTATAGGTCTATGGAGTACTCAAATTTCGCCTTCGGCCGTCTCACACGATTTTTTTCCTGGTCAACTAAAAATTCAACTACTTTCCGACTGTATACGATTCCTTTGGTGCGGGTCCACCACTGCTCAATTTCGCCTGTATCTCAGGGCCAATCGTAATCAGTATGACTTGCCAGGGTACGACACTGTTGGTTAGTATGTTCATCGGACGAGAAGCTGAAAAGCTTCACTCTCTATACGTCCGAAGGATTGTGAGAGCCTCAAGGCCGTTAGGGAAAGGGTGAGGACGATTTTCGGGAGTTGTTTAATCCCGAAAACCACTAATAAAACACCAGTTGCTTGAAGGAAATGTTTCTAGTGTAGTTCCGTGAGGGCTTTCCTTTAACACCGAGTATTTCCATGCCTTGAGGCCTGCGTTTTAATATGCCACCGCGAGTGCCGGGATAAATATTCCTCCTCATCTGGGCGGCGATATCCGGCTGGGATTCAGTCTCATCGTGTGCTCGGAGAGGAGTTTCGAAGGCGATCGGGTATCCGAGTAACGGAGACCGACGATTAGGACGGAGAACCTCAAAAACAACCTAGACTTCTCAATCAAAGATCCGTCATGAAACCATCAATTGCCCAAGCGTCGCTAGCAAAGTGACCCGTTTCCACCAAGGCCGCCAAATTCTCCATCTCACCCAATACAGTCGTCTCGCCAGCACACGTAAATCCTCATAGGTGGTGGACCATTTTGCCAAATCAAGGCGGTTGCCGCCTTACTTAGGTGTGTCCCCACCCCCGGTTAACTTCATATAGCCGCCTGATACATGGGTCAGCAGAAGAACCCAGAAAAGGTGGAATATTTCCTAGTCCCACCTCCGAATGACCCCACCCAGCCTTTCCAGCGAAATGATAGATGGAGTATCCATCACTAGACGGTAGATCCTCCTCGGTATCAATCTCTTGGCCAGGTCTAGCTTCCGTCGGAGTTCAAGGTCAAACGTTACCTCTAGTTCCTCGAGTGCGGCGTCCCTATTCAGGCCAGTTTTGGAGAAGCACTGTATAAATAGGTATTCAATCTACCTGTGCGGGGATATGGCGAATCGCCTTTCCGCACTATAGTAAGACATGGATCGTCCGCATAGCCGGCCATCCTTCTCCGCCTCATGTAAAGGCAGAGTGATTTTCTGGATTTTGGCCCGAACTTTGAGAAGTGCGAGGAGGCTCTATTCATCATGGTTTGTGCCCTGTCGGATGTACTTCAGGTTAGTGTAATGTCATCGGCGAATGCAAGAACCCGGCGGCGGCCTCTGACCTGCCGATGACTCCAGGTCTCTAATAATGGGGTCGACCACCAGCAATGGGTCTACGCTACACATTCACACTAATAAATACATTCAACCGCAATATACACTAAAAAGAAACAAAAAACAAGATATCAATTACATATATGTATGTGTATATATCAATACGTAAAATTAGTACAAATATGTGAGTATTATATGTATTTTCTTTGTTCATTATTACTTCCCACTTATGCGTAAAATAATTATTGCCCGGGGCATTTTAAATAATGACACTAATTTAAATTTTTGTCTTTTTACAGGTTTCGGTCTGTCAGTCGAGATGCAGGGTCCACATTTCATAGTTGAACCTCCGCACAAAGTTGAATTTTCCAACAGCTCCGGTGCCAAAATCGACTGTTCAGCACACAGCAGTCCTCCATCGAAGATCGACTGGGTTCTAGGTAATTTATCAATACAAATCCTACTAGAAATCACAAAAATGGATAAATCCAATTAATCATTATAAAATATTTCGTTTTATTGGCAGTTCGACAGCAGTTTAATTAAAAAGGTTACCACTATATCGATAAACTAATGTGAGAATAAAGAGATGAGTTTTCACTGAACTTTTTTTTAACCTAGGAGTCGTTTTACCATCAGGTAGACTGATAGACTGCCTCTAAATCGTGCTCTTCTTCTTGAAGCGCTTCTCGGACACACATCCTTGCCTCACACCAGCCCAAACCGAAACTTATAATGATTCAGTATAAAACAACAAACTTAGACCCATATCCAAAATAACCATATCTAAGAGACATTGGAATAAAAATGAATGGTCTGACTTTAACCCTTTATGGTCCAATGTTATCTTAGAGCAAGATGAACATTAGCAATTTTGTTAAAAATTTAGCGGGAAATCCCCTAAATACTAAATTTTTTCAGAGAGTTTAGATTGGTGCCAAATAAATCAGTGTTAGCAATACACGGGCAGAAACATAGCAGGAACGACACTGCTCCCGCCCTAATCTCACGGGGTTTCCTGCCAACTTTAAACAAAATAGCAAAATTTAGTAACTTTAGGCCAGAAAATTATAAACTGGATATAAATAATTTTACCTTTGGCAAACATAACAATCGATAAAAGATGTAGTGGTGGAGTGAAGAGCCATGATGGAGGTGGAAGGTTTCAAGAAGAAGATTTTAGATTGGCACCAAAAATATCAGTGTTGCCAATACACGGGATGAAACAGTGAAATAAAAACACTCTACTCTCCTTAAAATCATGGGATTAGCTAAGCTTTAGAAAATTTGCTAAATTTGGTGTTGCCCACAGGCAAAGTTGCGCAATAAACGGTTAAGTCTCTGTAAATCATGAAATGTTCTTTGCCTCAGCTCATAATAGGAAGCGCTAAAATAAAATCATATTTGTCCTTCCGTCTTACTTCAATTACACTTTGATACTGTCTCGCCTCTTGGTCTAATAAAACTACGTCCAAAGCGCAATTCGTGTCTTTGTGTGCCCGTTAATTATACATATCAACATGCTACTCAAATTTCAAATAAAATTTAGCTTTATTTCTCCTTTAGATGTCCCACCGAAATATGCAATTGAATAAAATCTTCCACATAACCGTCTATACAGGATGTCGTGAATGGACGTCAATCCTTCAGGAGGTCATCCTCCATGTCAAATTGGATAAAAAAGCCTATTATCCGAAGTCTGATTTTCTATTGTATAGGAGATATTTCACTTTTCAGATTGCTTCAACCTTACACAACCACGTACCATAAAGTCTTCATAAATCACAATAATTTCTTGGCTTCCATTCGACGGAACCCTTAGACACGTGTTTCATATTTTTTGACCTAATATTACCAAAAATGTTTCATTGAAATAGGTGACCTCATGACAGTAGTGACCCCTTGTGAGTGTTTTCAGTGTTATTGATTTTTTTTTAAATTTATAAAGGCTTAATTCTGCCCACATCTGCACTTGAGTACATACATGTGCCGAACCGAGTCTATGTCGTTTCAGTCACGAGTTAGAGTTGTCTATTTTAACCTACACACACACTTTCTTTCACTCATTCTTTCTTATTTAAATACCTGGTGACCTTGGTTACAAGTTATCTCCTAGTTTATTACTTCTTCAACGTTAGTCTCGTCTTCCATGTCGTAGCCAATGAGCTTTTAGCAACTCTACCTATAATCATTCACCTTGAAAATAATCCCAAACAAACGCCTGGCGAACCATGCTCTCTTGCCTATTGTTTACCTTTGATATAATGCTAAATTCTTTTACTCAGTTGTTATTGAGAATTAATAACGCCAAGATGGAACGCACCCTTGAACAAAACCGTCATGCCATCATCGCANTGCCTTCGACACTCTTGTATTACACACATTCACGCATATAAATACATCCTCACGAAACATTCAAATCATAGTTAACCGTATTTAGTGTATACAACAATAGGACTACTTGCAATAAACAAAAGGTTTTATTATCACAATAAACCGTTTCCTCCAGCAATCGGATTAGGAGACCCAACGATTGGCTGCCCTGGTCGGACACAATTCTTATATCGGGCGGCATTCCTACCCGCTCTTTATATGGAGCCAAAGAATGTGTAGGGCACATTGAACAACCTTTCTCTGCATGGCGGCCACATGGCCGGGCTTTGGCCAATTCTTTTAGTTTTACTATACACTGACAGTACTGATGACTTTCCTTTCATTTTCTCGATAGCAAAAATTCTACCATTAATTTGTTTCATTGTTTTTATCAGTAAATATTTGTTTATGGTATGTTTTAAATTGGGAATATCAATTAAAGGTAAAAACTTAATCCAAAACTTAATCCATAAAGGATTTTTCAATGCTTAATTTTTACGGAATTTAAAATTTTTATTCAGTATTTGAATTCTGAAGCAATAAACTGTTTAGTTTTCATCTTTGTTTTCTTAATTTCAATTTTTAAACATAAAAGTGCCGAGGATGTTGCGCGTGGTGTGGCACTTATTGCTGATGGTCGTTCCATCGGGTATGCGGCTATTGCCATCGGAGTTCCCTACGAAACACTGCGAGACGCGGTTAAACGTTTTCGATAAACTGAGTCCTACCATAGAAGGCTCGGTTCTGGACACCCTAGGGTAACAGGACCACAGGATGACCGTTTTTCGACTTTGAGAATTTTGAGAAACCGGCAATCAGTTGATCAAGAGATTCATCAGCACCAGGAAGTTCGAGGTTTCCAAATTTCTGAACGCACTGCTCGAAGAAAATTAAAGCAGTAAGAACTAATGGCTTTTTGCCCTGTAAGGGGACCAGAATTGACCAAAACACACAGAGTTGCAAGGCTTCCATTTGCTCGAGAAAACAGCCATTTTAGACGATTGATCTGCTTTAGATTTGCTCTACGATCTCCAGATGGGCGTGAAAGAGAGTGAAAAAGGCGAAATGAAAGGTACGAAGCTTGAGATGCCGATGGTTTAATATTGAGGACCTCATCGACTAGATTAGCTTTACAGTTTGTGTGTACAGTTCTGGAGAAATCCACGCGCATTGAGTAAATGATAATGTGCATACGAATTTATTTAAGAATGAATGTGTGTTTAAATTAAAAACCGCATGTTTTGGGACAAAAATACTAGCTGACAAATAGACCTGGAGCCTAATTTCAGTGGTCTGGAGGGACAAAACCGATATCTGACCCGCATTGCCAACAACACTGTAGCAATAAAATTATGATTTCAATTATTAATTTATATGTTTATGTGCAGGCACTTTATTGTTACTTTTGTGCGATAATTGGCTTATGTATTTATTTTTGTCTTGGTCTCCCGAGTTTTGGAATGTACAGGGTATCCCGTGAATATTTCAGGGGTTATCCTATACGTCGAATTGGACTAAAAAGACTTGTCTCAGGGAGGGTTCTCGAATGTAGTCGAAAAATTTCATTTTTCAGGTTACTTCAACCGTTCACAACTTTAATCCACAAAACCCAACTTTTCCCATAAACTGTAAATTACATTACATCAATGGAAAGAATGATGAAACCTCCATAAGTTTCATTTGTATTGTATTATTACCGTAAGCAAAGAAATACAAAATCACTTAGAAAAGAAACTTTTACGAGTTTGAAAAGTTCTTGTCTGAAGTTGAAGTAAGATTTACTTGGTTCTGTAAATACTGACAGAAAAGCTTACAGAAAAGTTGCACTATTAACGACCAATAAACACAGTACTGAATTTCTCAACGGTCAATTGTCACCAATGTAAATATAACATTTACTTGCTAAAAATTTTATTTTTCTGTTGTAAACAATTTGCAAAAACATAGTCATTAATAATTTGAAAGTTAAAATATAATGTAAGTGATATAAACAAAAAAGATATGTTGGTACAGAATTTAGCATAGGGAAAAACAAAAAGCTTCTAAAAATTAAATAAAGTATTCTGTCTACCTTGCGAAAGAATGCAAATCTGACATCGTTTACTGGATTTTCAACATTTAATTTAATTAATTAATATTTATGAAAGGTATTGGTTGAGATAAAAAAGTTAGCGTCACGAGTGGGATTCGAACCCGCGATCTTCGGCTAGATACGCCGGTGCTCTACCACTTGTGCTATCGTCACTTCGATCCGATCGACCACTTCCCATCTCAACCTCACCTCTCGAATTTTCCCTCTTTTTGCCATTTTTCGAAGTCACGATAGCTCAAGCGGTAGAGTAGCGGCGTATTTAACCGAAGGTCGTGGGTTCGAATCCCGCTCGTGACGCTGACTTTTTTATCTCAACCAATACCTTTCATAAATATTAATTTGAAAAATGTTAATTGGTCAATCGGACCACGAAATCTAATGGATTTCATTTAATTTTTTGAAGCTTTGCAGCTTACATCAATTTTGTACCAAGAGGGTCTTTGCATCTTTTATTTTTTAACCGTTTGTAACCGAAAAATTAAATTTTTAGCAATGAAATACAACTAATTTTCCATTATTCATAGCTGTCATTTGAGAAATTATGTACATGTGATTAATCTTCACTAGTAGAGGCAAGTTATCTGTAAACGCCATATTTATCAGTATTTACAGAACCAAGAAAATCTTACTTGTTTGTGTTTAAAGTTTGTGTTGGTGTGGGTGGTTGGATTGTGCATTTATTAAGTTGTCTGTCCAACACAAAATTTCAGCACTGCGACACACAGACTAAAAACAATCCCACTCAAAACCGAAAAATACAACAAAGAACTACAAACAATAACAAACATTGCAATAAAAAACGGATACAAAACAAACACCATACAGAAACTTCTAAAAAACAAAACAAAACAACGAAACAACGAAACACAAATCAACAACAAATGGACAACATTCACATACACAGGAAAAGAAACCTACAAACTAACAAATCTGTTCAACAAACTCGGACTGAAAACAGCACTAAGGACCAACAATAACACAGGTAAACTACTAAAAAGAAACATAGACACAACTAACCCGCTTGACAACAACGGTGTTTATAGCATCACATGTCAATGCGGATACACTTACATCGGACAGACTGGAAGGAAACTAAGAGATCGATTCAAAGAACATCTTAGATCCTTCAGAGACAATGACGGAAAATCAAATTACGCCACACACTTAATACACTACAACCACGAACCAAACACAATAGAAACAAGCATGACATTAATACACAACGCACAAAAAGGACGAAAACTAAACATACTGGAGAACCTCGAGATATACAAACAAATAACACTTAAAGACGGAAAACTTATAAACGCACAAACAAACTCACAATCACACACCACCTTCACACCACTAAAAACACTCCATAACAAAAAACGAAAACGTTCAGAAGAACAAAACATCGCAACCAACACCAGGAAAAAACAAAAAACCGACAACGCACAAATAATAACTGACAATGAAAATAACCGCCACCAAGACCGACCAACGAGCACGGAGACCACGCCCCCTAACGCAACGCCCCCAGCGACAAGCGACGGACGCAACAATATATAAACCCCACTCAGACTGAATGACAGACAGTTTTTCACTGAAGATGGCGTAATGCCGAAACGCGTTTGAATAACTCAAACAAAAAACCCGCGAGTGAAGACAGACCCAGTAGTGCCCGTGTGCCGGTTCAACATGAGTTCGCCAACCCGCAGACCACCCCATCATCTACTATATATATATCTTTATTTAGTTTTTTGCTGTCCTGTAATTAAAATTCAACAATCCGTTTATGCTTAGTATAAAGATGTGATAAATTAAATCCTTGATTTTGTCTTCCAAAAACTTAAGGAAACGCAACCTTCTCTCATTGGAAGAGTGTCGGAAGGGCTCGATCGGTAGAAAGAGTGGGTGAGTGAAAGGGAGAGAAATAATGCTCGGGGGGGGTAAGTAAACTGTCAACCGCCTCAAATGTCTCCCTTTGCACCCTTGCTAATGACCTGTTTGTTTCAACTTAACTCCCGCCACCCTCCACAGCCTCAGGTCTTAATTGTGAATTCGACTAAAAACTTTTTACTCTAAGATCTATAACTCTGAATTTAACTTAGAATAAACTCAACATTTGCATTCAGGCCCTTATTTGTTTATAGGCGATGTAATGAGGAGAAATCATTACTACGTCTGGGTATTTTTCCGTAGATTTTGTGTAGGGGCCGACCAACAGCTTAGTCATCGCCGGTCCTCTGCGCGTTCTCATTTCTTTTTCTGACCTGTGGCAGTCAGAAATACAGTACAGCTAAGGGCAGTCAAGGTCCTCAGTACTGCTTAGAGACTAGCATGGTTAATAAATAACACTACCCAATTTATATAATATATGGGCAATATGCCACTGTCTTTCAAGTGGAGACTGTGGCTAATGAACAATATGCCTAGGATATTAAAACGCTAGGTACTTTTAACAGAAGAACAGCATTCTACTCGAATAGTAAAGTCGTTTGGGATTACATTATGGCTCTGTCGACATTGGGAGAATCTGGGCACTCAAGGCAAGGGGACAACAAAAAGGCGGATAAATTGTCCAAGGAAAGTACGGAGAAAACACCTATTGACCCTGAATCCTTCTGTGGCCATACTGCCAAAAACGTGGATTCATTAGATAATCGATTAAAAGCACGTCCTCCGCTCAATTGGAATGTAGTTCAGGACAGAAACAAACTAACGCTACTAAGCCAGGACTAGAATGATAGAACTGCTGACTTGATCCTGCAGAATCTGGAGGCATAGCGACTTGGGGTAGCAGAAACATGAAGAAATAGCGGAATATGTCTTCTGGTGAGAAAGCTTATGCAGGCTAAGATTCCGACTCTTTGGATAGGAAAAGCCCGGGCCTGAAGGATAGTTAGAGAGTACTCGAAAAAGCTTTGGGATCAGGTAAAACGTTCATGAGAGCTCTAATCAACAATGGAGATGTACAGTAGACCAATACTGACCGCGGTTCTACTCTAAACTTCGTCTTCTGACTTTTTCGTATTTTTCAAACTGCAGCCATTCGAGCGTTTCGTTTATGTTCGTACACTTTGTTTAAACAAATTCAATTTGGAGTGGCGCCATTGTGCGGGGTGTGCATTAAACCTCAACACGATTGCCATTGACCCAGTTTTTCACCGATTCACCCTCGCTAGTGTCTACTATTAAGGATCCAAGAGAAAAAGGAATTCTCTCCACCTCCCGTCCTCTCACCGCCTGTGGATTTACGTTTATACATTCCTGTGCGAAGAACAAGAAAAGAAGGTGAGCCGTGTGGCGTAAACGAAAAGGGTAGAAATAACTTAAATGTCACTGGATTTACGCTAATTTCATCAGAAAGACGATCTCCGGCGGTACTTACCATTCGTAATGACTTCAAATTTTAACTGCACGTGTTTCCATTATAACAGATGGCTTTTTGGAGGGGGTAAAGAATATTTGCTTGAAAAATCAATCAAACATATAAAACAGGTAATTATTTCACGCCTTTACTTTGTCTAAAGCTGTTGGGAATTACAAATATCAACCAAATATCGCCAAAAAGGATTTTTTTAAATGAAAAAAATTGGAATTTTATCTCAAAAGGTTTTCTCAAAAAAAGGAGCATTAGTGAGGAATGTCTTGGTAACGTGTGGCCCATCTTTCAGAATTAATGACTACTTAATTTCCTAATCGACTTTGTTGACAATTAAATCTTAGGATCTCTTTTAGGATCTTCTAGGAATTTTCTCAGAGGCTTGAAGAGAAACCATTGATAACCAAGATGGCACCCGGCCCACAAAGGCATCAAATTATTAGCTAATATAAATACGAATATTTTGTTTAATTATATTCAATCTAATTTACTTTTGGGGTAGTGACACCCCCAAAGGAACACACAAAAGAACCAGCGAAAATAGGGAGGCCAGGACACTAGGTTAACCCGAGAAATATCCAGTACCGTTGGGTTATGTGAACGAAGTATAGTGAATGTAATTTATTAGCGCAAATGTGGACTTAAACCAATTACCCCGAGGAATATCGAATACTGTGGGGTAGTATAAATGAAGTATGGTGTGAATGTATTTATTAGCGCAAATGTGGACTTAACACCAATTACCCCGAGGAATATCGAGTACTTTGGTGAAGTATGTATGAGTGTGTGAATGAAGGGGCTTATTCCCAATCACCGCAAGGAATATCGAGTACACTCAGATAGTGAAAACGCAATCTGGTGTAAACATTTAATATTTTAGCGCAAATATAGGGCTTATCCCCAAATATCCAGATGAATATCGAGTACTCTGAGTAGCGTGTTTAGTGACTGGGAGTTTTGTGGCCCTGAAAAGGGTGGCTGGAGTACTTTCTTCAGTCCCTCTTGTCGTAGGAAGACGTATGTTGTCGTCTTGAGGTGCTGGTACAAAGACTTTGTTATTGTTCGATGCGTCTCGTACCTTGGCCATCTGCTGTTTTAAAAGAATGATTGTTTTGTCCATACTTGATACGGAAGTAATAGGTGTGAAGAATTCTCCGGGCAGTTTCAATGGTCGTCCGTACAAGGGTGGGCGAGGAGTGAAACTTTTCTTCGTCTGACTTGGCCCATGATCCGTCGTCATTGCGATATGGAAAGGAGGAATGATGGCATAAAACGCATCTGGTCCAATGTAATCTTCCGTCATAAGGTTAGTTGTTACTGGAATCGTCCAGCTCTTTGTTTGCAGATTTCAATTAGTCTTCAGTTAGTTAAAAAGTTGGCGGTCTGAGGGATGTACCTAGTACCTGCCGTTTGGCCCGAGTTAGTCGTTTGTAAGTTATAGTTAAAAAGTTCCAATCTTTTGAGTTATCATTGAATTTACGATATAATTTTGTACCGTAGAATCAGTACAAGTAAGTTTTCTCGATGTCGACTTAGGTAAATATCGATTATAAATCGTGATCATCAGTCCCAAACTCCATCCTCCTTTCCCTTCAGCAGCACTTGCGCAACTTCTACACGTTTGTAATATTATTTTCAACACGGATAATGATTTTTTTTTCAGGTGATGGCAGCCCGGTAACGAAGGTGCCGGATTTGCGCGAGGTACTCAGCAACGGCACTCTAGTCTTTCCGCCCTTCCCTGCTGAGCTTTACAGGCACGATGTCCACAACGTTGTTTATAAGTGTAGAGCAAGCAATCCTTTGGGCATCATTATAAGCAAGGATGTCCATTTACGAGCTGGTAAGATTTCTTGTATTTCTAAATTCTATTATAGATTGTTTAATAACTGAACTTGTTAGATTTTATTTTGCCTTTCAATATTTATCTCTGATGAATATTAAAATGATTCTGAAACTCTGGACCGTCAACAGTGCGTTCCCAAATACTCGGTCGTCCTTAAAAGGACAATGAGGATCTTTAGCGTCCGTACCTCGCTCATGGTCTTACCGGACGTTTTGATTCTCAAGATGAGAGAAGACGCACCTCTGCTCACGACTGAATGTGTGTTACAGCCTCAAGAGTTGGTATAGAAGCTGTTCCAGCCCCGAGGGGGCCAAGACGAACCTCACTCCCCGCTTCCCCATTCCGAGTGGTCGAGTCCGCATTGTGCATCGAACCGTATGCCGCGCGTAAAGGTGGCCATTCACGAGCGCTCCAAGCAGGCCAAACGGAGCGACGCCGTTCCAAAAACCACGTCAATGGCAAAACTGAACCGGCTGTGCCTTAAGGTGGCCATTCACGATCGCTCCAAGCAGGCCAAACGGAGCGACGCCGTTCCAAAAACCACGTCAATGGCAAAACTGAACTGGCGTGCCCGGCTGTGCCGAATATTCGACCGGTCCAAGCTCCATCGCGCCACTCCAAATATCTACGGCGCGACGACGGCATGGCGCGTTCGTGAATGGGAAAATCTGGCGTGGAGGGTGGGGATTTTGGCGCGGTGGCCTGGTCGTGAATGGGAAAACCCTCGTTTTTTTGGCGCAGTCTCCGTCTTTCTGTCACTGAGCAAACATCTCCGTCGTACATTCTCAAAAAGTCAAAAACGTTTATTCTTTATTGGTAATGACATCCAATCGAGATTTTATTGTTGAGGTGATTGAATTGTATGAAAGTTTACCATGTTTATGAAAGTGGTGGACAATGATTATATTACCACGATAGAAATAAAAGAAATTCGATCCTCAACCAGTTGGTCGACGTTTTCAAAACAAAGGATACAAATGCAATGAGAGATGCGGTATTGATAACCCCTAACAATGATCAGAAATCGTAGTAGAGAACTTAAGTTCTTTGTAGTTCATCCCTGTAGCGAGAAATCGTAATGTGGTTGCCAACCTTTCATGTAGTGATGATTTCTCTCATGACTGTCTTTTGTTTTCTAATCAAGGGGGTAACAAGCTGGAGTAAATATAAATAAGACGTTAATCTTTTTTTTGTAAGGTTTTGGTTGAAATGAAAAAATAGTGTCACGAGGGGATTCGAATCCATGGCCTTCGGGTAAATACGCCGCTGCGCTAACCACTTGAGCTATCCTGACTTCGATAGTTCCATCCACTCGGGCACCAACTCCTCATCTCAACCTACAACCTTTCGAATTTTCTCTCTTTTTGCCATTTTTTGGTGTCGGAGAGGATCGAAGTCATGATAGCTCAAGTGGTAGAGCAGTGGCGTATTTACCCGAAGGCCATGGATTCAGATCCCGCTCGTGGCACTAGCTTTTTCATATCAACCAAAACCTTACAAAAAAGATTAAATAATTGAAAGAAGTAATTTGGTCAATAGAACACTAAATATAATGAATAAATAAGACGTTTCATCCATCCTTAAATAGTTCCTCCAATCAGCGGGTTCAAGGTATACCTAAAAGTTCTTTCATCAAATTGATATGGGTATTACGGCTTATGTTCAGGAGCCACTTCTTACGCCATTTTCTCTTCGATTTTTTGCTTATAATTTGTAAATAAACAGAAGAGTAGCACAAGAGATCGTCATCCATTTTTGAGAAGGTAATTCACTGGTTGACGTTCGGAGCGACTGGCTGTGGAGCGGTCGTGAATGCCCCTCAAATTTCAGGCACTCCAAATGGAGCTGTACGGCTTGGCGCGGTTCCATTTGGAGTGATCGTGAATGGCCACCTTAAAGGTGGCTGAAATGCATCAGCCTGGTCTCCCATGCACTCTATCTCCCAGAGTATTGGGGGCTCCTCCAGCGTAAGAACTTCCGGATCCGCTCCGGCCGAGGTTTTGTTTAAAATGGAATTGCTAACCGCCCCCTAGAGGAGACTGCCTTCGATAAAGGACGCCATTCATGTAGGCACCACACCACAATCCGTTCCCATCCGCCACTTCTCACGCATTCGAGGGACTCCGTCAGCGTAGTCTGAGCGCCTCAACGCTAAACGATTCGATGGTTTTTCTCCCGTGAGGCCGGGGTTGTAACGAAGGTCATACGCAAGTGCTTGGGCGGAGGTCACAAATAGAAGAACAACCTCTTCTCTAAGTTCCCACCAGGAGCATCTACTACGAGTCCATTCCCATGTAGCAGGGGCTAGACTTTGGAACATTTCTGTTTCGCGACGATAGCGATTACCTAAAAGACTACTAGACAAAGATCTACACTCTCCCTTAACACCAAAATAAAATATACAACTCAATACAGAAGCCAATGTGAACATACTGCCTATAAATATGGGGATCAACCATAGTTTCATACAACTCATACAATCACGAATCTTTAAATCCATCGTCAACGCCCCATTCTGTTACCAACTTCACCATTCATAACGAACTTATTCCCTTTTTAAATGAAGTTGCAAAATCCAGCTACAAAAAATTCCACACTAACCACAAATGTGATCTCTTCTCAGCAATCATTGAAGTCTAAAAAGACAGTGGCCCCGAGACCTGCAGTCAGGGAGTGCTAGTGATTAAGTGATGATTTCTGATTTAGGAGTACTACCTGCACTGGAAAACTTCTCAACTCGATGTATTTTTTTTTCTTTTTGATCATCCCGTTATCTATATAACGCTTGGCGCAGATTTTTGCTTAAGTTCTAAAAAATTAATAATAATAATAATAAAAGCTTAGTCGGTAACACAACTATAGCCCTAAAAATAACCACAATAAATCCAAAAGAAACCCAGTACTGTCACAATCAAGATAATTTCTGGTAATTTCTGTGACGGAACAATCTGCTGTTCCATACAAAAATCCAGGAAAGAGTCTCTCGTAAAAACCTCTTGAATAGGCGGACCCAATACATGGACTCATACTCGCCTTTATAACCTCAAATTCTTGAATTTGAAGCAGAAAGGCTCAATCCGCCCTGGACAGGTGAATTAGGAGAGCGGAGAACTGCAGGAGGGCCAAACGGGGTAAAGTCACTTGGCAAGTTACTGAGTGGTGGAAAAGTCAAAATTCAAAATTAAGCGGCAATCGCTGAAGCGTTCGTATTTTTTTTTCTTTTTGGCCAAATCAGAAAACTATAGCACCGTTTCTCAAAAGCGTTTTCCTTGATTTTTCAATACAAATTTCAGAAATAATGGATATTCTATTATTGTAAATAAATATTATTGTTTCCAATCCTATTTAATATTTGGTGTTCTTTTAAAACCACCAAGCAGGGAGTAAGTAAAAAAAAATGAGACGCATACATAAAGCATGAAATATTTTATTTATATTTTTGTTCCTTTTTAAACTAACATTCCTTATTACATTTAATTTTGTTAAAATGCCATGGGACACGTAACGAGCATGTAAAAACATGAACTGGAAAATTTGAGAACTAACAATTATTCGATAATTCATTTTGTTTAAATTTATACTTGCAATTTTTAAAAAAATTTATATATTTATTTAAAATAATGTAAGCAGAAAACAAACATCTTAGTTTATTAAATCTACAGGATTTTCACTAAATAAAAGTCAGTGAGTTAACAACAAGATCACATTTCCACCCTTGCCACGTTTCTCTTCGTGAGCTTCTGACGAACGAGGATAAAAGAACAAAAGTAGATTACTACAGATGAAGTCACAGGAAGGTAGAATCCGCTCAAAGAATTTCACCTGAGAGCAATGTGAAACTTGAGTGAGAAGTGTAAATTTATTTCCTAAAAAAAAAGCTTCTGCCTTTCGGATTCCACCGCGGAGATACGTTGTTCTTCTTACAAATATTTTGAGAGAAAAAACTAATATAAGTTGTAGTTTTCACTGCAATTAGAAAGTGAGTTTTAGTGTGGCCAGGTGATCCAGGTTGAGTATAACGGATTTTGTTAGCGTGTACTTAAAACTCTTATGAAGTTGTGTTTTTTAAAAATGGCACCCTTCCAGAGTTTGATCCAACTGGATCCCTAACCATCCCTAACACAAGGCCTTCTGCACCTCGACCTGAGTCTATTTTGTCTATTGTGCTCTTCTTTTTTTATAATTCACTGGCCAGCTTCAGGTTGTTAACCTCCACATCCCTTGCCAGTAACTCCTTAGTGTAGGATCTTCCTTGCGGCTTTTCTAGTTGCAAGAATCTGCACCTACATAGGCCCTGAGAAATGCCTGTGATGTTTCGTAGCATTGAGATGATGAATCGAGGCCGGGACCGTGTGTGTGCCGTTGGTAGTGGTCCATGACCGAGGGAACTGTTGGCTGAGGTCCGGGGGCCGTGAGTCGGTTGACTCTGCAGCGGTTGAAGGGACTCGGGTGCAGCAGTTAGCTGAGTGCAGCAGTTGGCCAGTGTAGCCAAGTCGGCCGTGTTGAGAAGGCGAGATCCAGGCTAATGCTGCGACTACCCTTGCTGTCGTCGTTGTCGTTGTCGATGTTCCATTAGTGATTGGGGAGAGCTCGTCGGATATAGTATTCTCGAGGTATGAAGTGAGATCTCGTCGGGGAGACCACTCAGTCGGGGAAGTCAGTGGAGCAGTGCCCCTGCTTATATACGAAAGGGTTCTACTCTGATTGGCTACAGAGTGAAGGGCAAGATCATTCCATAACCGGTAATGGCACCTAGCGGGTACCTTGGTAACTACAGATGGCCAGCACATAATACTTCGTAGATATCTGGTCTTGTATTTCTTCCGATGTTCCGATTTTTGGAGGAAACAAGGATGTTTAATTGTATGTAGTATTGATAGCCTTGTGTCCCATGGTGAGTTCTGCGAATGAATGTATTTATTGGCGTGAATGTGTAGTTTTTAGTATTAGAAATATCGACCACTTTTTCATTCATGAACATAGATCATGGTATGGTCTTGAAAATAAAAGCAAATTAAGTTGTTTCTGTCAAGCTTTCGACCTATAAGGTCATCATCAGGGCAAACAATCTTCAATATGTCTACAGTTGACATAATTAAATTAAGGGGATCTCAAATTTCCTTGAAGGCCGACTTAGTCCCAACATTGCAAAGGACTGTAATAATATATTGATTGTTCTTTCCTTGATCCAGAGTGTTCGTGAATGTGTAATGTGAGAGGGCCGATTGCGGAATGTTGAGTACATCGACCCTCAATTAGAGTTCTCACATAATGTGTGAAGAGAGTAATGGAGGAAAATCAAGTGCTATAATGATATGATTTGGATCGGATTAGGGACCTTTAAACGGACAAAGCTTTCTTTATTTGTACATGACTATGATGTTTATTTAAAATTGTCGTTTATGTTCTTTTTTTGTTTTTCAGTTGTCAAACAGAAGTACGAAGTCCAAGTTTCTGATGAGTACGTCATAAGCGGAAACACCGCTGTTCTCAGATGTCAAGTGCCAAGCTACGCAGCCGAATTTACCATAGTCACTTCTTGGATACAAGAAGGAGTCATAAACATTTATCCAAACACGGATACCGGTACTGCCAAAGAAATCTAAATAGGGTAATTGTTTTTAAACAGCATTTAAATATTGTTTCAGGAGGAAAATTCGCCGTCATGAGCAACGGGGATTTGTACGTGTACAGGACCAGCCAAAGTGACGGTTACAAGACTTATGGATGCAGAACAGTCCACAAATTGACCGGAGACGTACGAGCAAGTTCCTACCCTGGTAGAATTATTATCACTGGTGTGTATAATATTCGTATATTTTAAGGAAAAAAATCAAAAAGCCAAACAATCTAGTCAAGTTAAAACTAAATATTCCAATTTAATTATCTTTGCATGTTGTACAATCTCAGGTTGGTATTAGATCGTTTAGATAGACTCCCAGACATACTAGAACAATTATAAATCCTTTAGAAACTGCTTATAATAAAAATATAACATTAAATTTAATTAATTAATATAACAATTAAGCAGGCACTAAAATAAATGAAATCAGCTCATTGCTTGTTTGTTATTTTTTCATTTTTTATTTATTTTTTCATTTTTTATTTATTTTTTATTCTTTATTATTTTTTTATGAATTCTGAAATCAGAATGAGGTTTCTCAAAGCAAAACTCGATATCACTCAATACACTAACTATACAATTAATCAAAGGTAGGGGTCAATGGGGTAGTCAATATTCTGCCATTAAACCTCTCACACTAATAAATACTTTCAATTACTCCAACCATTTAACACAAAAAAATATTGATTATCTGCACCAGCTGAGTGTCCCTTGAACTGACAATACTGTCATTCTACACGTCTAATTGAATTAAAACTTTCCTATTGTTCAAAGTCTGTTTCTCCATTTTTTCCGAAATATTTCATTTTTCAGGTTGCTTCAACGTTTCACAACTTTATTCCTTTAAGTCTAACGTATCTCGTAAAATGTTAATCCTACTCTAAATTGGATTTCACCGTTGATGATGATGATGAGGAGGACGAGGAGGATACTAGGAAGCGGGGTTTGTGCTCCCCCAGGCACTGCAGCCTTCTGGCTTCTGGCTATTGTATCTTGCTAGTTCCCTGGTTCAGCGGAATCGACTCAATCCTTCTTCTCAGAAGTCATTGATTGTTGTTGGTACTATTTCATTCCCTAGGTTTTTTTCTGTACGTTATCTCTTCATTGAGCCATTACTTTGCATTCGAAGATGATATGGGTGGCTGTTTCCTCCTCCTCATTGCATAATCTGCAGATGGGATCATCGTTATATATGTCCATGTTGTGTAGATGTTTTGCCAGATGCCATGACCGGTTAATAGTTCTATCACTCCCCTGAATATGGCTCTTTCCAACTGCAGCAATGCTTTTGCCAGTCTTGATGAAGGTTGTTTTAGCATAAGTTTACTTTGTCTAGCGCCGCTAGAGTTTATCCACTTCTCCTTTTGTTTTATTTAGAATCATTCGGTGATAAAGGATTCTGTATTTGTTTTTTGTTAGCGCAAGTAAAGATTCGGGCCTATGAATGGTCTTGTAGATCTGGCCAGTGTGTCTGCTTTTTCGTTACCCAAAATTCTTTTGCGCCCTGGCACCCAAGACATCATCAGGTCGTTGTATTTCCCCTGGTTTTGGAGATTTTGGATGCATTCACTGACTAAGGCACTCTCAACACGACACGCAAGGATGGCACAATTACACAGAAGACAAACACTTTGAGCCCTGAAGATGATCTCAATAAAAGATCGAAACGTTGGCACGAAGAAAATGTTTTTCTGAAACCTACATCACACTCGACCGCATCTCACGATATCTGAATAACTATCACTGACTAATTTTGATGTGATTTTTTTACTCACAAATGCTTTAATAGTTGCTTAGCTATCAGATCTTATGAGGATTTTTTTGCTAGTGTATCCTCTTTTAAGATTTTCTTGGGCACCAGCATTGATGGCATGTATTTCTGCTTGAAAACCGACGTGTACTGCCCTAATGAGTTTGAATGTTCATATTTTGGGTTTGTACAGAAAACAACTGATACGGTTCTTTCATTTGTTTTGGAGCCATCTGTATACCATATCATTATATCTGATACTCTCCTGAGTTCTTCCTCTCCTTTATAGTCCGTTGAGACTTTATAGGATGTTGTAAATAATGTTTTCGGAATCGTATAGTCAGTCCCCATTTCCAAGAATGAGTGTCTGATTTTGTACATTATGGTTGTATGCCTCTCCTTCTGCCAATATTTCCAGTGCAGGTAGGTTTTGCAGAGCTTCTAATGCATTTGTAGGGGTTGTTCTTATTGCCCCTGTGATACATAGGGTTGCTAGTCTTTGTATGTTTCCTAATGTTTGGGTAGCTACTTTTTGTTGAGCTTTGTTCCAACAGATTAATGATCCATAGGTTATTTTTGGTCTTATTACTGCCGTGTATAGCTAATAGCCAGGTTTTAATCCCCAAGATTTGCCTAGGTTTCTTCTTGTGGTCATTACCAATATTTTACTTTTTGTTGTAATATGCTGCAGGTGAGGGTTCCAGGTTAGCTTTTTGTCAAAGATTATTCCTAGGTATTTAACCTCATTTTTTAATTGCAGCATTTCATTGCAGAAGTATAGGCCTTGAATTTCCATGTTTCTTTTCTTGATGAAAGCAATTAGGGTAGTTTTTGAGGGGTTTGCTTTAAGTCCTTATTGATTCTCTCTACATGAGTCAATGGACGACACCTCACATCAAGTGGTACACATCAAGCAACCTTTCTCTATACACCTGATATAGGCGAAAGTAAGTTTCTATGTCAACCGTGTACGCCCTATTCTGAGTCAAATTCACTGTGGGCATAAAGTTTACAGTTTATTACAATTATTCTGAATTTTCACATAATTTTCTCTACATTTAAAATATTCCATATGTATTTAGCGGTCATATTAATTATTTCAATTAATTATTCTTTTTATCTAAGGTCTTGGTTGAGATGAAAAAGCTAGTGTCATGACCTTTTTCATCTCAACCGAAACCTTAGATAAAAAGAATAATTAATTAAAATTTAAAATAATGTTAAGCGTTATAGAATTAAACAAGCAAAAACCATAAAATATTACTCTTAAGTGTTATTTTAGTGTAGTGATTTTACGGATTTGTTTCAGAGCCTAAAGGTGCTGTACAGCCAAGAATTAGAGTAGAAAAACACAGCAGAAAACAAGTCAAGTATGGTGAGGATATCATTTTACCCTGTTTGGCTCAGGGTTATCCAATTCCTACATATCGGTAAATTTTTTTCCACAGAATATTATTTCTGCTATCACAAAGTTGATGCTGATGGGATATTAATAACTTGTTTCCATTTGTTTATTAGATGGTTTAGAGAAGAAAGTGAAAAACTGATGCCAGTTATCGGAAATGAACGAATTCACGTCAACCCATCTGGTTTGCTGTACATTACAAAATCCCGGATAGAAGATAAAGGAAAATATATTTGTAAAATAAACAATACAGTTGGTGAAGAAGTAGCACAAGTGACATTATCTGTGACAGGCATGTACATTAAATGTATGACAATAGAAACAGGGGGGAGATTCGGTGTTAGGGGGATAAACTCCATTCACGCTAATAAATTACTTTCACTCTCCAGACAAAACACACTCTTACCCCAGAGCCCTCGAATTCCTCAGGGCGGGTTTAAACCCTCCTTTCACGTTAATAGATAACAATTAATTAAGGTTTTTAGTTGAGATGAAACAAAGTTTATGGCACGAGAGGGATTCGAACCCACGACCTTCGGCTAGATACGCCGCTGCTCTGCCACTGAGCTATCGTGGACCTCGATCCACTCGGACAACAACTCCCCATCTCAACCCCACCTCATGAGTTTTCTCTCCTTTTGCCATTTTCAAATGTCGTGTAATCGGTTTGGATTCTCGACGACAATTGAAATGACGACGGAGAACTTTAGTGAAGTGTACTTCATTTTTAAATCATTAATTCACTACTTTCGTGGTCAGCTTGACCAATTAATACATGACAATTAATTAAGGTTTTTAGATGAAACAAAGTTTATGGCACGAGAGGGATTCGAACCCACGACCTTCGGCTAGATACGCCGCTGCTCTGCCACTGAGCTATCGTGGACCTCGATCCACTCGGACATCAACTCCCCATCTCAACCCCACCTTATGAGTTTTCCTTATGAGTGAAACAGCAATCCGTGCCCACTGCATTGCTGTAATACCATGCATAGGTCAGCAGAAGCTCCATACTCATCCTGCATGCTTCTAGTTTACTGCATTGTAAAATATGCTCAACACTCAATCTTTCCATACATAATGGGCACCGACGCTGTCTCTTTCCCACCAGCAAGTGCCCATGTGTAAGACTTATGCTTAATTTGGCAAGTATGGCTCTTTCCCTTCTCGTGGACCAGGGACCAATGCCAGTTTTTATCTGCCATAATTTGGCAGAAGTCTGTCTGTATCCAGTAATTTTCCCATTTATCTTTTAAGTAATCAGTTTGATGTGAAAAATTTACACACAAATTTTTGTTGAACTATTAATTATTTCTATAGATGAAAATATGTTTTTTTAGGCCTTATTATTTGAAGGGTTTTTTCAAAATTTTGTTTCTGCTATATCTATATTATACTGTTTATGCATAATATAGAGGAAAATATTGAAGAACACCTTTTATATTATTGACTTATTCCAGCTCCTTTATCAGTCCACATCCATCCACAAACTCAAGTAGTGGATGTAGGCAAAGAGGCGCTTCTTCAGTGTACACCCAACGGATTTCCAGTAACCAGAGTTTTCTGGTTTCACAATGGCCAGCCTCTAACCACGGATTCCAAATACAAAGTTTCTACAAATCAACTTTTAAATATTTCATCCATATCAAAAGATGACCAAGGCATGTATCAATGTTTCGTATCAAATGACTGGGACATGGCACAAGCTGTCGCAGAATTACAGTTAGGAGGTGAAGTTTTATATTTACATTATTGACTGTTAAAAGGAAAGAGGAAATTCTTATCCTACTTATTCCAAACTGTTTTAGATGCTAGTCCTGAATTGACATACTCATTCTCAGAACAAACATTACAGCCTGGGCCTCCGATCTCTTTAAAATGTGTGGCGACTGGGAACCCACCGCCCCAGTTTACCTGGTTACTCGATGGTTTTCCCATCCCGGATTCAACCAGGTATCTTGGTATCTTTGATTTATTTTTGACTTCAGACCAATTTTTTTAAAATAAAAAGTTAGGAATAAATAAAATTCTAAATATTTCTACCGGTATATTTGTTTAGGTTTCTTGTCGGCCAGTATGTCACAATTCATGATGATGTTGTGAGTCATGTCAATATTTCGAGTGTAAAAGTTGAAGATGGTGGAGAGTATTCTTGCATCGCCAAGAACACAGTGACAGAAATTTTACACAGTGCAAGGATTAACATTTACGGTAATGAATTCAAGACAGAAAATTTATATAAACTAAAAATTAATTTATTCAAAATTGTTTTAGGTCCACCTTTTATCAGGGTTATGCCCAAATTAACCGCTGTTGCTGGAAGTGATTTAATAATCAAGTGTCCGGTAGCTGGATATCCAATAGAGACGATTACTTGGGAACGGGGTAAAGATATGTAATATACTTGTAACCAGGTTGTATAGTTGAATTGGATTGGTTAAAGTCATGACAATCCTACGTTTTTGTATTTCAAGGAAGATTTTAACAAATCTCTGAGATACTTTTTTAAAAAAGCTTGTTAAATATTCCAAACGTTCTGTCTGTATTTTATATATTTACTCTATCCAAAAGATCTCTTGAACAAATGAAAAATTACATACAAAATTATTGTACAAATATTTAAGGCCTGGCAAGACAGAAAGTGACAAAGGCAGTCTCTTTCCCTTTTTTTACCCACAAATGCCATACCTAAGGGACAACCCCTTACCAGCGGACCACAGCTACTAAATTAGAAGAAGAAGAAGAAGGAAAATAACTTTATTCTGGGACTGGTGTCCCCTAAGAATAATTTACATGAAATAAATAAAGGAAGTTCCTTCTATGAAGTTAAAAGTAAAAAAAAANGGAGATTTGCTACTAAATTAGTTCCTATGGTATGCAAATGTAGGGGATCTTACTGTACTTAACAGCTTCCTCCAGCCATGAGTTGTCTATCCAAACTGTAAGAAAGTCCTGGATCTGCTTCCTATGCATCTAGTAGCCAATCTCTAAAGTTCCATCCAAGTTTACCATTGTTGGCTCCTTTCCATCTTTTAGCTGTCAAATTGCAATCCGACTTTGGAGGACAATGTCGATTGGTGGAGCGGAAGCAAGGACATGGAGGGTAAGAGTAGCTGTGTATAAGCTTTTGTTGTTCTCAGGAGTGCTACCCTTTGACTCTGCTCAAGGATGCTTCTATTCCTGCTTTGCAATTTTGTTCCCCAGGGTGCTCCTCTGTATGCTTTTGTAAGTGATGGAGAGCTCTCTTGGACTCAGCAACCAAGATTAAAGATTAAAAAATAGTTAAATATTTTAATAATTATACAGTGCTATTATCAAAATTTTTCTTAGTGCTTATTGCACCCAACCTCGTCTTTCCTTTTTCTTTGAATTTTGCAATACTAATAGCAGAAGTGGTTCATCGTATGAACTCGTACTGGCCAAAAACTCACTATACTCTTTAAGAAAATTATTAGACTTGGTCGCTGACTCAGCCCATTGTTTTCTATGTGACTTTCTGTCTGGCCAGGACTTATTCTTAGGTAAACATTTGGAGTACATATATAAAAGAGAATGAATATTTTAAGCAGAACACAAGTAAATTGTAATTTTTAAATAATACAAATCAGAAAATTGACAGTGATGCGATATTGAAGGGAGATTGTTTTAGATGGAACTATCTTACCAACGAATCGACGACAACGAGTGTACCCAAATGGAACGTTAATTATTGAGCAAGCACAAAAAGGAACGGACGGTGGGACATACACATGTCAAGCTCAAAGCAGGCAAAAACATATTGCACGACGTGATGTTGAAGTTCAAGTGATACGTATGTACCCTTTAATCTAGGGCCATTGCACTAAAATGTTCAATTATCATTTTGTTTTAGTACCACCGAAAATTCTTCCTATTCAAGCAATGACAAATTTATTAAGGGAAGGGATGAGAGCAGCTATTTCTTGTCAAGTTATTGAAGGAGATTTGCCGTTTACGTTTAAATGGCAGCGTAACGGCAGAGATGACATTGGGTCTGGGACAATAATAAGAAGATTAGACGAGTATTCAACTGCATTAGTTATCGAAAAAATTGCAGCAACGCACAGTGCTAATTACACGTGTATTGTAGAAAATAAAGCTGGATCTGAGAGTTTCACAGTTCCACTTACTGTTAATGGTAACTACTTCACCATCGACTTTCTCTAAAGCTGAAATGTTTTATTAAACTAAAACATTAATTTTTTTCGTTAGTTCCTCCACGGTGGACAATTGAACCATCTGACACAAATGTAATTTTGGGTTATGACATCACTTTAGACTGCCAAGCAGATGGATATCCTCAGCCGGCAATTATTTGGCGCAAAGCTGTGGGTAAGTTTGAATCAAAATATTAAATTTTAGTTGTTAAAAAAGATAATGCATGTTAAAAGAAAAATACACAAATATTCAATTTGGTATGTGCTAAATCTTGTAGGAGATCATCCAGGAGAATACAAAGACTTTCTTTATGAACCAAATATAAATTTTTATAGAAATGGTTCATTGGAGTTTTCACACATAAGCAAGGAGAGCGAAGGTCATTACTTATGTGAAGCAAAGAATGGTATTGCGAATGGAGTAAGCAAAGTAATATTTCTTAAAGTAAACTGTAAGTTCATATGACAACTATTGGAAAATTGGCTATTGATCAGTTCAAAACTGTATACTGAATTGCAAATATTCCAGCGCCTGCGAATTTCCCACAAAAGTCTAAACAGATTCATGTGGAAAAAGGAGGTCAAGCACATATACAGTGCACCGCACTCGGTGACAATCCAATACAAATTATGTGGAAAGTTGGCCCTCAAAAAGTTGGAGAGGATTTTGATCCAAGGTGATAATACAATTTTATTTATGATAATAACTTTATGTCTTCCAAAAAGAAAAACCCAGGATATGACCCAATCACTCCTATCATCCTTTTCCAACTAACCTAAATTCAACGCCATCCTACATACAACCCATTTCCCAACCCTCTGGAAATTTTCTTCTATCAGGATGCTCCCAAAACATAAAAACCTTCTGACCAATCAGCCTTTTGCCCGTTATCAACAAAATACAGGAAAAGCTCCTACCGATCCACCTGTTCAAGTAAATTTCTATTAACACAATTCATAATCTTCAATTCAACTTTTGGAGTTGCCAATCAACTGTTTAACAAGCACATAGCATAGTAGACGTTATTTCCCCCTCACCTGATCTAAAGCAATATTGCCCCGGGGTGCTCTTGAATATACACCTATCCTTTGACCAGGTATGGCACTCTGAACTATTGTAGAAGCTCAATAACATTTTACCAGCAACCTTATACTAAGATCTTGTCTTAACAATCATAAGATAATTTAATTATCTCATATCCATCCTATTCTACCAGGTATCCCACAGGGCCGCATCCTTACTCCTCTGCTTTACTCAATTTTCGTGTTCAGCCAATCTTAGAAGTATCGACCACTTTTTCACTGACAAAAACTCTAGATCAAGGTATAGTCTTGAAGAAACAAACAAATTCGGTTGTTACTGTCAAGCTTTCAACCTATTTCAAGATCATCAGGGCAAAATAATCTTAAATATGTCCACAGATTGATGTATTTATGTTTTTTACAGGCAATCTCAAATTTCCTTGAAGACAAACACAGTCCTAACATTGCAAAGGACTGTCACAGTATTTCAACAATACTGTTAGTCCTTGGCGGTATCAAGACTGAATGCGCCTTCCTTTGTGAATGTGAAACATTAGCCTGATTACGGTAAAACCACAGTAAAGCAATTCTCAAACCAAAAGAGGTGTGGGAAGAGTGCTTAGGCTCTATAGGAAAAAGCACACTTTCCAATAACTATAATTATAACTTAAAGGGGTTTCACAATAGATCTAAGTAGTTCACAGTGGAGGAAAGGATGTTTTTTTTTTCTATATCTATTAGGTCTTGTTCGAGATGAAAAATTAGCCGAAGGTCATGGTTTCGAATCCCGCTCGTGACACTAGCTTTTTCATCGCTAACGGCCGGCGTTCAAGTCCGACACTTCTGCAACATTCACAGGTCATGCCGGTTTAGTATACCGGGTGCCCGGTTAAACCCATTAATCTCAAAGAACTCGTCAAACTGACAACTCTCCCCGGTTGTTTTTATTTATTTTTTTTATTATTATTATTCCTTATTATTATTACGCCCTAACATCCAAACCTTCTATCTTAGGTTAGCTATATCTCTTCTGAGTGCTATAAAGCTCTGACTTCAAACATTCACTCGTAATCTAATTTATCCTATTGCCATCCAAGCTTTAATTTTTCTTTTTATATATATATATTTTTTTTTTTTAACGAGGGTTCGCAACAGCAGAGGTCATATAAACCCTGAGGGTGCCGGTGTTTTTGAAAAAAAGCCCATTTGTAAGTATGTCGGATTCGAATGCAAGGCCGCTGGATTCGAACCCGGGACCTTTACCTTACAGTGATGAGCACCGTGTCAAAGACTAAACCTTGCGGCCACCGACACCCCCCAGGAAAGGATGTTTAAAATCCTATTCAATCCCCCAAAAACCTCAGCTTAAAAAAAAAAATCTGAACCTTTTGTCAAAAACCTGTTATCCGCAAGCATCAGTGGCCTCGTGACAACTTCACACTTGGCATCAGTCTCTTACTTAGGATGGAGCCCATCTCATTCATCATATTGATGTAATAATAATGATAAACAGCGTCCATTACTGAATGGTTGCTGCTCAGTTTTCATGCTATTGTTTATATTTATATACAACATGAACAACTAAAAAAAAAAAAAATATATATACATTAAAATTTATAATTGAATGTTTGTTCATAGATATTCAGTAAGAGAACAGCTGCTGGATGAAGGGATGGTTTCAGAACTAGGAATATCCCACGTATTTCGCCATGATACAGGAGTTTTATCTTGTTATGCGACAAATTCCTATGGACATGATGAAATGACCATCCATCTTGTAGTTCAGGGTATGCAATACTAACATCACCCTCTTAAATGAAAATAGTTTAAATTATAATTTAAAAAAATTTATACAGAACCGCCTGAATTGCCTAAGAACATAAGAGTTGTGGATCAACAAAGTAGGACGCTCCAGTTGTCTTGGACTCAACCATACGCTGGAAATAGTCCCGTCACAAGCTATATAATTCAGTACAAATTAATTTCAGGTAGATTAATTTATTTTAGTAACTGACAGGAAATCGTTCCTTCGTCCTTCATTATAATGCACATGTGCAATTTGCAAAGGCATATTGACCAAAATTCACAATCACTATAACGTATTACATACAATAAATTAGAATTTTTATTTCATATTTCATATGATCCTCTTATAGAGCCTTGGGAAGCACAGCCATCGAAGATCGTTGTTCCTGGGACTCAAACAATGGCCACAGTCACAAATCTTCACCCAGCCACTTCATACCACCTACGTATTTTAGCTGAAAATAAATTGGGATTCAGCGATCCAAGCGAAGTCATTCAAGTAACAACACAGGAAGAAGGTAATATAAAATAAAGTGTTTTTGATATTTTTCTGTAAATTTTATATTCGATTCAATATCTTCGCAAATAGAACTAGTTACTGTAGTCGCAGTTTTAAAAACCAAAATACTCTAAGGAACTTGCTCATTGTAAGAACAATAAAACGGAAGGAAAGGGCAAGGGATTTAACAAAATTATTGTAAACGATGATAATAATTGAAATGAAAATTGTCCAAATAAAATAGCTAAGGGTTGTTCCACAGACCTCTGATTGAAATCAAGTTACTTACATAGAAAAGGCCAGCACCGGCAGGAGTAAATCACACAAATAGCTTTGAGATCTTTTTTTTTTTCACTAGAACTCAACTCCTAGTTTGTGGTGGGAAAGGTGGGATTCAGACCTTGAAACAGTTTATTTTTTTAAACAAGCTCATAAGTCTACTCTTCCACAACCACTTTTCTTCTCCCTTTAGGGCGGAGCCAGGGGTCAAACTGTCTTCCATCCTATTTTATTTTCCTTACATCATTCAACACAGATGTCTTGAATATTGCTGTAATTTTTAAACAAATGCTTAAGCATCTTAAATATATGGAAGATGCACTATAAGAAAATTTATCTAAAAATATAGTAATGATTTCAAGGGGACCACTGTGGTCAAGTGGTTAGGGTGTCTGACTCGTATTGCCACACCCATGGTACTGGGTTCAAATCCTGGCACAGCCCATAGATTTTTAATCGTGGAAGAAGAATAATACGGAAAAGTATTATAAAGTGGTTTGACCCTCCACAATGACCAACACATTGGATTTTAAGCCCTCCAATCTGAGAGGGATTACTTCATAATAAATGATTTTACATAATTTAAAAAAAAAAGCAGTTTCAAATTTAAAATGCCTTGTGGAATGAACATTCGATATTGCTAAAAAAGGACTTGTTAAACATGTACGATATCGACATTGGTTTTATTGTAAGATTTCCTCTTGTGGTCTGCAGATTGATGAACTTATTTCTTGGTCTGCCTATCCTCATTGATTTTTTTTGTTGGATACGTTTCGGCATTTCTGTAACTTCAGTGTAGAGTGTGACACAAGCCAGCCTTTGAAGATGGCAAACTGCATTTTGCAGAATGATCAGAAACTACTTTTAAGTTCATCACTCTGCAAACGCATTGAAGGAAATCTGACAATTCAGTTTTTACAAATTATCCAAATATACACATCCCACATTAAAGATGGCAAAATGTTAAAAAGTATTTGTCAATGATTGGAAACGACCAAACTACAGGTTCATCACCCTGTGTAATATGGTATGGTAAAAAAGATAAGCGGGGTTCGCGCTCCCCAGGCACTGCAGACTTCTGGCTTATTGTACCTTCTTAGTTCCTTAGTTCATTGCAATAGACTCAATCCTTCTCCTTAGAAGTATCAGGTCATTGACTGTCGCTGCTGCAATGTGATTCCCTAAGCCTTTTCCATTAGGTTAGGTTAAACCTCCATTGAGCTGTTGCTTCGCATTCAAAGATGATATGAGTGGCTGTTTCCTCCTCCTCATTACATAATCTGCAAATGGGATCATCATTGTATATTCCTATATTGTGTAGAAGTTTTCTCAGATGCTAGTGACTGGTTAGTAGTCCTACCACTCCTCTGAGTTTGGCCCTCTCCAATTGCAGCAATGCTTTTGCCAGTCTTGGTGAGGGTTCATCACCCTGTAGACCCAAGGGTTCACCCCCCCTTTAAAGCCCTCCATAATTGAAAGCTAACATAATTATCCAAAAATATCACCAACAATAATGATTATTCGCTTGAAACACTTGGAAAAATATTGGATGGATATTCATGGTGAGACTCGACATTTTGGCTGATAATCCACAAGTGGTACCATATGTATTCCAGCTTACACTGGATTATTTAAGCATCATCGACTTGATCAGGCCCCATGAAGGAAATCTCAGAATATAGTGTATATTCAGACCCAACACTGAAGGTGGGGGGGCCGCGGTAGCCGAGTGGTTAGCGTGAGAGACTCTCGGCTCGTAGACCCTGTGGTCGTGGGTTCGAGCCGTCATCTCTGGTCTTTTTTTCACGATACCTTCCCCCCCCAAAAAAAACGAATACGCATATAATACATTATCTTTGGCTAATATGCAAAGAACAAAGCCAAAAAAAAAACCACTGAAGGTGTCAAAATCTTGAAATGCGTCTAACAGACAAAATATCAAAATCAGATATCAAATTATTGGATTTATTTCTGAATCTTGGCTCAGAAAGGGAAAAAACTTCATTTTCCCAGAGTATAACTTTATCCAACTCAACAGAAATGACATATGCAGGTGTGGGTCTGCTAATTAAAAACAAAATACAGTTCGTTCACTTTTCAAAGGCACAATTTGTCAAATCAGAAGGCCATCCATCTCTACATTCATCATCACCATCATCAATATCCAGGCTCTCTCCTCCATGCTAGAGGCAGGAAAGCTTAGGCATTGAAAAGAAAAAGAGAAAAAAAACAGTTTGTGCACTTGAGCAAATTAAGATTTGTATTTATTATTATTATATTTTTTATTGGTAAACCTTTGTTGTATAATTCAAAATAAAACCATGTGAAATGTTGATGAATAGTGACCATATATTCATCGATGTTTATGTGCATATTTCAGTGCCATCGGGTCCTCCTCAAGATATCAGAGTAGAGGCAAGAAGTTCGACTGAATTGTTCGTCCAGTGGGAACCACCCGCTCGAGAATTTTGGAACGGCAACTTACTCGGATACCATATAGGATACACTAAAATGGGAAACACCGCGAGCAACATGCAGGTGAAAACTGTTGAGATTGGTTCACAGTACGGGGGTCAAGCTATTCTGGACAACTTGGCCATGTTTACTTCCTACTCTATAGTTATAAACGCCTTCAACAGTAGGGGCCCGGGGCCTAATTCAGGACCAGTCCGGGCCCAGACTAAGGAAGGAGGTAACTGACGTACAATTTTTAAAATAATAGATAAATCTTAACAATGATGATTCACAGTTCCGACTGCACCCCCTGAAAAAATAAACTGCATGACTATATCATCAACGACTTTGGAGATTTGGTGGGATTTGCCAAGTGTAGAAAATAGAAATGGTCATATTCAAGGATACAAAATCAATTATTATCCGTGTGAAGAGTGGTACGGTAAGTAGTTTTGCATTTAATACTCGGTGACTGAATGGTTTTATTATATTAACAAAATAATAATCGTAGTTTAGAAATTAGTTAATTTTAAATTGTTTTATTAATGTTTACATTATTTTAATATTTTAGAAACTGCAAACATTGATATCAAAGCAACATTAAACTTAAGAACTACACTGACAGGCCTTCTCAAATTTACAAATTATAGTATATCCATTTTAGCATATACTAAAAGCGGTGATGGAGTACCTAGTGCTCCAATTTTTTGCCGAACTGCTGAAGATGGTATTTGTTTAATATATAGTATTTAAGTCTCTTTCTAGTGTTAAACTTAAACTATGCTGTTTATCCTTCAGTTCCTACAGCGCCTGAGGATATTAAAGTAGTAATGAGCAACATCAATCAAGTATTAGTAAGCTGGTTACCACCAAAACAGTTTAACGGAGATTTATCTGGTTATACATTTTACATGGGAATGGTTGAAAATGGAAAAGAAGTGCGTAAAACTAATTTTGTCACAAACGCTAATAATGTAAAGTTGTCATACTACACATATTTAATATTGTCTTCAAATATAATAGAACAGTGGTATTGTATTCTAAATACTTCCAAATATAAATTTGCAGGGAGGCACACACAAGCACGTCTTGAGTCCGAACATCCATCATCATGAAATTATTCAAATACAAGATGCCATAACGTATCAATTTTGGGTAACAGCATCGACAAAAGTTGGAGAAGGATCTAGCACCCGTGTTGTCACGATAACACCAACGAGCAAGAGTATGGTAACAAAATAATATGAATGAAATATAAATATACCAAACAATATACTCAGATTCTAGATAATACAACTTTGTACTATTCGATTGTTATTTGTTAGTTCCAGCCAGGATTGTATCATTCAGCCGTAATTACCATACTCCTTGGAAACATAACATAACTCTCGAATGCAAAATCGTCGGCATACCTTTACCAAAAATCTCTTGGATGAATAATGGAAAACTGATTACTAGCAATTCAAATCGGTTGACGGTTAGTCTTTCAAAAAGTACAAACAAGTTTAGAGTAGAAATCACATTTTTCCTTTCTTTTTCATTTTTATTTTTTATCGTGTTTAATTTTATTTTATCTTCCAATTTATTCATTTCATTTATTTAATTCCTTAAAGGTAGGGTGAAATGCTGCAGTAGGGATCTCGAATTGGCAACATATCAGATACAGTACAAGGGTTTTTATGGGTGAACGGCGAATATCAAAAGGTTACTAAATTTAAGAATAATATAAATCATAAATACAGTCTGTAAGCTTTAGTAATAACATAACATTTGCTGAAAATGCTTTAAACATTTGCTCACTTTCTTGTTATTAAATGGAGTGATACAATTGGCTTTTCTTGTTTATTCAATCACTAAAACATCTACTTTACACTTTACAGCATATACTTGTTTCAAAAGCAGCCATGTGTAAGATAATTGCACAGTAATTGGTAAAATGGTTTTAATTTAAAAAAAATTTCTATTTTAAAAAAATCCTAATTTTTAATATACTTTCATTTAATTTATTCCCAAGTTTATTTTTGTTTTTATGCATTTTTTATTTATCAGCTTTTTCCTAGCTTTTTATTTCAAAGTGACACTTGAAGAAATCAAGATAATATGTATTTTTTAAATAAACAATATTTCAGAGGCATAACTATTAATTTATTTCCGTTATGTTATAGTTAAAAAAAGATGGCTCATTGCTCGTAAGGGACATACAATTTTCCGACAGGGGAAATTATAGTTGTCACATTGAAAATCAATTCGGCGAAGATTCGATAGTCTACAATGTTATTGTGAGAAGTATGAAAACCATATTTTTTTTTTTAATAAAATATTCATTTTAGATACATAATAATTTTAAAAAATGTACAAATAAATATGCTCCACTTTCTTAACATATCCATTGCAGTTCATGGTCCGATTGACCAATTAACATTTTTCAATTAATTAATATTTATGGAAGGTATTAGTTGGGATAAAAAAGTGTCACGAACGGGATTCGAACCCACGACCTTCAGCTTGATACGCCGCTACTCTACCGCTTGACTTCGTGGCTTCGATCCGCTCGGACACTAACTTCCCATCTCAGCCTCACCTCACGAATTTTCCCTCCTTTTTGCCATTTTTCAAATGTCGTGTAATCTATTTGATTCTCGGCGACAAATGAAATGGTCACGGAGGGAAAATTCGAGAGGTACTCAAGCATCTCATATCAGGTAGCATTCCTACACGCTCTCTACACGGCAAAATACATGGCCAATAAACGGCATCCTTCAATTATTGTAAGCAACGTGTTTTTACCTGTTAGACATATAAGCAGGCTTTGGCCCAAAGGAAGTGTCTGTGTGATAACCTCACATGGCCTATCCTTATTCCACTGAGGATATAAGCTATAGGATTTATATTAACTTTTTAGTATTATATAACTAACCTAATTGTTAGTTGATGGGGTACTTAATATTCCGCACTTCATAGTCATGCTAATAAATACATTCACTCTCCACCCACACTAGGGTACACAACAATATCAACACTATGTGCAATAAAAGAACTAACTAGAAAAAAACCTCTAAGAATTGGAACAAGCGACCCAGATACTTGCTACCGTGCTCAAGAACAATTCTCGTGTCAGATGGCATTCCTACATGCTCCTTATGGAGAGCCAAGGAATTGCACACTTTGTCCACCTTTACCTGTTACCCTCCAGACCTACGTCTCTGTAAAAGATTATTTTGTTATTATACACACATAAGTTGCGTTATTTTTTATTATGTAATTAATTGCGTTACCGCATTATTAAATCAGTGATCAAAAATATTATATAACAGCTGTAAAACGAACTTGTTTGAAGTACTTAGTTAATTCCTTGAATAATAAATAAATAATATTTTTTATGTTTTAATTCATTTATTATATTATTATTTTCATTTTTAGTTCCACCGGATCCTCCCGTGCTATCAATTTCAAATGTGGAAACGGACAGTTTGCATCTTAAGTGGAAAATGAAATCAAACTATGATATTCCAGTATTAGGTAAATCATTCGAAGAGTAAGAACTAATACAACAGAACATATAATATGTAATATTATAATAATATATTCAGGGTATATAATTAATTACAAGAGGGAACATGGCGATTGGGAAGAAATACAAATTAAGGGTAAAGAAAATTTCCATATACTTCAAAACCTTTGGTGTGGAACGCGGTACCAATTGTATATTACTGCATTCAATAAAATAGGCACTGGTTTACCGTGCGATATTGTAAACGCATCGACAAAAGGAACAGGTATAGTATAAAGACAATTTTGTATGTATAAGACATTTAAAAGGGTTGTTTTATTTTCTTAGCCCCTGTCAAGCCTACCGCAACACAATTGCTCACATTCAACTCCACCGCCATAACAATTTGGTTGGACGTTTGGGGAGATGGAGGGTGTGAAGTTCTATATTTTATGTTAGAATATCGAGATGAAAGGAGGTCGGATTGGATTTTAATATCGAATCATATAAAAGCTAAAGAGCGGGTTTACACGATAAACGATCTACAACCTGCAACGAGATATTTCATTAAGGTCACTGCTTACAATAATGCAGGATCCAATTTAGGAATTTATAACATAACCACTTTGGCTTCAGACGGGAGTGAGTTGTGAAACTTGAATAAATTCCTGACTCTCCAAATATTAATTATTTAATTGTGTTTTAGCTCCAATCCTGCCAAAAGCTGTACCATCGCCAGACTTAAGTAGCAGTGCTGAAACGTACGTAAATATGAAAATTATTTGGACCATAATTTTCATTGTCCTTCCAGTTCTATCGATCAGCATGGGATGCCTTTATTTAAGAAAAAGAAGTAAGCCATTCTTTTGTTTCCATTTGAATAAATAAACATTTATTGACTGTAGCATCTACATTTAAATCAGATTGAAATTTGACTATTAAATAAAAAGTAAATTTCACCTAGCGTAAATACAAATTCAATTCATTTTTAAACTATATGAATTTTTATAAAACATATGACCTTTTATTTTTACGCAGGCTGATTTATTGGAAAACTAATGGTTTCAATGTTAATTTTTCATGCAGAATCTTCAGGCCCTATTAGATATAATAAGTTGGCGCATTGAGACGACCTGGTGATCAACTTTTTTTTAATGTAATGCCATTTTAATTTGTTTTTCACATATTTTGAATCCATCTAAAAAAACTGATATCAGAAACTCAAAAATACATCATTTTGTCCTGGAGATATTGAAGTAACTCAATAATTCATTATATTTTGTGGTCCAATTGGCCAAATAACTTCTTTCATGTGTGGTGATTAGTGACCGTTAATCGATAATTATTCAAGAATGGCACAATTACACAGAAGACAAACACTTTGAGTGAGTAGAAATACTTTGATTGAATATAAAAAATATATTTTGCATTATATAAATTCACTTTTCCACATCTTAAATGTATTTGTTAAATTTAAACAATGTTTGTAAATCCCAGGCCCTGAAGATGATCTCAATAAAGATCGAAACGTTGGCACGATAAAGAAAATGTTTTTCTGAAACCTACATCACAACAGACCGCATCTCACGATTTCTGAATAATTAACTTCTTTCAGTTAATTAATCTTTATGTAAGGTATTGGTTGAAATGAAAAAGCTAGTGTCACAAGCGGGATTCGAACCCATGACCTTCGGCTCAACACACTGTTGCTCTACCACTTGAGCTATCGTGGCTTCAATCCACTCGGACACCAACTCCCCATCTCAACCTACCTTTCGAATTTTGAAAATGGCAAAAAGGAGGGAAAGTAGGGAGTTGGTGTCCAAGGGGATCGGAGTCACAATAGCTCAAGTGGTTAGAGCAGTGGTGTATTGAATCGAAGGTCGTGGGTTCGAATCCCGCTCGTGACACTAGCTTTTTCATTTAACTCAATAATATTTATTTAAACCAGTTATATGATAAATTGAAATTACTGAGTTCTGAAGGAAAACATCAATCCCTCTAGAATTAATTAATCTATTAAGTTTTGAGGTTGACATTTTTTCACACATTTTGCAAGACCTTTCCAGTGTAAAACAAATTTAAACCAGAAATTTAAAAATTGGTGAAACATCAATTCTTATATAACTAAATAATTTTTTTTAAACTAGTTAAATGATAAATAGAAATTATCATTTCAACTCCATACCTCCAGAATGAATTGATGAAATATTGAGGATGAATTTTTTCTTACATGTTGTAAGTCCTTCCCATTGTAAAAAAAAAAAGATACCAGAAACTCAAAATTTCATAATTTTGTTCTGGAAGTATTGATGTTTTCCTTCAGAACTCAATAATATTTTGAACTAGTTAAATGGTAAATGGAAATTATCGAATTCAGAATAAAAACTTCTATATATTCAGAATAAATTCATGTATTTTAGAAGTTTTGGTATCATTTCTTTCTTTTAGAATGGAAAGGACACAGCAAAATGTGTGAAAAATATCATTCTCAAAATTTCAAGAATTAATTAATAATTAAGAACTCAAAAAACTTTTTTTTTTTTTTTTTTACCCACACCCCGAGGTTATGTTTGTATTCATTAATGAGAGGAGCCTGGTTCAGGAGGGGTTTAAAATATATACTTTTTTTCCATTCAAAATAAATGTATGTTGACATAAGGCATAATATTTATATATATCAATGAATATTATAAATAAATAAAAACATATATGCTTAGAACTCTTTGAGAATGAAAAGGACTCAGCAAAATGTGTGAAAAATATCATCCTCAAAATTCAAGAATGATTAATAATTAAGAACTGAATGGCTTCAATTTATTATATAGCAATAAAAGAGAATTGTTTTTTTAGAATCTGAAAAAATTGGACATTATGTTTTGGGAAAAAAGTTGATCACCAGGTTGACTCAACAAGCCAACTTCTTGAAATAGCACTAGCATATCTATGTAAAACTTTTGGAACCTTTATTGTTTCTCAATAAAAATAGGCAGCTTAATAATAAAAGACCAAGTCCTTTATAAAAACAAACATAGCATACACATACCATCATCTGAATCTTCACAGATATAATCATTACCATTTGATACTTTTTGCATATTTTTACAGAAGAAGACATACACTGTGGCATGGGTGAATCTCCTTCAGTTGCACAAATGCAAAATTTGCATAACAGAGACCAACAGTATGCAGTCCACAGCGGGCCCACGCATACGGCTCATAGTATCGATTCTACTACGTATAAAACAGATTCTACAGGTATTTCAGCTGTTTTATAGAAAAAATAAATCTACAAAAATAAAATGAGTACTAAAATTTAAATAAATTTGTCATAATAAAGCAATGTAACAACATAAACACAAACAAATAATAAATATGCATCTATTAGACTATAAATAAAATAAAATCCTTTTAATATATGAAAAAAATTTAATAAAATGTTTAATCTTTCTTCTTAATCTTTTTGTTGAAACTTGTTAATACGAATATTAAATGATATAATAAAATTTTATAAATAGTAGAAGTTTCTATAAAATAAATTGTGCTCGTACTAATATTTAAAAGTACAACCAGATTAATAGAACATAAATCAATTTTTACTTCTGAGGATGTTATTTAACTTTTTTTTAATATTGTGAACAAGATAATAAAGAAACAAATTCATTTTTCTTCTGTGTAATATAAATTGGGTCACATTCATAAGCAGCAGCCAAAAACATCATTACCAATTTTTTTTTACATATTGATATTAAATAAACAAAACTTGAAATTGAATATTTTAAATTACTATAAAAATTGAAAATGACATATAAATAAATTAGACACCAATTTCAACCCTGATTTCCTAGCTTTATTATTTATCATTGAAGGCCGATACGATACTTGACAATATTAGTCACCAACATTTATTATTATATATTTACATATAATGTAAAACTTGTTAATAGTTTAACTTATATGAAAGACTCATCTCATTTATTTTCATGAAAATATCTGATAAATACGACAATATACATTGTCATTTCTCATCGTTGAAAATGTCGTCCAATTTGTCATTGTGGTCCATCAATAGAGATAAGACTAAGAGAAGCAAAGAATGATGAAGGCTTCCCATATCATCACATAGTTTTGTGAAAAATTTTGACTTCAATGGCCCCGACTTGATATAATTAATCATTTGAACAGACTACTCCAAAACTTTCTTAAAGGAGGCATTTCTGTGGAGAACACAATGACTGCTGCTGCAATACTTTGATTTGTCTTTTATTTTAATAATCACTCTGATCATTCGGCCAGTCATTGCTTTTTCACCATCTGAGTGCAGGTCAATACAATCAGATCATGGAATATCGTTAGTTGTAAAAAAATAGTACAACAAACTCATCAATTTGGTTGTCTGGTTGTGCAGGTGATGGAAAAACTGCATGCTTCCTCAGAAATCCTGACTTCAGCCACTAATCCATATTAGAGTAAATAACTGATCATTGAGAATAAATTTTCAAAAAACAATGGCTTTTTATATACAACATTGGAAAAATCCAGGGTGTATCAGAAGCAGCAGTTCCCGGTAATGAAGGACCCTAGTATCAACAATGACTAGGAAACTGATCGACTGACCAGTCTAGTCCCATCTGTCTCACTTACCTCACTTATTTTGCTTATGTGTGCCAAACTAAACATAGAATAAATAAAAATTAAAAACTTTCATTTTTAGTTCTCATTGTTATTAGTCATTTTAATTTTATTTATTCATTCTACATTTATTTCTGTAATCATTAATTTTTCTCAAAATTCGCCGCGGACCACCTAGTTACGGTTAGTGGACCACAGTTTGGGAAGCCCGGCATTAGAGCATCAGACATTGGGGAAAACAACAAAATTACCCTTGTCTTAGTATCAGGGTACACTAGGGGCCACTTAGGACAAGGCCCGAGACAGAGTAACCAAAATTGATACTGTAATACAAGAATCAATTTTACAGTATCAATTTGAGAGAGTGGTTAGCATGAGAGACTCTCGGCTCGTAGACCCCGCGGTCGTGGGTTCAATTCCCGCCGTCGCCTCTGGCCTTTTTTTCACGATACCCTTCCCCCCAAAACGAATACGCATAATAACATTGTCATTGGCTAATATGCTAGACATTAATCAAACATGAGTTGTCTTTGAAAAAATGTGCCTTCCATGTTGATGATTGGAAATAACTTACAGGAGAAGAAAAAAAAATTATAACTAAATAAAAATGTTTTCTTTTTGTTAAATCAACGTACTTACTAGTATGTGTTCATTTTTAATTTTAATCTTTTGCTTGATGATATAAAATTCAAAAATATTTATTAACTCAACATTATGTTTTCAGATTATATTGAAGATGTTTGCCCTTATGCAACTTTTCAATTAACAAAATCTCCTTACCCAGAAAGTACATTTAGTGGTAACGTATATAGTGGCCCGTATCATTCTGTCAGAGGATCATTTGTATATCACGATCTACCCTCTACAGGGGACACATACAAAGGGCGACATGTACGTATTTATTTATTTTAACCAGAAATGCCATTTTAAAAATATTAACTTTTATGGTTTTAATTTCTAGTCAAAAGATCCAGAATACACAAAAGTCAGGCGGAAACCTATAAGGTTGAGGGACCCACACTCAGAAAGCCAAGGTATGTCAACAAAGATTTTACTGTTTAGCACTGCATAACGTTAAAAAAATGTATATATAATTTTTAGAATCTGATAATTTAGGGAGCACAGACTCTGAAGTCAAAAAAATCCTAACACTTCACCTTCCAATATCTGAATATGATACCCATGGGAGTGATAGTGACATAGATAGTCGAGGAATTGCAACAAACCAAGATTTAGTATCTTTTCGCCATCGTTTGTCAAGAGGTAATTAAATATTACTTGTTGTTAAACCATACAATGAAAATAGAAAGATTTTTTTTAAACTTAATTGTTGGAGGAATAACTAAGTTCGGGGCTGAAATGACAAAAAAAACTAAGTTTCATGTGATTATGTTTGCCCAAGTTTAAAAATTGTCTTTTCATAGCCTTTTCACCATTTTAGCAAAGTGGTAACTTTTAGTCAACTTTCTATTTTTTCTATGCTTTATTTTATTCTCGTTTACTTTTATTTTGACTTCAGTTGGACAACCGACCTTACTTTTTAATTAGCGTTTTTCACTTATCATAGGAGATTTTTAACTTGGCCTTTTGACACCATTTTTCTCACTCTTTTCTTCCAGCTTTGGTATCACGGTCGTGGTGGTTGTTGATAAAAGCAGCAAACTCAATTCCCAATTTTTATAGTCTTACAAAAGAGAGGCCCCAAAACTGACCCTTGAGGACTCCCTACGTTAGTTTTGCACTGCGAGATCTGCTTATATACAATTTCCGCTTCCATTCAAAGTAACTCGTAATGATCATAAAGATATTTTGCAAGCAGTCTTTTCGTTTGGTCCATTCAAAGAAGCAAAATCCTCTTGGATGTCATGTGAAGATAGTATCACGATTTTTTTTTCCCCCAACTAAAAAGCAACAAGAAAGAACAAGGTTCTCATCAGCCTTAAGCTCCTTCTCCTCCCCTTGGAAACATTGTATGTCGCATTTTTAACTAATAATCAATAGAAACACACACTACTTTAAATTACTTGTTTGGAAATCATCCAAAAGCCAAACAATTTTTGGCAGTTCATGAGCACTGGTCATCGTTAACAAGGTGACCCCTAAAATGACGATGTAGTTGTTCATAATTTATGTAATATTAGATTATGTTAAAATTATTAATTTAAAAAATGTATTGCTATTTTATCAACTTTAAATCTGATTTTACTACAGTTGGTGATTCCTCGTTCCTCAAGCTGTCCAATTTAAACATTTATAAACATTTTAAAAACTGAAAATAATTCACATACAGCATCTTTAGTTCATGGGCCGTATGGCATTTCTAAATGTTTTAAAACAGGTGCTGATGTGAAACAGGGATGTGTATTGAATCTTTCCACCTCTTTATTTCCTGATGTGTAGCCGACAACCCTATTATCTTACAGAGAAACCTAAACTTTTTAGCACAGTATTGTCAGCAATGGAAGTTAAAAGTTAACCTCTCCAAAACTGAAATTGTTATTTTTCGCAATGCTGCTAAATTAGCTGTTTATGACAAATGATCCTATAAGGGAGAAAAAGTTGACTAAATCAATACAAGTATCTGGGACTTTTGCTAACGCCTCGTATCTCCTTTACCTCACATTTAGAGTATAGAGCTAGCATACTCTCCCTAGAGTATAGAGCTCTCATGCCTACGAGAAAAAATTAAAAGTTATTTCCTGAAAAAAGAAAAACTGTTTTCTTTGCTATCCCCCCTTAATGGTATGCTAGTTTTAGAAACTAAAATGGAACCCCTATTTTCGTATACCCACCAATTTCATCTAAAATGAAATACTAAAGTTGCTGGGCCACAGTTTACCAAAAATCACTGCCATAGAAATTATTTTAAAAAAAACTCTAGTGGTTCTAGCAGTGGATTTCTTTGACACAATATCATTCTGACTTTTCAGAGCCTTTGAATTCTTTCTTCTTAGGAATTCCAGTTAATTGGCCTGACCAACAAAATAAAAGTACCAAAGCTCCAAAAAGCAACAAGTTTCTATTTCTGACTGCTCGTTTTATACAAAGCTCTAATAGGAAATATTATTGATGAATAGATCTTTGAAAAAATTAATGACATTTCTTTGAGCTTCATTGGCTTTTTAAACTGAGGGGGGAGGGGAACTGCTGTTTTTAAACTACAAGCCATAGCTCCAAAAAAAGATTCCATTGCTGAAAGGTATTGCCTAATTAATTATAATATCTTTTACAAAAAGTGAATCTACATACTCACCCCATCATTATTTCTGTTCATCATTTCAATTATAATATTGTCATTCCATGATTCAGCAGCATTTCATGGTTGTCACTATTCCTCTGCTTTGGAGAACAGAGTGCTTGGATGCATTCTTAGACATGTCCCAAGCTTTTGACGGAGTCTGGCACCCAGGAGTTTTCTTCAACTAAAGCAATTCCTATCCTCTCCTTATCACCAAATCCTAAAATCCTGTCAAACAGATCATTGCTCCAAAGTAACCTGCGGCAGTGAGTTCTCTGAGACAGACCGAATCCATGCTGGTGTCTTTCAAGGGGGCATTCTTGGTCCCACCCTATATACCATTTACACTGCTGATCTACCGACACAAAACCATCCTTAGAACCTACAGAGATGATACCGAATCCTACCCAAGCCACCTCCAGTATCCAGGAGCATCTTGAGCTCACTGAAGAATAGTGCAAAGTGTGGAAGATGAAACTGAATGAGGACAAATGCACCCAAATCATATGAAACAAACAGCCTTGCCCCATCTATATGTTAACAGTAAAAAACTTCCTCTACACTAGTAAAATACATAGACAGTAGACTGACATGGACTCCTTACACATTGCTCAAGCAACAAGAATAAACGGACAATTTGGACAATGATGAAGACTTATAGAACCAAAATCAGACATGACGGTAAAGTACATACTAATTCTGTTCAAAACATTACTTCGACCTATTTGGAGGTATGGAGCGAAACTGTGGTGTACCACCAAGCCATCTAACCTCCAACAAAATCAAGCATTCTAATCAATAGTCCTCAGACTCCAAACTTCTTACTATTACCATCCACAATGACATTAACATTACCTTTGTCAAAGAATTGATCCATTCCCAATTTCCCACTTCCTCAAGTTTCTCTCCATCCTTTCAACCCATCCTAACCCAGCCCCTCTCCACCACCTCCCATTCCAAGAACCAGAAGAAGATCCAAGTTGGTTCGCCATAACCAGATAACAAATTGAGTGCCAGTATTGGCTTCTCATAACACATGTCCGTAATACAGTGTTTTGCCCTGAATTGTATAGCTTTAAGATCAATTTGCAATATGTGTAATTCATGTACAGTATATTTTTTTATTACAATGTTCTTGAAGATTTAACTTATTTTTGGTGTCAATGTCCTTTTCTTCCTGAAGTCAGATTCACACTCAACATTTTTTGAATTGAAACCCTTTCAAGGGATGAAATTATTTACAAGCAGATAGGTCAGCCTCACTCTCGGCCACACAATTATGCATGCTACGATTGGAGAATTTGATTTGAGTGGTCCATTGATAGTGCTTTGAAACTAATTTCTGTTTTATCTCTTGTATCAATTCAATTTTTTAATACTCCGTAAAATACAGATAAATGTCATATCTAATTTTTTTAAACTTTGATTAACTTATTTTATTATGTTTCTGGGTCACTTGATATGTTTTGGTAAATGAAATATTCAATTTTGCCAGTTTGTTTACATTATTTTTCTTAATTATTGCTTGTAATATTTTATGTTAAAAAAAAATGTTTTTATTTTTCAAATAAAAGTACATTATAATAAACATAACCAAAAATTATTACAGATATGAATAAGGGAGGAGAAGAATCAAGCTCTTCGTCTGAGAGATCACCTACTGGAGCTAGGATGCAATGTCCACATAATAGAAAAATAAAAAATAAAATGCAGTCCAATAAAAAGCATCATAAAAATAATGGTTATTCGAGTCATACTGAAGAGACTTCTTTCAGGTAAAAGAACTGCTTTTGTCAATTAATTTAATTTATAATATATATGAATGAGACTTGGTCATAAACTGGGTTGTCTGATATTTTTTAACAACAGAAATAAAAATTATACTCAGGTACCTAGATTAGATTTATTTGAGGTGGCTGAAGTTATAAGCACTTCATCCATTAAATAGTATTGTGCTCTTCCTTGTATGGAGGAAGCTCACTATAGTTTTGCCTGTGAGTAGAAACTTTTTACTTATTAGGCCTTCCAGTAACATAAAGATAAGATTATTTCTGCCTTCAGCAGATATTTTAAAGTCTTAAGTAAGTTTAATCAAAATGTTTTGGACAAAGTCTGTTATGTGATTTTCCTGGGGTGTTGTTCTACCAGGCATATGTTTCAACTTAATTCAACAATTGCTCCTTTCTTTATGGCAATTTGAAATTTCACAGGACTCTAGTCCTACTGGGTTACTGAGGAACTTTCCCTGTTTAACCCTGGTTAAAGTTTTTTTTTTTTTTTTCCACCTGACTGTACCAAAATAAACAACCAATTAACATAATAATTGAATTCAGAATTACTAATTCACTACGGTGTTTGGGATGGTCAGTCCCGCTCACTGAAGTTAGGCTCCTTTATTCATTTATTCGTTAATGATGTGAACCAAACTCGCACCATTTTCTTGATTACCCTTATTTTATTTTCTGATACTGCTGAACATTCCTGTTGCCAAGTGTATCTGCTTTTCAATTTTTTTCACATCCACTGCTTCCTTTGCAGCTTTCCTTTAATTCCCCTGTGACCTGGTATACATATCTTGTACACTTTTGTCCCTTGGGTGACTAGAATAGATTCTCCTTAAGGATAATGAAATCAGAAGCATCAGGACTAGGTTAAAGCAGTATTGCATATAACTATGAGCCATTGAGCATGTAATGCTTTTAGTTGGAAGCGTAACAAAGCACCACACCAGCACAGTGGGCCCAAAATAGCAAACCAAGTTCCCTACTGTGATCAGTACAGGTCCTGGTTGTTGATGAGTTGAAAGAAGGCTATACATTTGTTTTTCCCTGTAAAAAAATTAGCCCACTATGTACAGACCATTGTGATAGATTTTCAAGCACTCGTTGTAAAATACATTGCCCTCCACATCGTCTGTGAATTTGACTGATGACAGAATGTTAAAATAGTGCTGCTAAAATATTGCTGTGTTTCACAGCAATATTTTTTTAGATAGTAGTACACTCAATGTACTGCCTTGGGGAAGACCATTCTACTGCATGTACCAGCTTGAACATTTATTTTCTTCTTTTACCCAAATTTTCTTCCATTCAGTAATGCTGGTTGCTACCGGCTAAAAATACTTCCATTTACTCTCTCATCACGGATTGTCTTGAAAGTTTTCCATCTCCAGATTTTATCATAAGCAGTTTTTACGCTAAGAAAACATTGCTATTACTTGCTTCCTCCTTTTAAAAACTCATTTTTAATACCTTCCTATGGACTTTAGGGGTAGAGTATTAGATATTTCTCAACCACCCTATTCACAAGCATTACAGCTAAACTATACGACGGGGTACACAATATTCAACAATGGCCCTCTCACACTACGCATTCACGCTAATAAATACATTCACTCTCAAAACAAACAAACAAACACAAACACACACACACACATGCTGACATTTTCCTTTATCATTTTTTTTTTATATGTAGTGCCAGCATCTTTAGATATAAGAAAAAAAATTTCTATTTGTGCATATGCACCAATACAAGAGTTTTGCAATTTTAAATTTTTAAATGTTATCGCCGGCCTTTAATAAAATTAGATAATGAACTAATTATTTTTCTAGTTTTAATGATAGGATAAATCCACCCTGCAGATTCTCAGATCCACGTTGTCGTCCGAGAGATTTGGCTGAACTAGATTGTGATATTTCCAACATGGGCTTGAGAAGGTCTTCAAGAGGTAGTGTAGCCACACCTTACAGACTTTCGAGGGAATCTACATTTCAAATAGATGTATAATTAAATGTGCCTTCCAAGCAATTATATTGTTCACACTTCTTTATATTGATGTTCTATATATTAATCTGAACTATTTGACACAAATAGTTCAAAATAAATGTACCATTTTACCTTGAATACTTATGATGTATTAATGTTACCTTATTAAACAAAAATAAATTTGTATTTGAAAATGTGTTTTTCTTTAGTCCCTACACATTCAACCTTTACAGAATGGTGTCTTTATGTTAACTTATGATTTTTCCTTCTCGAAGGAGGGATAATAGGTCATCTCAAAAAAACAACAACCAGTTTTTCTTTCAATCCACGTTTCAGATTTATTTTAATCCTTCCTCGAGTTAACGCAGTAGTTAAAACAGTGGTCGTCAGTCATTAATATTTTGTAACAGTTTATTTTAAAAAAGAGCCAGTGTGGTACATATTTAAGTCTTTCAGACTCTGAACAAACATTTTAATATTTTGAACCTGACTAGACTAGACTCTTTATGTTATTTCTTTTATGCTTTTTCATTGCAATAACATGTTCGGAATAAGTTTATACACAATCTATATTTATCAACTGTAAGTCCTGTAAGTAAAATTAAGTCCTCCTAATGCTATGGTTGTAGGGAAACAGCAACACTAAATGAAACAACCTTAAAACGAGGATTATATAACTGTACACTGCACCACAAAAAAATTTTTTTTTTTTTTAATTTGATGTTTTTGCCTTTTTTTTGGGGGGGGGTTGATTAAAGATTTTAAAAATCCTTTTCTCCACTGCGTCTTATACAGATCTACTGTGGAAACCCTATAAATTATAAGCGTGCCTTGAAAAGCGCATTTTTCCTACAAGGCTAGGAGCACTCATGCAATTTTTAATTGCACAACAGTTTTGAAATGGTTTAGTTTGTTATCTACTAAACTGGGCACATTTGAGTGACTAAGTAATTTTGTTGTGGGTTGTGAGCATACAAACAGCTAATATATTTTAGTGTTTTCATCGACATCATTTATTTAGCTACTGTGTGTGTTCTCGAGTTAAGGAGAAAGAACAAAATGAACAAAAATAAACGATATTGTGTGCATCCTCCCATCAGCCAACGTTTGAAAAAAAGGACAATTTTATCAATAAAATTATAAATTATTTACAAGACCACCCAGAAATTTTTTAAAATTATTATCCAAAGAGTGTCAAGAGATTCGATGTTCTATTGGATTTGATACAGCCTAACATCACCTACCAAGATATTAAATGGAGGAAAGCCATTCCTCTGGTCTGGAGAGGACATGTTTTCTTGCCAATATGCCGAGCAAGTACTGACTGTGTTCATAGCACATGAAGGAATTGTGTAAATGTTTAGTTGCAGTGTGCGCGAACACCTTTTTAACTTTTTTAACTCTGTGATACAAGTAAGTTGCGTACAGTAACACAACAGAACATAAACTTTTTAGTTGGTCAGATTTACAGTTGCATGTCAGTTGTGTGCATGCTTTCACACAATCCCTTTGCAGTCATTCGTGGAACCAAACTGTTGTGTAACTAAAAATTGCATGTGTTCACCTAGACTACACACACACCTCTTTTGGTTCGAGGACTGCCTTATTGTGGCTGTAACCAGGCTAATGCTTGACATTAACAAAGGAAGGGCGATGCCTCTGGTTCCTTCTGAAAGAGTCAACATGTTTCTGCCTCTGCTTTGCCCAGCTTTAGGTGGTAGTTAAGAGGGCAGTGTCCGGTATAGAAGCATATAATTTTCCTTAAATCCTGCTTGTTGAGAGAGAGGAGTCGCCTTTTTGAGAGATTGATAAATCTCTTAGCTTGCCTCATACCTGGTCCTTTCGTCCATTTTTCCAGTTCCAACTTAGCACACACTCCAATGCACCTAGTTGAGGCTCTGGTCCCATAGGTGAGTGGGCTGTCCCTTTTTTGGCTAGTTGGTCAGCATGTTCAATTTCCTTCTCTGCCTTTATATCCCAAACTCACTCTAAGGTAATCTTGTTGTGTTTTCCTAGAGCCATTAGGCAATTTATGCACCCCCAGACCAGTACAAAGCTGAAAGCATGTGTATTTAGTGCCTTTATTGTTGTCCGAGAGTAGTAAATCTGTGCACCTTTAATATTTTTCTTTATCAACTTCTGTGTACAGAGTGTATTGCATGGACCTCAGGTTGGGAAATTGTTGGGATTCATCCAAGAGCTTAGCTAGGGTGTAGTTCGGCCCTTTTACCCCTATACCTTCTCACTGTTCCATCTTCGATCCATCTGTGTACCCCTTCCTGAAACATGGGGTTTCCTTTCCTCCAAAGGCCTCTATTTATTATTTATGACCGTTTCGAAGGGTCTGTCAAAGTTGAGTTTTTCTTTCATTGTGTCAGGTACCGTCATACCCATCTCATTTATTTCTTACCAATCAACTTATTATGCAGTTTCACAAAATTAGGATGGACACTATCAAAAAATCATCTCATTTATGTTAATTTTCTCCAGAATTTTGTGCTGACTTCTCCTTAGGTGCTTTATTAATTCCTTATATCTCAGGAGTCAGTTCGCACTCTCAAAAGTCACATTTTGTACATAAATATGTAAGGGTGAATGGTCGAATGTGGTTTCTATTGCCGTAGTGGGGCAGGTATGCATTGCCCCTGTTATATTTCTGTTTTACTGCTTTAAAAATTATTCAGAAATCGTGAGATGCGGTCTGGTGTGACGTAGGTTTTAGAAAAACATTTTCTTTATCGTGCCAACGTTTCGATCTTTATTGAGATCATCTTCAGGGCTCAAAGTGTTTGTCTTCTGTGTAATTGTGCCATTATTGCGTGTCTTGTGCTTTAAAAATGATTTAATAATATAATTACATGGAAAGTGTTGTTGTAGCCAACTATGAGGCAAACTGCTTAATTACTAATTTGATTTAAAATCCCCACAACATAAATCATCAACAAGGGCAGTTAATCTTTTAAAAATACCTTTGCTCACTGTTTTGTTGCTGGCACGAACCGTAACGACCACGAAAATGCCCATAATTAACAAAAAAGTAGCCAGTGCCATTGCACTCATTGAGGATGTAAGAAATCAGCGATATGTGGCATGAATTGTAAGTTTGCTTGAGACCGTCGGGCTGAAACTGGAGGATATGGAGCCACCCAAGTAAGAACCAGCCAATGACCAATTTATCAAACTGCACAATCTGAGATATCACTTTTCAATTGCTTCTGAAACATCTCAAATATGCTGAAACAGCGCACATGTGAGATGTGTCCGTAGCACTGAAACAGTAAGAAACTTGCGGAATGAGTCTACATGACAAAGGCCAGCAACGGGTCCAGCACTTATCATTTTCGAGATCACTTAGTTTGCAAGAGAACACAAACATTGGATAGAAACAGAATGGAGGAATGATTTCAGACAAGTCACACTTTTCTCTCCATTCAGACAGACGATTTTATCAAGCAGCTGTACACGGTCATTTGCAGTAACTGGTGTGAACTGGAATTTCAAGGCAAAAATGGAGTTGACATTTATATGTCACTTATGCAAAAACCTAGTGACAGATATTCTTGAGGAATACATGGCGTTAATTGCTCTTGTTATTGGTGAGTGGTTATGCAAAATAATGCAAGTCTACATGTCAATGTTATGCAGTACAATCGTGATGTCAAGATGGCCAGTCCATAGCCTTGATTTGAATACAATTGAGCACTTTTAGGACGATCTCGGGCATTGGGTCAACTGAAGAAATAAACTCCTAAGTCCTACAACCTAAGTTGAGTTGAAAGTTACATTTTTTGAAGTTTGAGATGAAATTCCTCAAAATTTGGTTAACAGTCTAATTATGAGCATGCCGGAAAGATTGGAGTGCATAATAAAAACAAAAAGAGTTAACACACCCTATTAAAGATTTTTAAGCTTGTTTTATATTAATATACAAAAGTGTTTTCTCTTTTTTGATTATTTTTGTTTTGTTTTTGAGAGGTTTTTTATTGCCATACTGCCAAAATCTGTTAATAAGCCCCTGAATTATAAAAATATAGGCCGCAAAATTACTGAAAAACCAAGTATATAATAAAATATCAAAATTTCAAAGTGCGCCACTTTTTTTTTTGTTGAGTAGTTGAATATACATATGAAGAAAAACTGAACCAACTGCTACGACAAAACTTTTTACACTAAACCATAAAAATTACATGAAAATGAACAGGATTCCAAGAACCATATTAACAAGAAGCACAGTCCATAAGAGCGACTTAGCAACGCAATAACGAAAGATGACATTAATCGAAAATTGTGCCGTAAAAGTCAAGGAACAACATTAGGAACTATCTCTTTGAACAGATTAAAGTCAAGGAACATAAACAAAGACGATGTCATCCAAGGGATCTACTGTCCACTAAAGTTAAATTTTTCAAATGACATTTATTACAATAAACATAAGGAGAAATAATAATATATCTGATTCATCATTCATAACATAAGAATTTTTTTAAAATTAACACTAAATAAAACTAAAATTAGCTTGTAAACTGATTTAAAACACACAATATTGTAACATACACACAAAATTTGTGTTCCAAGTTGTTCCGCTAATTAGGCAACCCTAGAGCAGCCGCCTCCTACAATTGGCAGCCTCGCAATAGCAGTAGAGTTTCTTTCCAGGAACGCTGTCAACATTGTATCCGTAGTTCCAAGTCAATTCGGTGCCAGCTGGAATGTACTTCAGAGCAAAAAAAGATACCCAAGGGAATCTGAGATCGTGAGTATCAACAAAGACATTTTGGACGAATATGTTCGGATCACAGGAATGCTAGAGACAAAAAATTCAGATTAACAGCGATTAAAAAAAATTTCATATTAACTATGTATATAAACAAAGACTCTTACATTTAAATACCGGCCAATGTTTCCGGCTACTTTAGCATCCATGATGTAAACTGACTCCGATGGGCCATAGTAAGATCTAACCGAAGGCTTTGAATCTCTATTTCTATCCTCATCATTATCCATAGCAAAATTGGATTGATCATCTGCAAACAAAATCATGATTGAAATGTATACAACAAAGATCATGCATTTCTTTATTTGTAAGTTGTGTTTTGTTTAAGAAAACTGATATTACCATTTTCAGAATATTTTAGAAGTCATTCATTTTCATAAATTAGGTTAAATACAATATTCCGCCTAAAATAAGCTTGTAAACTGGTAAAAACCACTGACAGAGACAATATTGGATTAAACCATAAATCACAAATGAAACATGCATTAAGAACCAAAAATAATTTGAGGAATGAGGGAGATTTAAAAACAACCAAAATAGGATACTTAGTGCAGTGAAACCCCTCCATAGCAGCCACCTATCCTAGTAGATAATTTTTCCATTCCTCAGCACCAACAAAAAAATGATTTCCATACATTTTAACCCCCTCTATAATTGAACCCCTCCACACCTATTGCCGTCGTCCCTATCAGAGTAATTTAACGCTCTAGAATGAACATAAACAGTAAAAATATACTCAAAGACAAAAACCAGATGCTCACATTTTGTTGTTCATTTCAAACTGTGTTTTTATCATTATATTAATTACAACATACTTATTTTAATGTAAACCAAATTAAATGAGATCAGAAATTCATTCATTTTAATCAAAAATATTGGAGAAGCACGATAGTGAACAAATTAGCACGTGACGCAGTGTAGGCATTCAGCCACCTCAACAACATATCAAAACTACAATTAATTGTGTAAAGTGAAGTGTAGTGGAGAGCAGGCTATAAATTATTAAGTGTTAAAGATGTAAGTTCCACGGAAGAATAATCATCTATTAGTTCCAGGGGTAAACAGTCTTAGAATGGCAGTGCATTGAAAAATTACTATTAACCCATTGACAAGCTTTATTTTATGTTAAAAAAAAACTAGGGTTTCAATAGAATATACAGCATTAAACATGACAATTCCAATTAGCCAAATTTCTACTTTGGGGTAGAGTTTAAGAGCAATGTTGTAAAATTTAACCCATGGGTTCACCAATCAGTTTGCACTGTATTCGTGCAATTAAATATCATTAGAGTGGATGTTAAATGCAAGATATGAGCACAAATTCTATCAATTTTAACTCTCAATTAAAGTTATTTAATCTTCAATTAATTAAGGTTTTAAGTTGAGATAAAAAAGTCAGTGTCACGAGCGGGATTTGAACCCACGACCTTCGGCTTGATACGCCACTACTCTACCACTTGAGCTATCATGACTCCGATCCCCTCGGGCACTAACTTCCCATCTCAATCGCACCTTTATCTCAACTTAAAACCTTAATTAATTGAATGTTATTAATTGATCAAGCGGACCACGAAAAATAGTGAATTTAATGAATTAAATTGAAGTATACTTCACTAAAGCTCTCTGTGGCCATTTCATTTGTCGTCGAGAATCCAATCCGATTACACGACATTTGAACAATGGCAAAAAGGAGGGAAAATTCAAAAGGTGGGTTGAGGTGGGAAGTTAGTGCTCGAGGGGATCGAAGTCACGATAGCTCAAGTGGTAGAGTAGCGGCATATCAAGCCGAAGGTCGGGGGTTCGAATCCCGCTCGTGCCATTGACTTTTTTATCTCAACTTAAAACCTTAATTAATTGAATGTTATTAATTGGTCAAGCGAACCACGAAAAATAGTGAATTTAAGGAGTTATTTAATCTACTAACACAATATAGTTCTAAATTAATCCATATTTGCTTAGTGGTCATAAATGGCCATATTAATTATTCCAATTAATTATTCTTTTTATCTAAGGTTTTTGGTAGAAAATATGGTAAAAAGAGGGAAAATTCGAACAGTTGTACGTTGAGATGAGGAATTGGTGTCCAAGGGGATCGAAGTCACGATAGCTCAAGTGGTTAGAGCAGTGGCATATTGAGCCGAAGGTTGTGGGTTCAAATCCCGCTCGTGACACTAGCTTTTTCATCTCAACCAAAAAACCTTAGATAAAAAGAATAATCAATTGGAATAGTTCTAATGTTAGTTTTGAAAATTGAAAATAAAAGAATGAGTAAAATTGTACTTACAATTATCATTAGAATCCTCATTTCCTAAAATTAAGAGAAAAGTAAAATAAAAATAAAAAAATCAACCAAAAAATTTGTTCTAATACAATTAAAATTACCACAAACAGAGAAAATTAAAACTTAATAAAATTATCACCAAAAAACAACTTACCTTCACATCTATCCCTGGGCCGTTTCATAGTCCTAAAATTAATATTAAATAAATATACATATTAATAATTTTTATTAATATTTCATGCAACGGGTGACTATTAAAAAATGTGTGCTTTATATTTATAATTTGATTTAAATAATTCTCTTAGCGCTTTGTTCATTATTTGAATCGCTAGTTTCCTTTTAAACTTGGAAATACAGTGAAACCCCTTTTAAATGGCACTCCTTTATAGCAACCACCTCTCTTAACAGACAATTTTTGAGCTCCCTGGCATAAAAGAAAAGATTTCTATACATTTTAAAACCATCCATACCAGTTGCAGACACTGCCGACATTCCCCATCAGAGTAATTCACCCCTCTAAAATAGACATAAACATTAAAAGTGTATAAATGTTCATATGAAAGAATATTTATTAAGATAATTTTAATTTTTTTAAGCCAAAAATGTTTCAGGAAAGTAGGCTAGATATAGCAAATCCATTACTGAGAAATAATAAAAACCTTTTATTTAAATTTTGTTATTTTGACACAGCTGTTAAGAAATTCTGCATACGTTTCTTCAACTTTTCTAAATACTACTTATTTCTTCTTTTTTTGCAAGTTCTGTTCTTCCTTACATATTCTGCGATTATTTGAACATAATAATCTATTTTCATGAATTACATAGGTACATTTTCAACTGCTTCTCTTTCACGAAGGAATAAATTGATCAGTTGACTACTTGTTTTCACACCCATCAGTATCTTATTTTTTAATAAAAATTTAAATTTTTCATTATATATAGTTCTTTTAAAAGACATACGATGATTTTGCATCAACAAACCACCTGACTAAGAGGGAAGGTTTACCTATTTAGGTACTTAGGTAAAGGTAGGAATAAGTAACTTCTTCCATCTTGGCTATGCGGCTTGTTGCTGCAAAAAAAAACTATAATGTGTACAGATTAGTGACCGTTAATCGATAGTTATTCAGATATCGTGAGATGCGGTCGGGTGTGATGTAGGTTTCAGAAAAACATTTTCTTTATCGTGCCAACATTTCGATCTTTTATTGAGATCATCTTCAGGGCCTGGGATTTACAAACAATGTTTACATTTAATAAATAATTTGTTAAATGTAAACATTGTTTGTAAATCCCAGGCCCTGAAGATGATCTCAATAAAAGATCGAAACGTTGGCACGAAAAGAAAATGTTTTCCTGAAACCTACATCACACCCGACCGCATCTCACGATATCTGAATAACTAAAAAACTACAATGAAAAATTTAAATTTTTATTTAAACAAAAAAATATGTTGGGTGTAAATTCCCAAAGCGTAAAAAACATGTAATGTAAAAATAAAGCAGGAAATTTAGTTATTAAAAAAAAAATGGAACTATTTTTAACCACAAATTATAAATATAAAAAGACATTTTTTTTTTTAAATCTGTTACATAATAAAAATTATAATAAAATATTATGTATTGTGCTCAATGTAACATTTAACGTGATTAAAAATATATATTTTAAATCTCCCCTGAGCAGGCACTCCTCAATGATGAACAAAAGCACTTCTTTATTGGGTGTTCATTTTAGAGGGGTTTCACTGTACTAACATTAATAAAATGAATTATTTTACACACAAAAAATAAAATTTAGTTGAATAGTACGCTTAAGTTCTACAAATATCATATTAGTTATTACCTTTCATTTGATCTTTCTCCATCACTACTAAGCCATTCTATAAGCAGAAAGAAAAAACTGTTTTAATCAAGAATGATAAAATGAAAAATCCAATTATATTTACCAGGATCGTCATCAAAGTCTGGAGGAAATTCCTCATAATTTTCTTTGTGCTCTTCTAAGACTTCAATATAATCTAACTCGGCAAAATACTCATCACCGTGGGTTCGTCCAGTCTAATAAAAAATGTGAAGTAATAAATAACATTGTAGAGCACAGTACAACTTTTACTACCCGATGTTATTTATTTTTTTACTCACTTCATTGGCATATTGTTCGTTGAGTATGTTTCCAACATATACACATATAAATGTCCCAGCTGGTATATCATTCACACATCTGGTACCCCAACCTTTCTTTTTTGTTTTAAACAACTGTAATTTAATTTTTAAAGGGTGCTGTACAACCCTATTTAAACATGTTTTTTGGCAGCATTTGCAGCTGGAACATCACAAGCAATAAAAATAAAATTTAAACATTTTAATTCAAGTACATAACATAATTTCTAAAGGATTCCCGTGCAATCTTTTTATTTATTGCTAACTCCGATTGAAATAAAACCAAAACAAATTAAGAACACATTCTAGATGATGTAAGGTACAGCCTAAAAAAAGTGTAAAGAATCACCCAGTGGTGACACTTCCAGTAGGGTCTACATGACGTCTCACTGCCCAACAGGTTGCAAGGCCACTGTTCGTTTAATGTGGGGGAGGGGGATTATTGGGGATAATTCAGGACGTTAGGTTTAAAACTAAGGGATTGGAATGTAATGAAAAGATATGTGGAACTTTATGTATCGGGATTTTATGACATCTTTTACTATTTTTTGGAGAATTTCCTATTGGCAAATTTGGATGCAATAATTGGAAGGTTTGGTCGTTTGTCTACCAGTCATGAAAATATTTTTATTACTTACGTTTACTGGTCAGTTCCTGCTTTTCAGTCTTCTATGTGGATTCCTTGTTAGTCTTTTGTCAATACATAGCCTGCGGTAGCAGAAGTGGTTAAATATCAGAAGGGATATGTGTTGTAGGTAATATGGCGGCATTATACCACACCAGAGGGAAAACGTTACGTGTTGGCTTTTGTCAACATTTATTTTTATTCGTCACTTTTTCAGCCAAGGTTCTATGTAGAATAGGTAAGTCTGTAGGGAGCGATGTGAGAGGTCAGGATCTTTATTAGAAAACATGATAGCAATATCATCTGAGAAAGTGTGGATGTATGAACCGGGATAGGTAGGTAGATCAGTGGTGTATGGAACCAAGTATATCTGGAATAACCTGGAATAAAGGATGGAACTAAGTATATTGCCTTGAGGTACTCCAGCTTTAACAGGATAGTAGTCAGAGATGTATGTTCCCTGGCTGACCTGAGAGAAAGAGATTGTGTCTGCAACTTGGTGGCATTGCTGGATTGATGAAGTGGTTAGAACCAGAACTGGTGAGATGGGAGTTTTCTTCTTCCAGGATGGGAAAGTTTCTTTTCAAAAAGGAGTTTCTTGAGGAATTTTCCTACTATAGGCAAGACTTATCGGGTGATAGGACTGAGGTAATTGGTTAAGTTTTGAGATGATCATTTTTACAATGGAAAACTTCCTAGGAAAGTGAGTAAATTTTAGGACAGCATTACATAGGTATGTTAAGAAGAGGATTTCTTTTTAAGGAGGATCGAAGGATTTCAGAGGTTATAAGTTTGTACCCATTAGCTTTTTTTTTGGGGGGGGAAAGGTTTTCTGTGTACTTAAACTTCTGAAAGATGAAAAGCTTTTGAAGGAAGGGAAAGAGGTAGTGGCCAGACTAGTTCGTACAGTTTCTATACGATCAGGATCTATGTCAGGATAAGGGTGGAACATTTAGAAAAAGTGTTGGGTGAGGAGTGAAGCTTTTTCTTCATCTGACTTAGCATGATCTGTCAGTGTGAAGTGGAAGGTAGATGTTATGATATGTATAACCTGAGAGAAAAACTTAGTATGTACGTGGTGTTGAATTACAATGAAAAAATTTATTTGTTGTTAACTTTTTACTATTTCTTGTCATTATCTAGTTGTATATTTTTAAATTTATTTGTAGGGGACCGCGGTAGCCGAGTGGTTAGCATGAGAGACTCTCACGCCGCGGTCGTGGGTTCGATTCCCACCGTCGCCTCTGGCCCTTTTTTCACAATAACCCCCCCAAATTTGAACACACATATATGAATTGTCACATGGCTAATATGCATAGTTCATAACGCAAAAAAAAAAAAAATATATTTGTATATTTGTACACATTAAGTTTAAAAAATGAGTATTGGTCAATTCATTATAAAATAATTTTACTTTGTTAAATAGGAGTTTTTACTTTTATTAGACTTTTTTTGCAGGTTTTGAGCTTTTTATTGTGCAATTTTTGCATGTTGCGAGTTTTTTACTGTGCGAAAATCCAGTCTTTAATAATTTCACAATACAATACTAACGTGCTGTTACATTCGTATATCCCTGTTAGTAACATCTCTGGAAGTCTTCTATTTTGGTACCCGATTTTATCAGGATCCAAGTGATAATTGAACGACCTCGCTTGATTTATTGTCTGCTGCCAACAGGCACATTTCGATTTGTCCTGAAGACATTTGTAACATATGAGTACATATAGAAATGTATTGTCAATCAAGTTGAATTGAGTTACCTGGCAATTATCAGTACAGTCGCAGCCGAACAAGAATCCAGGATCGGTGTTGAGATTAACTCCTTCTAAACCTCTTCGCTCAGTCATGTATTCCATTAGATCGGGTATGGTATCATCGTGAGTGTTAATGCACGGGATGGGAACAATCTCACTCCCTCTGGATACATCCTATACAACATTGTATTAAAATAAAATGTTAAATCATCTATTTCTTCAAAAAGTATTGGAGGTACGAGTTTGTTTATTATTACAATTGGGGCTTTATTGTGCAAAATAACAAACTGATTACACAAACTATTTCCGCTAGACACTAATTTTTCTCATTTGCTGGCAGCATATGGATTCCACATTGTAAGAATGACTAGTCTTTAGAGGCAATGAAAGAATCGACACTTTTTTTTCTTTTTTTAATTGCAAGTATAGAAATATGTGTGGTGATTAGTGACCGTTAATCAATGATTATTCAGAGATCGTGAGATGCGGTCTAGTGTGATGGTTTCAAAGTGTTTGTTTTCTGCGTTATTGTGCCATTCACTTTGAGCCCTGAAGATGATCTCAATAAAGATTGAAACGTTGGCACAACAAAGGAAATCTTTTTCTGAAACCTACATCACACCATCTCTGAATAATTATAGAAATATGGCTCAGACAGGCTATTATGATTGATTGAAACAAGTGGTAGTCGGAAGGAGAATCTGAAATTTCAAATTGAGTGTTTACAAGTAATTTTTGACTGCAACACGTCAAGCATTGTCATGTTGCAAAATCACTTTGTAGTTCTCTACACGTATTCAATATTTGGCTCAAGTGCATCAATTAGCAGTATGATCCGCCTGAGATGGTTTTGTTTACTTTTAACAGCTCATAATATAACCCAGATGATCCCACCAAATATGAGTTTTGATCCGTGAATATTTTTTGGTTTCGGTGTTGATGCATGGCCAGTCTTACCCCCACAATTTTTTGTGCTTTGGATTGTCGTAATTCACTTTTCATCGCCAGTTATGATTTTAAAAAAAATTGGCTTTTGAAGCTTTTTGCAAGTAAACAATATCCTTTAAACGTCTATTTGTTTTTAATTCATATGGCATCTACTTGCTTTGCTTTTGAACCATTCAGCTTTGGGGCTTAATCAAATTGTTAGTTGAGTCACTCCCAAAGCTTTTGCAAGTTCTTGTGTTTGATATAAATCTTCATTCAATAATGCCTCCAATTTTGCACCAGTAATCACAACTGCTTTTTTTCAATGTAAGTAGAAAAGCTTCATGAAAAGTGCATTTTGTTGGTACAAAAGCCAATATTGGAGTTAAAGAAAACTGTTTACAATTTGACAATATGAGACGTACTGAAAACTAAAGCTTAATGATGATGTTTTAAAGTTGGTTAAAGGTGGTTAGATTATGATCCTATGCGATTTAATACTAGTAAATCTTGTAAATTCTTTAAAACTTACTTGTACCCCGAATATAATATTGTATTACAATTAACTGGAATACAGTAATATGAATGGTTTTTCAGTTATTTAATTTTTTTTATTTACATATCAGCAATACAGAAATAATTTTCAAGAAACTCCACTCAAAGATGCACTGTATCAAGTTACCAAAACATTTCTTTGGCAATTCTCTTTTCAAAAACTGTCAAACTTTTGTACTTACTTCTATGAGAATATAATCCTGAGCAACGACGAATTCATCGAAAATTGATATTGCCGGGTCAAAATCGAACAAGTCGATTGTCAGCGGCAGTTTTGTTAAGCGGAGGAAAGTCAAAATATCTTCACAACTTCGCAATTTTTTACCACAAGGAGATAAATAAGTTACATTCGAATCTTCAGTGTCTCTGAAAACGGGTTAATAGACAGTAAACATAGAGACATGTTATCATAAATTTTTCAGTTATTTCCAATTGCAAGTTAAAAAATGTGGGAAAACAAATTACAACAAAATTTGTTTAATAATTTAAGAGTTAAAATTAATTTTATTCTATATTTCTACCATAAAATTTATTTTCAATAGTTAATAGTAACTGTTTAATTATTTAATTAGTGGCAACACATGGATTTCGTTTAAAATTGGAAAATGAATTCTATTGGTAATGGTTAATTATTTTGAAATCATTTCTTTATATTTGAGAGGTTGGTATAAACGTATTTACGCTAGAAACAATTATAAAAATATAGTGTGAATTGTTTACCTTTTGAATGCATAAACAGAAGGTATAGCAAGTGGATTCATTGCTTTAATTTTCTTATTTTCTGAAGTTACCCAACTAACACAATAAGGAGAACATGAATGGGGTCTATTATTTCTTGGATTTAAAATACCTTGGGGATATTTTCTCTATAAAAAAAGCAAATAATTAATACATACAACTTATACTGTAAATAATATAACATCTCTTAAAATATCATTATTTTTAATAGTTAGAAATGTGAAATGTCCCTGGTACCCTCATCTAAGGGAACACATGGAATGGTTTTGACCTACGTGTTCGAGAGAAAAACCAAGTTGGTGAATCACCCATAGTAGGTAGAGGTGCAAACCGCCTGTCTGTTTTGAGATGACCCTACGAGTCTTTTTTTAAAGCACCTGGCTTTCAGTAGTTTCTACTGAGTCACAACTGACATGTCGCATTTCTTTGAGAGGTTCAACCACCATTTGTTGACTTTTTAGTATTTTTAGTTTTTATTTAATTGAGTTCCAAAATGCAAAAAATAGTTGTGGAAAAATGGACCAATGAGGTTTAAAAGTCTACTGCTTTATCGGACATGAAAATTCCTCAATAAATTGATTGAATTATCACAATAGGTGTATTTATTTACCTAATAATGACATTTTGAAAAATACTAGTAAAGAGAATTTTTTTACAGGAGGCAGGTTTTATGTGAGGCCAAAAACAAGAATTATAAAAAAAATTGAAAACTGAAACATAAACATTTATTTTTTTAGCACAATTTTTTAAAATTTTCCTGAATTTTTTAATTAGAGAAAAATCCCTCCCTCTCCATTGTACTCTAACGTCAATATTATGTTTAGGCTTTCCAGTATGTATTGCAAGCCGGTCCCCGTCTAAGCAAAAGTTAGGAATAGTTGCTAAAGTAAATTAAAAATAATTGTAAGGAATATCAAACAAACATGAGAAACAAGGCCTTAAATCTGAGGGTCACCCACCAGGAAGGGAGCAAAGACACGTTTCCCACAAACTTGGAGATCATAGTAATGTGATAGTTGAATTTCTTGTCTACTAAATAACGAAAGTCAAAGAATTACTTAGTGTGGGAAGGGTGCTGGTGCACATCTTCGCCGCTAACAGCAACTCCCTCAGATTCTATCAGGCCCAATATTTTTGCTTTTCATTTACTCCTCTACTCTGGGAAACCAGTATAAAAAGGAATGATTTGGAATGCAACATCAGTCAATGTGGGAAGGCAGTCAACTTGACCACTCAGTCAGGCTCACAGAGACAGTGGCTGAACACGACATCGACTTTCCAGGGCCGAGAATCAGAGTTGACTGTCCAAAACCAGCCCGATGTAGGACGAGTCAACAGCTGAGTGTCTCAGAAATGGTGGCCAGGAGGACGGACTAGATCAGCCAGAGCTGGGAAGACTCAGTGAAAGAAAGAAGAAGAACGTCAGCAGCAGCCACAGTCAACTTGTAGACTCATCATAGAGGAGTCAGTCTATCCAGAACAGTAAGCACCCACACTCCATCTGGGACTCAGCAAGATGATTCAGTCAACAAGAGCCAGCAATGGCCAGCCATTGCAACAAGTCGAATGGAGTTGACTGTCAAGGACCCAGGAAGCTGCAGAAAGATCCTGGACGACAATGGATGATGTGAAAGCTGGTATTGGCGAGCAAAATTTAGGGTAAGCCCTCTTGTGAATTAGTTCATCCCAGAGTTCAGAGTTAAAGTGTGGTTGACTTGATTTTTTTTTTTTTAAATATCCTATTTAAGATTTTTTTTTTTTTTTTTTTTTTTTTTTTAGATGGGCCAATGTAACAATAAATATTTAAAAATATTCTCTGGTTTAAGGTCGATTTATAATAGAACGTGACGTGTGGAGAATGAGTCCCGTAAAGCGTTTGTATTTACATTACACCTGGCTGCTTACCTATTAGGCACGGCAGTGGCTGGGATCTTCAACTCAATTTTTCATCAATTTTACTAGCGTTCACGTCGGGAAATGCTTTTTGTATGTGTGCGCCCGATAATAACATGAACTTTAACATTGTTGAATTAGCAGCTATTGCTGTAGCTCTTGATGAGGAAGAAGGCGAAAAGACGAAAAGATGGGATGTACATCCAGCTTTGAAGAAAAGGGGATCAGAAGGTGAATTCGTTACCCTCTACAAGGAGTTGAACTATGACGAGGAAAAGTTTTTATGGCTATTTTAGAATGGCTCGTCAATGTTTTTCACTTGTTACGTGTTGAGTACTAACGGGGGTGGAGTTCATACTATACGGGACGGGGAAAGAATCGTAGGCTCTGGGGCGCCGTACGGGGTTTAGCCTGTGCCGCCCTAATGTGAACTCTCCTACTTAAAAACAATGAGATAATATGTTGACGTGCCCCGAAAGACAGCGTATTTCGTACCCTGCACGTTCTAATATAAATCTGCCTTTATTGTATTTTTGGAACCCTATATTCCTTTACCCAAAAAGTACAAAAATTAGTTAAACATGTATGCTGAATGTTTATTTATCGTTTACAGAGCCCGCTTACGGTATTGCGAAGCAAAATCAATTAAGATAATACATTGAAAATGAGATAATGTTTAAATTTTATTACAATTATTATTAAAGACACATTGTTAGGCCTAAAAAATCTATAAAAGTTTAAATCAAACTTACTATAATCTTGCCATAGTCTAAACGGGTCGACCGCCTCTCACTTGTACGTCTTTGTATAGAATGATGCGTATAATGATGGTCCATGTGAGAATTTGGTTTTGTTACGCTCTTTCTAGCCACAGCTCTGACAGTACCACTAGAAATATTCGATTCTCGTTTGATGGTAATGGACCTCTCTAAGGAGAAATAAAATTTTGTCTTTAAAATATTAATATTATTTTTAGTGCAGCGTAATGGGGTATACAAGCTGATGGACCTGTAACTGGATCATTCGTAATCATCCTTCTTTCTGGGTTTGCATGTCAGATGGGTTTCACAATTTCACCATCTTCATTCCAGAAAAAACAGGTAAATCAGGATGATCAGGAATGTTCAAGCTACACTTGTATTAACTATTGTAATATTTAATTCTTATATCAGTTGATAGTTAATCATCAAAATTTTTAGTTAGCGCATGTTATAGTAGGTATGGTACAAACCTGATGAGGTATCACTGTCATCATCTGATGACACCACTTCATATTGGATGTAAGGCCCTTGGCTCTATAAAAGACAAAATTTATTATTAAAGAGTTAAATAACCTTTTTATTATTAAAAGGCTAAATGTTTTCTTATTTGTATAATATTCAATTAACCTATTTCGAAGATTTAGCAGGAAAGCCTAATATTATCATTAATCTTAAGTTTACCTAATGCTCATCAGTTGAAAATATTAAGTAGTTGATCAAACATAAAATATTGAATTAGATAAGCCAAACTCTACACACAGATGTACATACACAAGGATGCAGAAATGAGCCTATCACTTCTCGCAGTCCACCAGCAAATGCAGTTTTTGTAATTTGCAATAAATTACCAGCAGGCATCAAGAATCAGCCACCCTAGATATTGACAATCCATGGTCAGACCTCAGTCATATGCATCCAGTTATCAAGGTTGGGCTCCAGGGGTTATCAAGAGCTAAGTCATTTCAGCCCCAACGTAATCTCAGTCTCCCATTCACACTCTCATTCACTCTTAAATACATCATTTCGTATTTACATAGCAATCACCCAGTTGGGGTCGATGGGGTACTAAATATTCCGCCATCGGCCGTCTCACATTACACATTCTTGCTAATAAATGCAATCAATCTCAACATAAACAAATAAACGAAGGGCGAGATATCTATAAAGTATTACATATAATAAAACAGACCTGTTTCCTCTAAAAATTGGGACAGAGGATTCAAATACTATCTGCCATGCCCAAGCACAGTTACCATATGGAGAATCTCCACCTGGACCTAAGGAGAAGCACTCTTCAATGAAGTGGGACAAATCAAGCAACCTTTCTCTACATGACAGACACATACACAGGCTTTAGCCCAAAATTGTGTCAACCTCGCACGGCCTATTCTTAATCGGCTGAGGATGGCCTCTCTTCTAGTCAGATCCAGACACCCAACGAGTTATGTGACAGCTTCTCTGCAGACCCGGCCCACTGATGTTGGCAATTTCATTTAATCGTGTTTTATATTGCTTTTTAGCATCAGAGGACTAGATCATGGCGGTCAGGTCTGGGATTGGTACATAGCTGCCTCATCCAGCTTTTTGTTACACTTCAGACAATCCACTGTTTTTCCACGTTGTGGTATTTCTTCAACAAGAGCCTAAAAAGAAGGTAGACAGAAGAGCCATCACAAACAGCACCGAGAGTTTTGCAGACAAGGTAGGTACTGCCACCATTGTCTCGAATCATCCAAAGTGTTCCAAATCTCAACAAATCCATCATGTAAACGCTACCGTGCAGTGGGAGCAACTATGAAGTGGGCACACCCTCACAATGCAACCAAACATACAATAAAATTGTCAATTTTCATGATAGATTTAAAAAAACACTATTCTTAAAAAAACTAGATCAAAATAATTTCAATTTAATAAGATGATTGATCAGCCTTCTCAGTTTAAATATTTTTCTTTCCAAAAGGTAGATTGGGGATAAGGCCAGGAAGACAGAAACAACAATACGATATATTCTTCCAAAAAATCGACAAGAAAATAAATGTTGTTTCTGTCTTCTTGGCCTCATCCCCAATCTACCTTTTGGAAAAAAAAATATTTATAATTATAGAAAACATAAACCTCAGCAATAATAATTTTAATTCAATTTTACTTGGTTAACAGTAGTGCCTCGATGTCGAATCTTTCCTGTTGGTGTGTCCTGTTGGATTTGACGTTTTTTCTCAAAAACAGGATACAATCTAGGAGAACCCCTGTATATCCATTCTGAATGACCGTTGTTTAAGAATAACACTTTTATTAATGAAGCGTCCACTTCAATCACTCTGGCATTAAACCACACTCCTAAAATCATTTATTTTAGTTCAATTAAACCTTAATATTAATATACACATCAAGAAAAAAATTCTTTATAAGATACCTCTGAATCTTGTTTTTACCCTCTCTAAAGGCTTCACTCTAAGCATAGGCCTCTCTGGAAATGAGGTAAGATAGGATCTGATAAACTCTTGACTGTCCACATCAAAATATTCATGAGGTTGCTTCTTGCAATCAAGAACGTATCTGACTTCATTCGATGGAACATAGACACTTGCACCTCGATCATAGAATACCAAATACCTGAGAAATAATAGCTACACTGAAAACAACTCAAAAATAGCACAGTTATGTTTTTAAGCAAAAATGTACTGTTTTATGATAAAGAAAAGCATATTGCAAAATAAAATATTAATATGATTACAAATTTGCCATAAAATTTGCAAATTAAACGTGACTAAAAAAAATTTCCCTGGTGTCAAAACAGATCATTTATAAAATGTATTGCATGAGATTTGAATAAGATTTGAAATCTCCCTCTCTCTCTCTTTTTTTTTCTTTTTTTTAAAATAATAATAATAATAAACGAAATCATCAACTTCTTCAATCAAGGACTGATTTATTTGCTTATCCTTTTAGTTGATAGTAAATTAATTGCTCGTGGCACTGAAAGAAAAATTTCACGGTTTCCTAAAATAAAATCGATTAAGAGGACACTGGAGCCTCATTAAAGCGCAATTCTGCCTGATGCCAAATTTCATTCAAAACTCTTTGGATCATACAAATCTAGATCTTTAAAAAATTTACATGTCTCAGGGTTTTTCCCAAAAAATGCTCCAATAAAAAAACAAAAAGGGAGGGGGAATAGAAGTTAAACTCACCCTGTATGCGCTTAATGACAAATAACCAGACACTTGTTACGCCCTGACTGTTCTCCTCCCCAATTGTGTGACTTCCGGTCAAAATTTTAGAAAAAGAAATCATTTTCGACGTTAGAGGTTGGAAAAATTTCCTTTTTTTTTTTTTTGTAAGGGGTTCCTCCAACGTGGCAGGGACCGTTGCCGACCTAGGAGAGAATGACAGAAGCCGTGTAGTAGGGTGGGACACCTGGATCAGGTACGGAGACGGCGGAGGCCGGGCGAACACAGCGGCAGACTGGTGGGGGTGGACGGGAGTAGGCAAGCGGAAGCAGGCAAGGCGAGAGAGCGGTGAGAGACGAGACAAAAAACAGGAAAAAAAGGAGGAAAACCAGAGGAACAAGGGACATCCTTTTCTTTTTCCAGTGTGGGAAACGGCTGTTCTCCTCTGAGAATAGGATACGCATCCGGGAGGAGCTAGGAGGACAGACGTCGAGACAAGGCGCTCCGGCAAAGTCCAACGTGTGGAGAGTTTTTTTTTTTTAAGAATTTCTTTTTTGTAGAGAGGATACTCCAATTATTGTAAATTTAATTTCGTTTGCGAGGCCTTCGCGTAATAATTCTATTGTAAATTAAATTGTATTTAATAGAATTTTGTTTCATCTAAATTCAGATTGTTTCATTTTTTTATAGTACTTATTTATTTTCATTCTGGTTGTTGTTTTAATTTTTTTTTTTTTTTTTTTTTGACCCCTGGCGAATGTCGGTCTACTGATTTTAATGATTGAATAAGGTGAACAGTCGGATACTAACAAGGCAGCTCGTAGTGCAGGGGAATCACATTCGCTTTAAGACTAGAAGGTCCGCGGTTCGAGTGCGTTTGAGGTCATTTTCATGCGTGGAATTTTTTTTCCTTTTCCTCTTTCCCCCCCACTTTTTTTAGGGATTCACTATTTTCCCTGGATCAAATAGTGTGGCACCTGACTGTAGTATTGGTTCCCCGGAAATCCCCCCTTCTCCACTGAGTGCCAGTCCGCAAGTTACTACCAAAGGTAACACACTTGCATTTATTTGTTTATTTTTGATAATAACTAGGGATGGTTAAGGATGGAATTTTTTTTTATGAAACAATAAATTTGAGTTTTAAAAAAAATTTCTCTTAAAAGTATGGTTTTAAGTTGAGATATCGCTGAAACTCTGGGTCCATCCATGATGGTATACAGCGGTTTATGGCCACTGAATGTCTTGATTAAATTGAAGATTTGACAGTTAGTCAGCTCCAAACGGTGCATAATGTATGGATGAGCTCTAAAATAAGACATCAGAAGCTTTATGAGAAGAGGCTTAGTCTCTAGATGTCCCGCATCAGGTTCTCCTCTACTAGAATGGCATCGAGTTGAAAGGCGACTATTCACAAATCAGCATCTAACTTGGACACTTCAAACGAGTTCCAGTATAGTATGTGGCAATCAGATGACTGGGAACATGAGTGAAGAAAAAAGTGGATGCTTTGTTTCATGTGCCATGTGTGAATCGTAGCCTTTTCAAAGAGAAGACAGTTGTGGAATCAACATCCATGCTGCACCGAACTGATTATCATACAGACCTTTGACTGCACTCTATGTAAATTGAGGAAGTTCTTCTAGAAGCTGGGATGCTATTTGCTTCCATTTATTGTCCACATGTAGCTCGAGTTGCCACCCATTACTTAGAGGATGTAGGGTTACCACAATGAAATGGCCAGCACATTGTCCTGATATGAATCCCATGAAGAGGCGGGTTCATTCTCAGCCAATAAGCATTGAACAGCCTCAAACCGCTCTAGTCGAAGAATTGGATTCTGTTTCACAAGACAAAATCTGATCGCTTATTTATTCGATGCCTAGGAGACTAAAGACCCTCTGTGAGACTAGAGAAGGTGATATGCGTTTCATTATTAAGAGCAAAACCAGGTAATAAATTGTTAGTTAAATTTTAATCTATCACTAAATCATTTTGCGGTGTTTTGGTGAATTTTCTTTCAAACCATCACAATCAAATAATTTTTAATAAAACTCATGAATGTCTCGTTTAATTCGATTTTCATTAAAATAAATATGTTGAAGTAAACCACAAAATATGATTTTTTTGTCTTCAGTGCATTTTCTTTGATAAAGTTTTGAATAAATAAAATACCCTCTTATTATCTTAGTAAATTATTAAATTAACAATACCTATATTTGTTTAATCGAGTAGGCAGTTCAGCTACGATTCCAGACTGGTAATTCATTCTATGGTTTTGATTTACAGAGTGAGGAGCTATGACACGAGAGCCTATGTCCAACTTCAGATTACAAGGGTAGTAATACGCTAACCGGGAGCTGTCAATTTCTTCTCGATTGAGTTCGGAATCGTTCATGTTTTCCACTTTCACTTTATACCTGTCTTCATACTTTCCCTACAGAATATTTACATTTATATACACCGCTAGATATGATAATCTAGTTTAAATACAACTTACATTTATGACTGTTTTCAGTATTTTATCAACAGTAGCAGGCACCCACTCTTTATAACCTTGTATGCTCCTTTTCTCAACGAAAAACTTGTCGCCCACTTTTGGGATTGGTTTATTTGAAGGATCGATCAACTTTATATACTGAAACCCAACAGAATCAATATCTAAGATTTTGATAAAAAATAATTTAAAATGTCTATTACCCTAAATGTATTTGCGGTACTTTTTATTGCCATTTTTCTATCCTGAATTATGTTTCTCTGAGGGACAGTCCTTTGAGAGTATCTCTTATTACCAGCATATCGTGTGACAGTTGGTGTGACTGAGGAATGTACTTGCACGTTCGGTACATCTGCTACATCGATTGAAGGCATTTCCTGCAAAATGGAAATTGGTAAACATGCACTTTTTTTTAATGAAAACTAATATTTACCTTTGTAACAGGTCTGTACGTTTCATACAATTCTTGCATAGACGTATAAAGGCCTGAATCGATTTCTTTCATTTCCCTTTGACATTGTTTCACTTTCTCTGCAATAATTTAAACAATCACATCCAAATTTGAAGAATCAAAATTTAACGAGTGACAGAATGTGAAGAAATGTTACCTAAAACTTGTGAAGTTTTATTATCTAGCCACTCATTTGCTGCCTTAACTTGCTTTTTGAGGTCAATCTTCTGAAACAACGACTGACTAATGCTATCAATCAAACATGACAATGGTGCTTCCAGTGTAGGATCTAATGAGCCTAAAATAAACAATTGCATTATATTAAAGCTTCCAATGATATGATTCTGTCTATGGGAAGCAATTCGCTTCTTTTATTATTATGCCTAAATATACATAGTTAGATTTACTGTTTTTACTTGTACTTCTATGAAGGTGCTTGTACAATAAGAGGTAAAAGTGGATAGTACCATGAAATGGTACTTCAAGTTATAAAATAAACAGAGAAGCAAAAACATAAGAACGTGTTTTCAATTATAGTAACTCAATTAAATGTTGAATAGCATAAATTAGTGTTTGGATATTGTAAAAATTACTTCAAAAAACTTTTGTACGTATATGCTTTTTCATGGTATTCTTATTACAATAATTACATTTATAATCAACAAAAGCATCTAAAAATTAATTTTCAACCATTTAACAAGAAATGCATCTGGCAAAATTATGAAAAGTTTTATGCACAATTGATGTTTTTAAATTGATCAACTGATATAAAAGGCTTATCAAAGGGGTGAGTAAAACAATATAATGATACAAAAGTTAAATTTTTATTTTACATTTTCAATTATAGAAAAGCAGAATTATTTATAAGGCTCGATCCCCTGGCAATATCACTCTTTCAATTTTGTTTGAGAAAAAAGTTTTCTAATCCAATATGACTTCCCATGTATGTTTTCTCTAATGAACTAGACAAATGTTAGAAAAATATGGTAAATCTGTAGCCACATGGTTTAGATGTTTAGGTGATGACAGATTGCTCATCAATGTAAGGTAAAGGTCCCGGGTTTGAATCCAGCAGCCTGTTTTTTTTTTAACCCACACCCCAAGGTTCTATATGACCTCAGCTGTTGCGAACATTGGTAAAAAATATAAATAAATTTAAAAAAAAATGATACAGTGAAACCCCCTTTACAATGAAAGTGCAAGAAAAATGTGTTTGTATTCGTTAATGAGGAGTGCCTGTTCAGGAGGGGTTTAAAATATTTTTTTTTTTACATTCAAGTTAAATGTATGTTTACATAAGACATAATATTTATATATATCAAAGAATCTTATAAATAAATAAGAACATGCTTATCATAAAAAAATAATCATAATTTTAAAAACTAATATAATTTTTTTTTAATCAATCTTAGTCTGTTTTTTAAAAATAGATATAGACATTTCATTCTCGTGGTGCACTCATAATTTGTTCACCATGGCAATTCATTTTTCATCTAACTTATCTTTATAAAACTCAATCATATAAAATAGCTCTTTTTTTATTTAACATCAGTTAAATGAAGCAGGGTAGCACAAAAAGCAGGTGAGACTTAAGAACCAAATTGTGCCCATTGGACCAATAACAGACCAAACACAGTGTAGCAATACTAAATTCCACTGATGAAAGAATAAAGACAAAGTAGTTTCCAGAAAATAAGAAAAAATAAAGAGTTGTCAAATGTCTGAAAAACATATTCATCAACAACAGAGAAACTTTAAAAAAAGACACAACATATATGGACAAAGTAGTTTCCAGAGAAATATGGACAAAAGAGCAGTCGAATGATTGAAAAATTATTCTTCTATGACAGTGTCTGCGACTGGCATGGAGGAGTTCTATTATAGAGAGGTTTAAAATGTATAAAAATCTTACCTTTTTTGCTGGGGGACGGAAAAATTATCTGTTAAGGGAGGTGGTTGCTATAGAGAGGAGAGAGGTGTGTGTTAACAGGAGTTTCACTGTAGTAACTTCTTCCTATTTACATCCCCTAGGTATATTCTCTAATCCTTTTTAATTAAATTTTTAATAACATAATTTTCAATTGTTCTGAATCTGGGTCAGAATTGACCAAATGCCCTTCAGGATTAAGCCTCGTTCAGAAAATATACTATTTTGTTAAAATTGTATTTGCCTCATGTCATGGTCACGCCCAGTATAATCAATATAAGTCAACTTTCGTGGAAATTCTCTTTGCAGAATTTTTATTTCTCGTAACTTGTGTGACTGTGACGAACCAAGTACGTTTCAAAATTTGAATACGTTATTGGTGTTGATGATAATAATAAGAGCCCTTCTGTCCACCACAGATGATCACCCTGAACCTTTCTCCCTTTTGCTGGCATGTACACACATCAAATGTATCCTCATTTTCAAAATTGTTAAACAAATATATGGCGATGAATTTAAAAAAAACAAAGTAATTCCTGTCAGACAGGGGGGGTCAAACCAATTTACAATACAGTTTTCAGATTATTCTAATTCGAACCCAGAACCTGTAGGATGGCAAATATAAACCGGATATCCTAACCACTTTATTAAAGAATTAAAAAGATTCAATTAATGATAACATTGGACATCAGAGTGGAAAACAAATTCAACTCACCCCTTTGGAATAGCCTTTAAAATTAAAAGTATTAATTAATTACATGTTACTACACAAATACAAATTATTTAGCAAGCTTTACTTATAACCAATATACTAAATGACCATTACTTACAACAATACAGTTACAGCCACAATTGTAATGTTTACATTTTTGTTAAATTATTGCTAAGCATTAAGAATGTATTATTAGAACAAATATTCAACATACAGTCAATTACAAGTTATTTAATACAACTGAACTGATCAACGACACAATGAAAAAACAAATGATCATTTTAGATATTTAAGGATTATTAATTTTTTAAAAATTCAACAGATTATCACCACTAATAAACAGTTCCCACCTGAATAATACAATTTTAACTTTTAGATTGGTGTTATTCGTTAAATATTAGCCTGCAATTATTTATACTTTTAATCTAATAATAATGCAGAAACTGAAAAACTGATAATGATGCTGTAATTACCTGCTCCCTCCTCTTCCTCAGCATCCACCACAACTACAGGGTCCACCCGTGGAAATTCACCATCAAATAGAGCTTCGCCATTTTTTAATTTGACGACTCGTTCCTATTTTTTAAAAATAATCTTAACATATAAATCCAGAAATATTTGTGTTAATTTTTCCCATATACCAGTGAAACAGTATTAGTAATTACCAAGGGTTGATTTCAACTTAAATTGCATGCCAAAAATGTAATGTTCATAATAAATACTACTGCAATTTGATATACTGGGTAAAAATTTACAATATTACAAAACCCATAAACAAACAGCTTTTTTATTTCAAATTAAACAAACTTCAAATAACCCTTTTAATTTCAACGGAACTTTTTTAATTTCCATTGAAACCTTTTTAATTACAAATTAACCCTTTTTAATTTCAACTGAATTCTTTTAAGTTCAAATTAACCCTTTTTAATTTCAATTAAACTTTTTTTTATTGAACCCTTTTTAATTTCAAATTTATCCAATCCTTTAAATCATTTAAAAAAAAACTTAGGAGATGAAATACAAACATGTAAAGTAAAATTCTTGTATATTTGAGAAATATTTTTCCCAAGAAGGATTCCTTTTTAAAGTTGAAAATTCAAAAAAATTATAAAATACCACATGAAAATTAGCTACAATTAAAATTAATTGATAAAATATCTATCAATTTGATATTAATTTTTTTGAATTTACTTTTAATTTTAAATATTTTCATTTGGTAGCTATTTTAGATAACCAATTTTATATATACTTTTTTTAATTGCCAAATTTAAATCCTTATTTTTACATTAAATTTTATATAATTTTTGATTTTAATTTTCATGCAGTACTTTATATAAAAATGCATTGTATATTTTAAAAACTTCTCAAATTAAAAGAAGAATTCTTTTTTTATTTAATTTTATATGATTTTTAATTGTAATTAATTTTCATGTGGTCTTCAAAAACCCAATTTTTTTTTTTTAAATTCACAAATATTTGGTAACTACTTTTAAAGAAAGAATTAATTTGAAATTATAAACGGTTATTTTGACATTAAAAAGGATTATTTTGAAGTTAAAAAGGATTATTTTGGAGTTAAAAAGGGTTAATTTGAAAATAAAAAAAGGCTAATTAGAAGTTAAAAGAGTTCCTCTAAAATTAAAAAAAAAAGGTAAATTTGCAGTTAAAAATGGTTCATTCGAAATTAAAAATCTAATTTAAAAATTAAAAATGGTTATTTCAACATTAAAAAGGGTTAATTTGAAAATTAAAACGTTTAATTTGGCATTAAAATTGCTATTTTAAGGCTAAAAAGGATTAATTTTAAGTTAAGAAATATTAATCTGAAGTTAAAAATGGTTAATTTGAAGTTAAAAAGGGTTAATTTGGCAGAAAAAAACTATATTTAGATATAAGCAATTGAAGTTCTAAAAAGAATAGGTATATCGAATTTAAAAAAAAAATTCCTTCATTGTACTGCATTGAAATCTGAGATCTCACACGCAAATAAAAGTCCAAATATTTTTTTAACACATACTCCATTGATTTCTTATACTCCAAGACAATACTGTAATCTGGATTCACACACTTACTGAAGACAACTGACCCTTGATGTTATCAGCAAGGCGATGAGTCTGTTGTAGCTTGATCATATTTAATCATCCTGGTCTGACTACTCCCACTAGTTTAGTCAAAGACGTGTTTCAATCGAATTGCCACAGATTAGGCAAAAAGGCATGTTTGAAATGCTCAGATGTAAAATAAATCTGCGAATTGAGCCAACCCAGATTTTTTACAAGGAAGATAGTGGCTTCTCAATAATTCTGGCTTAAACTCAATACCTTTTTGAAACAGATGCTCTGCACCAAGTGCGACATCAAAGAAATATCAATCAAGAGTTCAGCAGAAGGAAGATTTGATCACTTCCACTATAATGAGATTTATAGATAGAACTACTCCAAAATTAAAACTTCCACGGCAGATGAACTCTCTATCTAAATATTCTATGAAAAGGCACTAACAGAAATGATAAATGGCTGAGAATAAGCAGCAGTTGCAGTCCAATAGCTCTGTTGATTGAGCCACCCCCAAGGATTACAACTGCAAGGATATGGTGGTTGATACTTCTGGCCCAAGTTAAGTACCAATTGGAACAGAGTTTGAAGGTAAGATTCATTATTACAAAGTTTGATCACCTAACTTGGATAAGATATAGATCTTATAGATAGAGATATCACAAAATTTCAAGTCCGATGATATAAACTTCTAATCCTACATCGGGGAAATAAGGCATCATATTCTCAGGCTAGTGTATCAATCATGGGTTCGATTCCCATCGTCACCTCTGAAATTTTCTGACAATTAATGGGAGCGGTGGCCAAAAGTTAACCAGACATTCATCATAGGAAGTCAGGAGTAGGGTCGGATCTCAGCGACCCCAAAGATCACTGGACGGCTACAAATGCTTTTAGTTGTTATCTTTTTTAATCGTTCACGTAAACTTTATCGATAAAATATATTAATGATTAATAATAAATAAAAAAAGGGCAGAATCGATATAACGTGTGGTGTTTCTCATTTGTTGCCGACGGTCGGGCAAATATTTCTATAGAAGGTCACACAAACTTGATCTTCATCAAGGATTCCCTAACAGTTGCATGACACATTGAAGATGTGTTATCAGAAAAAGTTGTTATTTACATGCCACAAAGCAACAGTATTTTATTTCTATGCATGACAACGCATGGCCTCACATTGCTAGAATCATTGCTGACTACTTGCGACTTCCTTCAATTCATGTTTGAAATGACCAGGATGTAATCCCGACTTAAACCCTATCGAACACCTTTGGGATGAGTTGGCAAAGAGGGTAAAAAGTCATACAGTGATGCCAGAGAATTTGTCGGAATTAAGAATGGTGCTGTTGGAGGAGTATGAAAATATTCCAAAGCAATACATTCAATTCAAACCCTCATAAAATTGATGCCACGTCGAATGCAAGCGATGATCAATGCAAGAAGAAGAAATTCTCCATACTGAATTGAATATTTTCTTCAATAATCCATTTATGTTTAGTGGTCTAATTGACCATATTAATTATTTCAATAAATTATTATTTTTATGAAAGGTCTTAGTTCAGATGAAAAGCTAGTGCCATGAGGGGGATTCGAACCCATGGCCTTCAGCTTAATACGCCGCTGCTCTAACCACTTGAGCTATTGAAAAATGGCAAAAAGAGGGAAAATTCAAAAGGTTGTAGGTTGAGATGAGGAATTAGTGTTCGAGTGGATCGAAATCACAATAGCTCAAGTGGTCAGAGCAGCGGCATACTGAGCCGACAGTCGTGGGTTCGAATCCCGCACGTGACACTAGCTTTTTCATCTCAACCAAGACCTTATATAAAAAGAATAATTAATTGAAATAAGTAATTTGGCCAATTAGACCGCTAAACATAAATGGATTAATATTTAATAAGTAAAGATGTATCATTTCACTAACAGCTCCTTGTCGCCACTTCATAAGTTGCTGAGAACCCAATCCTGATTACATGACATTTGAAAAAAATGGCAAAAAGAGGGAAAATTCAAAGGTTGTAGGTAGAGATGGGGAGTTGGTGTCCGAGTGGATCGAAATCACAATAGCTCAAGTGGTTAGAGCAGCGGCGTATTGAGACAAAGGTCGTGGGTTCAAATCCCGCTCGTAACACTAGCTTTTTCAACTCAACCTTACATAAAAAGAATAATTAATTGAAATAACTAAATTAGCCAATTAGACCACTAAACATAAATGAATTAATATTTAATAAGTAAAGAAATATCACTTCACTAAGAGCTCCTTGTCGCCACTTCATAAGACGCTGAGAATCGAATCCTGATTGCATGACATTTGAAAAAAATGGCAAAAAGAGGAAAAATTCAAAGGTTGTAGGTAGAGATGGGGAGTTGGTGTCCGAGTGGATTAAAGCCATGATAGCTCAAGTGGTTAGAGCAGCGGTATATTGAGCCAAAGGTCGTGGGTTCGAATCTCGCTCGTAACACTAGCTTATTCATCTCAACCAAGACCTTACATAAAAAGAATAATTAATCGAAATAACTTTCTTCATTGTTTTTAAAAGCAAAATTTTTGGTAAAATTGTTTTACTCTTTATTTTTCTTAAAAATAACCGGTAAACAACAAAACATAAAAATTATAACAATAGCAAAGATTTACTAAGAAAAAACGAGAGTGGGCACTTTTTTCGCCTCTCAGTGTATTTTTATTAAATATAGTTTTTTTTATTTATTTAAAAAAAAAAAATATTATTTGACCAAAATTATATAGGAAAATGGAAGAAGCTTTGTTGTTTAACTTCACTAATTTCGTGGTCCGCTTGACCAATTAATTGTAATATATTAATTGGTCAAGCGGACAACGAAATTAGTGAATTTAATTAATTTAAATGAAGTGTACTCACTAAAAGCTCTCCGTGGCCATTTCATTTGTCGCCGAGAATCCAATCCGATTACACGACATTTGAAAAATGGCAAAAAGGAGGGAAAATTCAAAAGGTGGGTTGAGGTGGGAAGTTCGTGTCCGAGTAAATCGGAGTCACGATAGGTCAAGTGGTAGAGCAGCGGCGTATTTAGCCGAAGGTCGTGGGTTCGAATCCCGCTCGTGCCACTGACTTTTTTATCTCAACTAAAAACCTTAATTAATTGTTGTTTAACTTGTTGAGAAACATGTGTCGAGTAAGGTTATGAGAAGGTACACAACAGAACGTTCAAAATTCAAATAATGTATAAACATGATCCATAATACTGTATTTTAGTGGAATTTATTCCTATCTAACTTTTATCGACTTCTTTTCTCTTCATATACCTCAAATAATAGTTCTGTCAACCGTAAGAAGCTTGAACGTCCCTGATTAGTTGGATGTTTAAAGTACAATGATAGCAGTTATGAAGAATTACTAACGACTAATATGTATGTTACAAGATGTAACTATCTCTGGATTAGTGAAATTTGAAATAATCAGGTGTAATAAGCAATTAATGCGTAATTGTGAAAGTAAAGAACTGTGTGGATCTAGGTATAGGAAGTTAGCCTCACCATAATCATCGCCTTTCCGCTCTTGTCGCAAGCGACGCAGATGTGGTTTTGGCTGCCGTTCGGGATCTGATAGAGAGCCTGGACGGATTTGAGCGGTTTGACGAGCTGGCCGCGGTTTTGGCAGGTTGTGTTGGCGCATTTCGCCTTGGGCGGCTCCGGGTCTTCGCCGTCGCTGTCGACTATGCATATCGTCTCGTCTGGAAAACACTCGTTGAAGATGGTATGGAACTCGTTGTCCGAGAGGTCTTCGGTACCGGCGCAGGCCCCTTCTCCCGGGTTCATATTGGCCAGAATTCCCTCCAGAATCGACTTGTCCTCGTCGGAGTCGTCGTCAATTACGACAACGTCGTTGTCTTTCCCCGACATCCGGTCCCTTTCGCCTTAAATTCGGAAGCGTCAAGAGAGGACCATGGCCGTCAGATGGGCTGGGAGTGTCAATCGAGAGAAATAGCGTTCGGAATGAAAAATGCCCCAAAACAGAAACATTGAACCAAACACAAACGCCGTCGCTGTTCCTTGCTGAACGTGAGGACTCAGAGATGGCGGTTGTGACGTCACTCCAATCGATATCTATGTGACGTGCGGTCATCTCACGGCCAGCACCGGCGGATAACTTTTTTATTTATTTTTTAACACCACCACCACCCGCATAAAAATGTATAAAACATCACTATAGACGACAGTAATTCTATAAATCACTTCTTTTACACGGAATGGACAGGACATTAATTATTTCAAACTACCTCTTTCATAAAAATATACATACATTACATATACACCTCTTCCGTCAATTTTATAACAAAAGCGATCATTAGTCTATCAAATTATAATGAGAATTATAGTCCTAATTATCATACGAAAAGGCAGTGGTTTCATAAAGAATGTAGTATAGCCAGAGAAAAATTTACGTTTATGTACAAGACTCCCTCAGACGGTTTTAAACCATGAGGAACGTTTGTTTTTTTTGCAATATTCATTGACAGGCAAAAAATTCCACCCTACTGATTTTTTTCATTTTCTCAATAAAAGAACATTCTGCCCTTAAATTAGATTTAACCCTTAATTAGTGACAGTTAATCGATAATTATTCAGAAATCGTGAGATGCGGTCTGGTGTGACGTAGGTTTTAGAAAACATTTTCTTTATCGTGCCAACGTTTCAATCTTTATTGAGATCATCTTTAGGGCCTGGGATTTACAAACATTGTTTACATTTAACAAATACACTTAGGATGTGGAAAAAAGTGAATTTATACAATGCAAAATATATTTTTTATATTCAATCATAGTATTTCAACTCACTCAAAGTGTTTGTCTTCTGTGTAATTGTACCATTCTTGCGTGTCGTGTTGAGAGTGCCAGTGAGATATTGCTGTTTTGTGTTTATATACGTTGGATTTTGAAGGGGTGGGAAAGGAAGTCGGTATAGAACAGACATTTTTATATAAGGAGTCGGCTTCTTTGAGGTGAAAAGAGTCGACGAAGGGAAAAGATGTGTTGGTAATGGTTCGGCCATATTATCCTTTCAGGATTATATAGAAAGGGATAAATAGGAAAAGGAAAGCTAAATTGTTGGACAATTAGACTATGTGAAAAATATTTGATGTGTGGAATGTAATGTAATAATATATGTATGTTGGGATTGTTTTTCAGCTGGGGGTTGCAGAGTTATAGGCGATGAAAGTAAAAAATTCAATCAAAATAGTTGCCATTTTTGCGTTTTCTCCCGCACAACAACCAGCTCAGTTTGTTAAACTTCACTCCCTCCTAGCTACGCCCCTCACTATTGGATTTTGGCATTTTTGGTACGTTTTTAAGATGGATTCTTCCTATAACTTTTAAGCACGGTTTGGCTCAAATCCAAGCAGTATTATAAAAGTTATAATTTGAAAAAATCCCATTTTTAATCGGGATTTTTTTTCAAATAAGGTACTTTCAAAAATAATTTCTTTCGTTTAAAATCTCAAATCACTTTTTTTTATAATAAAACGAAACCGTAGGAGTTTTGTAATTTTTTGTTACCAAATATGCCAAGAATTCTTTTAAATTAACAGAGAAATTACGGTAAAAAGCAAAAGACCTTAAAATTGTGTATACTATTAAAAAATATGGTGTGGCCATCCCACGTCTTTTTCCGTAAATCTCACATTGTTACAAAAAAGTAATAGTGGACGGGAAAATAATTAAATAGCTTAAGTAAAATTTAAAATTAGGTAGTTAACTAGTAAACCATTATTTTATTTTCATTATTTTCAGTGGTCTAGGAAAAAAACGCCCGAATCTAATTTAATTTAACGCCAGTTGTTAATAAGAAACAAAAAACATTTGACTATTTTTTTTATCTTATTGCAATATGCTTATGATATTACATTTTGTATAAAATAAATGTGATAAATAAATGTGAATATAAAATAAATAATATATACCCATTGTTTTCAAATTATTCTATGATTCCGAAAAACAAAGAAGTCTACCTCTAACTCCTTACTGCCGTGAGGTTTTTTTTTTATTCTTTTATGTTTTGTCCTAAAAACTTACATTGCAGACCATGATTTTTTCATTAGACATGTCTTTCTGGCGCTTTTCTGATTTCTGCCTCTAATCTTATTCCATCTCTTGTGATACTCTAAGTTGGCGTTAAATTTTTTATATTCGTTAATGTTGGTGACTAAAATCACTTACATTGCAGACCATGAGAGAAAAACATTTTGGAAACTTATGAAAATTATGCGCCTTTTTGAAATTAAACTATTCAAAAATTTAAATTAAGTGATTTTTTAAAAAGTATTGCGTTCGGACGAAAAACGATGTGTAGAGTTTTTTTCTCAATTTGCACGTTTTTAAGTCCCCTGTGCAACAAAAATCTAAATTTTACCCCCACCCACGATGATCAAATGGACCGCCCCTTTATTAAGCCTGCATATTTAGCGAACTTGGACGACGAGAAAACGAACTTTCAGGCTTACTAACTTAAAGATGGCGAGAAGCCGAAAAAAACTAAAACAGAGATAATAATCAGACCAGAATGACCGGAAACGACCAAAGATAAAAATTGACCGACGTTAAAAGGATTCCAGACATTTTTCAAAACCGGCGAAGTGACAACCAAGACAGCTTTTCCCGTTGGAAAATAACGATTTATCATTCAGGACTAAAATTTTTGGGTTGGCAACGGATCGGGGCGATCGGCGCAGAGGATTGGCGCAGATACGTAATCTTATGTCATTTAACCGCCGGCAACCCGTTGCGTTAGATCTTGCACACGTGGGTCGTGGATATTTTTCGGCTTTTTTCAACAAGACAACTCTCAGAGACATTGTCACCTTCTCACTTTTGACCCTAATTACAAAGAAATAAAGGTGAGCGTTTTGAACATGATTTAAATTTGAGAATATTTTTAAATTTAACTTTCGCCGAGGGTTAAGCCTCGCCGCCGCTAGTAAAAACAAAAGCGAACGGGACATTAGGCCTAGGCGGAAGATATTTCATTTTCTATAATTTTAATCATTTACTTTATTAATTTATTATTGTTTTATATATATTTTGTTATTTTTCGGTACGCGTCTGTCTTCGCGTAACTATATCATAAACGTATAAACTAATCATTTTATATGTCAGTGTTTGCTGGTTTAATATCATTCGGGGGGATCGAATAAAGCTAAGATTTCAATCCAACATTGCACAGCGATTGCTACAAAAGCGCAGATCCGACTCAGTCGAAATTAAAAGTTCAATTTAAACTTTCAAAGTTTAATGAATGATGGCTGTTCGAGTGTTATCGTTCAATCATAAGTCGTAAATCGATAAAATTAAATAAGCTTCCGTCACGTGTCAAGGAACAAACCCGATGAACTCTTGTGCGTTTGTGCAGCACGGCTTTACAACAAAGGTACCTTGTATCTAGTACAATCAAAAGCCAACGGCAGACACCTTGGGTATTCATTTTGCCGCCAATGACTACCTACATAAACAAGTAAAGCAGCCATTTTGAAAAAGCCACATGCTTGTATCACTACCTATCTTGTCTGTACAATTGAACTATTTATATTCCTATCCGGGTTAAATATTTTTGTTTCAGTTATTTTAAGTCGTGTAAAATTGTGTGAAACTTAGTTGAGAGCAACCACTGACTGAGGCCTAAAATTGTTTCAAATGTAGTAGAAAGCAACCAAAGACTTGGGGGGCCTAATTTGTGTCAAATGTAGTTGAAAGCAACCGGATTTCGGTCTAACATTATGTCAAAATGGGTAGAAGGCAACCACAGATTTGGGCCCAAAATTGTGTCAAAATTTATGGAATGCAACCACTGGTTTGGGCCTAAAATTGTGTGAACATTTGTAGAATACAACCAAAGACTTGGGCCTAAAATTGTTTAAAATTTATAGAAAGCAACCACAGTTTTGGGCCTAAAATTGTGTGAATATTTGTAGAAAACAACCAAAGACTTGGGCCTAAAATTTTGTCAAAATTTATAGAAAGCAACCCCAGATTTGGGCCTAAATTATGTGAATATTTGTAAAAAAAAAAAAACCAAAGACTTGGGCCTAAAATTTTGTCAAAAGTTTTAGCAAGCAACCACAGGTTTGGGCCTAAAATTGTGTGAAAATTTGAAGAAAGCAACCACTGATTTGGGCCTAAAATAGCGTCAAAATTTATGGAATGAAACCACTGGTTTGGGCCTAAATTGTGTGAAAATTGTTAGCAAGCAACCACAGGTTTGGGCCTAAAATTTTGTGAATATTTGCAGAAAAGAACCAAAGACTTGGACATAAAATTGTGTCAAAATCTAAAGAAAACAACCACAGATTTGGGCCTAAAATTGTGTGAAATTTATAGAAAGCACCCACAGATTTGGGCCTAAAATTTTTGGAAAATTTGTAAAAAGGAACCAAAGACTTTGGCCTGACGTTATGTCAAATTTACTAAACAGCAACCACAGAAGTGCAAGATACCACATCGTAACACATGGTTTTATGATGGTTTCAGCAATGGTTTGAGCTTTATCTGCCTGTGCTGCTAGATAACTTATCAAGCAACAGGTTTTTAGTGAGTTTTTATTAACAAGTTTTGCATGAATTTTAGTGTAGGTTTGAGAAATAGCCAGTTCAGTGCTCTTCCTCATGATAAAATGAGCCTTTTTTATTCCCGGAGTTCCAGATGTGTATTCTTGCAATGATGACACAATTTAACTGGAACCATTGAAATGTTTGGAAGGACTTTTGCGCAAATCTCACACTGACCTTTTTTCGTAGGCCTCTATAAATTCCAAATCTTAGTACCTGTCACGAAACTTATACTTTTTATTTATTATATTTCCACTGGTTGTTTTCCTGCACCTAGAGACTTGTAGAATTTGAGCATCCTGGATCCTGCTGAGGTGCTTCATCTGAAGGCTGTTAATCTTGTTGAGCCGTTTTTGGGTAGTGACTCATTTACTGTTCCATTACTGAACGCAGTGTAAATTTCACGAACTGCCTCAGCCTTGCACCAAGTTTGTACAGTAAGCATTCAAAAATTATGGGTTTTGAAGCCATAAGAAAGAAAATATTTTATAATTTATAGTGAACTGTTTAAGTCACTGTTTCTTTATGAACTGACACATTATCCTTTTGGTATTGTGTGAACACTTATGTAATTACGTAATGCCTCCTATGTAACTAGAAATGCAGATTAACATTTTTAAAACTATAACAATGAAAAACGCATGAACTTTTCTGGTTGCCTGGTAAATAAACCCCATACTCCTCACTTGCATTAGTTCATAAAGTTTTCTTATATGTAAGCCTACAAACAGGCGAAACTGTACAGTCCTCTTGTATGACAGAAATTACTTCAATTACGTTTCAAATATTTCTTTTTTTTCTATGTTGACAGGCATCCAAAATGCTATTGGCTTCAAATGCAAATGATGGCGAATCTAACGAACTGGAACTTAACTATGTACATATGCTTAAAGCTTATCGAAATCAACCTTGCCCTATTGATATTATAAGTCGCCAAGGTATGTGTAAAATTATGTTAACATTTTTATTTTGTATTTTGTTCAATGTTTACTTATATACAATATTTTTGTTTTTAAAGGGAAGTTCAGTTGGATGAAAATTGGCAATGTTCACATTCCTGTGTTGTTTAGACATGAAATTGCTGTAGTGAGTGTCTATCTGTTAGAAACTGAGGTGTTTCATGATTTGTTTAGTTGTATCCAAACAGAAGTTTGCAAGTTGCCTCTAATCTATTGTACGCAGGCAACTGAAACCGAGGCCAATCTTCTTAATCATATTAACATACAACACAGCAATAGGAAGTTCGGCTCTTATATTTTTACATCACGTGATATTTTAATAACAAAAAAAGATGCACTTCTATATTACGACTATCTAAACTTTGTATTTGAAAAGATAATTTCACCTAAAGCAAGAAGTAACCGTTGTGGATTTGTCCTCATCAATACAGGGTTCATTGTTCCATACATTGTAGATGAACATGGCACAAAATTTGTACCGATCTTTTATTTCAAGAATCGATACCCTCTCCTGAAAGCCACTGTCGTTTTAGACAGTTGGGAATATTGTTACTTGAAGGTCTGTACCTTGGCTCAAGGAATTCGCAGTTGCTTTTATCCAGGGTTATTTACGCCTGTCGTACCTCTGAAAGTTATTAAGGATATGTACAATCAAGGTGCAGATTTCACGGAATGTTGTCTTTCTTATATAAATCTGGATCAGCTCACTTTTGTCGGAAAAAATTGTCCATCAAGGCCTTGCCAGTGGTATTTGGACCCGGTTAATGCGCATGTTGTAAGTACAGTACATTAAAAATAATAATTAATATACATAGTTTAAACCATGATTTGAGGGTAATAGTAATAATACACTCAAAGACAAAAACTGGACACTTGTATTTATTTGTTTATTTTCAATAATAAATATGTATAAAGATTAATAATTGGTTTAAAACGCCAACACAACATTAATAACTTGTTGTTTACCTTTATAGAGTGGAATTATCCTTTTAAATGATTTAGATTGAAAATAAAGAAAAACAGTTCAATTTCATCCTTTCCAAAGACAACTTGTCGAGTGATTTAATTTTTTTTCTGTAATTGTTTCTTTGATGAAACATAAATTTAAGTAAAAAATTAAGTATTAATTTTTCTTTCTTAAAAGCGTGGTTTTAAGTGGAGAAGATTTCACCCGGGCATATGCATTGGGTGTGCTGCGCTCTACCATCACATTGATCTACAACAGTTTAGGGCCTGGAGTATTGGTTGACTCCAGGACTATGGAACCATCATTTAACTACCTCCTTGATATAGGTAGTCAACTCCAAACCGTCCGTAGTGTTAGGGCGAGTTCTAAAACAGCCATCAGAAGGCTTTGTGAGAATAGCCTAGTCTCTAGACATCCCGCATCAGGTTCTCTACAAATAGAGAGGCATCGAATAGAAAAACAACTATTCGCAAATCAACATTTCATTTGGACAATTGAACAATGGGTGGGTCTCTCTTCATCGATGAGTGCCGATTTGGTTTGAGGCAGTCAGACAATCTGGTCTAAATAATGTGGAGAATGCTTTGCTTTTTATATGCATTGCATGAGACATTTTCTGTTTAATGATGGTCAGTTATCGAATAGGGCAGAATCAACATCCATTTGTAAGTAAGTCAGGTGTAGTGAATCACCTGCATTCGTATTGACTTAATATTTTAACTACACATTTTCACATTATAACTACAAATACACTTTTGTAGGGGGAGGGGAAAGAATAATATATTTAAAAAAATAACCATACATCATAATATAGGTAATTTTGTACTGCTCTCTCTTTATATGTGTAGCTTTTTCAAAAAAGTTCGGAATTATAAAAATCGTTAAAATAATGCAAAACTTTTTTTTTAACAAATCTTTTTTAAAGGAAAAAAATAATAACTTACATTTTCTTTAAATGTTTTCCAAAAAAAAGGACGTTCGTGCCCGTACCGAACTGATTATCAAACAGAATGTTTGACTGCACTGAGGTACATTGAGGAAGTTCTAGAAACTGTGGTTTCATGCTATTCACTCTATTTATTTGGGACAACTTTGTGTTAATGCACAATAATGTTCGACCGCATATGCTCAAGTTCTCAAGTTGTGAACCATTACGTGGAGGATGTAGGGATTTTCATGACGTGAATCCCGTAGAACACTTACAGGACATGATAAAGAGGCCGGTTGTCCGCAGCCTCCAATAAGTGTTGTACAGCCTCAATCCACTCTTGTTGAAGAATTCTGTTTATACATTTATTTATTTTAGATTTACTTGATGACTGGGAGACTTAAGACCCTCCATGAGACCAGAGGAGGTAATACGCATTTATTAAGAGCAAATCCAAGTAATAAATTCTTAGTTCAGTTTTAATCTTTCCGGTATTTTGGTGAATTTTCTTCAAACCCTCATGATTAAGTTTTTTTAAACGCTTGAATTTCTTATCTCATTTAGTTTAGTGTGCATTAAAATAAATATGTTGTAATTAATAAACGATCAAAATACATACAATTTGAAGTAAACAACAAAATGCAAGTGTCTTTTTTTTTTTTTTTTTATTAACGGTGATTAGTGACCGTTAATGGATAATTATTCAGAAATCATGAGATGCGGTCTGTTGTGATGTAGGTTTCAGAAAAACATTTTCTTTATCGTGCCAACGTTTCGATCTTTATTGAGATCATCTTCAGGGCCTGGCCTCAATAAAGATCGAAACGTCAGCACGATAAAGAAAATGTTTTTCTGAAACCTACATCACACCAGACCACGATTTCTGAACAATATTTTTAAAAATTTTATTTATTTATTTATTGTTTAATTTTATTCCTGTTATAATTTATAATAATTTCATAACCATATTTTTTCCACGTTATTTAGTTCCAAATTTTGTCAGAGCCGATTGAATCCTCGGATAGTAATCTTCCACAAGAAGAGGAATAATGAAAAAACATGTAAGATTCAATATATTGTCTTATATTTTTTAAACTCTCAGGGTGTCAACATTTTACAATTATCAATTTGACAAATTAATCAATAAATTAATTACAGAAGATTTGTGAATAACTAAGAAAAAGTTATAAATTAATTGAAGAAACAAAGTTTATATTTTACTATTATACAGTGAAACCCCTTTTAACGTGTATTCATCTATAGCGACCACCTCTCTTAATGTACAATTTTTGCATTCTCCAGCAAAAATATAGAATTTCTGTACATGTTAAACCCTGTAAATAGAGCCCCCCTACAGGTTGTGGACACTGCCTCTAGTCTCCATCAGAGTAATTCACCCCTCTAGAATGGTTGTAAACAGACAGTAAAAATATATTAAATGTCCGCATGAAAAAATATTTGTACGGATCATTTTAAATTTCTTTTTAGTTAAAATAATTTCAGAAAGGTAGGCTAGATATATCAAATCCTTTACTGAAATATAATAACAAAGTTTGTTTATTTTTTATTTATTTATTTTTATTTTTTTGACAGCTGTTAAGAAAGTATGTGTACATTTCTCGCCCTTTTATAAGTGACTTTTTTCCCCCAGAAGTTCCGTTCCTCCTCACATATTCTATGTTTATGTGAGCTTTTTTGGAAATTATATAGGTTCATTTTCAAAAACTTCTCTTTTGTTCACATTTTTCAGGCATTTAGATGGCTCTTATTTTTTTCTGGAAATTAATTTGAATTTATAAATTCTGTTCTTCTTCGGAAAGCTTCTTTTTCTGGAAAGAAAAATTTTTTAGGCATTTGACGGCTTTTATTTTGTTTGTCCTATTTTTCTAGAAAAAAACTTTGTCTTTATTCGGTCTGTTTCTTCTTCGAAAACTGCTCTTTTGCAGAGGAATACATTTTTCAGGCCTTTGGACAGATATTTTTATTTTTTCTTATTTTTCTAGAAACAACTTTGTCTTTCAAATTGACACTAAAGAAAGTGTTAGTTCTTAGTTAGTTAGTTCAGGAAAAGACAGGGGAAAGAAAGCAGTCACTGTGGCTGAATTAGCCCAAAAATATGAAGTTAGGTTTGCATATGAGTCTCCATTTGCGAGGAAACGGAGAGCGATTGCTAGTCTATTGGTAGCAGAAACTGACATTCTAACATTCGTCCCTTTTTCTAAATGTGTGGTCCAACCATTTCCAAATGACATTCGGTTGACTGGACTCATCTGAACGAAATTTCGGAATCCCATTCTGTCTTCCAATCTCAGTGTCAAGATCGTGCCCATGTTTATTACACGATCTTTGAATATCCGAATTCACCAACGCAGTGGCTTTTTGTTAGCCCTTTTTTTACTCCGTATAGCTACGTAAAGTGGTTCTGCAATCCCCGAGAGTGCGGCCTCGTTCGACATGGCTCAGACTCAAACTAGATGTGGACACAATTTCTGGAGCAACAATGTTGCGAGGCAAAGAGTCTGCAACATGCATTTGAGAGTCTGCGACAGAGAGTCCGAACAAACAATTCCGATGCGTACTAGGCTTAAGGTGGACTCTAATTGGTGAAAATTAGGATTGCCACCCTATTAGTTTGGTCTATTATTGGCTGAATGGGGACATCTTGCCTCTCAAGTCTCAACTCTATTTTGTGCTACCTTGCTTCGATTAAAATGGCTAATTTGGATTCTTAAGTGTTATAATTAGATAAAAAATGAAATGCCATGATAAATGAATTAAGAAATCATCACAAAGATGGAACGTTAGTTTAAAAAACAGATTAACTGGTTTTTTAAATGTTTTTATTTATTTGTACAATTTTTTCAAATATATCTCAACATCAATACATATATCGTACAACACATTTATCTTGATTTAAAAAATCTGTTTTAAACAACCTCTCAGAAATGGATAAAATCACTTCTTTCTTGTGTGTATGTTATAGAGGGGTTTCACTTATTTAAGTTATAATTATTATTTATGTATAGTTATATAAAATATATATATTTTTGTTTATTTTTTCCAGGCAAGCTGATGCTGGTAAAAGATACCAAGCTTCATGTCATTTGTGTGGTTATTATACTTAATAGTTTTCTTTAAGTATAACACTTCAGATAAAATAATTACTTTATTAATAATCAACTTTTGTTATTAATAACATTCTTGCATCCTTTAATTTCTAATCTAAGTACATTAATCCCTTAACATTCACAAAGGTTATGGTTTTTTGTTTTTTATTACTTTTTTACTTTTGGAGACTTATTCTCTAACCACAATACTTATGCTTTCTCGTCAACTCATTGATGAAAAGCTTTACAATAGATGCACTTTTCCCCAGCATGTAACGTTTCTAACACCGTTCTTTCTGCGAGTATCATTAAATCTTTACTTTCACATAGTTATTGTATAGATGAAAGCAAGATGAAAACTGAGAAAAACAATCATCAAATGTCGTTGGATTGTTCTTGGAAATTTAAATTAATTTTTTTTTAACACAAACGCTTTTAAACAATCAAAACTCGCAGATGTCAAACCTTCGAAAGTTAAGAGATTATTGTACATACAATAGATTACTTTATCTATTATTTTTTTGACATACGTTTTTTATTTTACCTAATTTTGTTTAACATTGCAATATTTTGTATTTTAAGTTGGTTGCAAGGAAGTGATTTTTTTTTTTTTTAATTATATCACTTCAGCTGAAAGTTTTAATAAATTAATTACTATGTTTTTAAATACAAATTTTTGTATTCTTATATTTTTAAATATGTATAATAGATGATCTGCCTATTATATATTATTGTTTGTCATTAATTGTATTTGTTTTCTTTTATTATATTCTAATTAAAATTGCAATATTTCTTTTAAGTTTGTTGAAATAGTGGTACAGTGCTCTATTAGGAATCCGAACTAACTACACGGGGTTGTTCACTTTATGAAAAAAATGTGAAAACATGGTTTTTAAAAAATATAAAACAATAAAATCATTCATCGTTATCGTCAATTTCCATAACATTCTTCACATTTTCATAAGTTTTGATCCATCATCATGCCATTCAATCCATGCTAAAATATTAAGTTCATTCACAGCAGCCTGTATGTTTGTCTTTTGTTAAATCAAGTTGGATATCTGTTTGCAGATGTCAATGATCTGCAGATTAAACTTCTGCAATTCTTGATTTTTTTCCCCTGTTCAGATTACTGGAGTGTCATAAGTACTGAAGTTGGGTTTACTGGCAGAGAACTGTACTATTATTTACTGACTTGATATTACCTGTGGGACAAATTATGATGTCATTTTGTTTATTTTTAATTGTTGAAACACATGAAAGTAGCTTGATCTATTTTCGTTTATGCGCTTATTTTAAAAATGTTTAAAAAAATGTGTTTTAAAAAAACTTTTAAGTATTTTTATGTTTTAAATGTTTGAAACGAGACTACAGCTATGTTTCTAATGATGTCCCTAATGTGGCTGTGCTCTTTTAAAGCTAAGATAATTTTTATAATACTTAACTTTCTATGTGTATTTTTCCTTGAATCAAGTTACCATGTTTTTTCACACAGAATACCATTGAGATTTTATAGTTCTTAAGAGAAACTAAAACTAAGATAAGTTTAACAAACTGAAGCTGTGCTGAAATTAATATGTTTATATATTTTTTTATACATTTTGGATAGTACAAGTGTATTAGACCTTTAAATTTATTTTATACTGCCGCCCTCAGTATTTGTAGTTTGTAGTGTTTTATATTTTTGCAAAATCTAAGATATGTGCAATCTTATGTTAGTTGCATATTTTTATGAATAAAATGTTTTGCTCATTCCAAAGGAGTAAAATTTTAATTTTATTATTTAACAAATCCTTAAATCTTGCTTATTCGGAAATCGTGAGATGCGGTCTGGTGTGACGTAGGTTTCAGAAAAACATTTTCTTTATCGTGCCAACGTTTTGATCTTTATTGAGATCATCTTCAGGGCCTGGGATTTACTATAAACATTGCTTAAATTTAACAAATAGATGTAGGATGTGAAAAAATGTGAATTTATACAATGCAAAAAAAAAATTTTTTTTTATATTCAATCAAAGTATTTCTACTCACTCAAAGTTTGTTTTCTGTGTAATTCTGCCATTCTTGCATATCGGGTTGAGAGTACCAGTGAGATATTGCTGTTTTGTGTTTATATACGTTGGATTTTGAAGGGGTGGGGAAGGAAATTGGGATAGAAAGACATTTTTGTATAAGGAGTTGGCTTCTTTGAGGTGAAAAGTGCCAACGATGGGAAAAAATGGGTAATGGTTCGGCCAGATTAACCTTTCAGGATTATATAGACGGGGATAATTAGGAAAATGAAAGCTAAATTGTGTACAAACTATGTAAAAATGTTTGATGTGTCGAATGTGATGAATGTTTTGTGTTACATTATACGTTTTGTGTGATGTGATATATGTACGTTATCGATATTGAATTTGATTAACGATATTAGCGTAGCTGCGACTGAGTTTACATGTATCTGTTCTGTAATTGATGCTGTGTTGATGTAAACCATTTCTAAAAAGTTATGTTTATGTTTGTTTTGTTCTGTGTGTAATATTTTTGGATTGTTGAAGTCGAAATTGTGCTGGTGTTCAAAATGGTGGGTAGCCAGCGCTGTAGGATTTTGTTTGGGTTTTTTGCTTGTCTCTTATCCAGACATTGGAATGTAATTCCGAAAGTTGCTGGACGGTTTAAACAATTAATTTTGTAGATTACGTCAGATTTATTTGTTATTGGTGTGGGATCTTTAATTTTGGAAAAAGTGTGTAATTGTTTTATAGTTTTTGAAAGTTATTTTAAAGTTATCAGAAGAGAGAAATGTGTTTAATTTATGTGATAGGCCGTGAATGAATGGCATGGAAATGTGTGTTGGTTTGTCTATGTAGTTGATAGATTTGATGTAGTATTAGTAATAGTGAATGGTGTTAGTGTTGAGTTGTATTTGTTGATAATGTGTTTAGGGTAGTGATTGTTGTGGAGGATCTGTCTGTATATCTTTATATTCTTGTGGTGAAAGGATTCATGGATTAGGGTAACAATTCTGTGAAGTAGCCCTTTGGCCGCGTTTATTATTGTATGAAGAGGATGGTGAGATGTAAAGTTGAGGTAGCGATCTGTGTTTCTTGGTTTTTGATACCAATCTGTGATTAATGTTGGTTGTTTTATTACGAGTGTACTTAATTCTTGCGCCAATCGACGACTCAGTAGGGTTGATTCCATGAAAAACAAATGCAAATTCGTCGAAATTTGTTTTTTCATTTTTTATCTTTGCGTTTAATGCGTAATGTGTGTTATTTACTAGGTGAATTCTTTCGTAAATCGACTAGCAGGGTAATTTCCATTGAAAATAAACGCAGGTTCGACGGAAAAAAATCCGGATACTTTTTGCACTTTTTTTCCCGTAAAATATGAGGTTTACCAGCTTAATATTTTCTCCAATCGACTCAGCAGGGTGGATTCTAGGGAAAACAAGTGAAAATTCATCGAAATTTGTTTCTCCATTTTATTTGTTCTTTGCGTTTATCTCGTAAAGTATGTGATTTGCTAGCTAAATTCTTGCGTAGATGTCTATTACATAATTAATTGTATGTTTTAACTAATATTTTATTTTGATCAATTTTATTGTAAAGATGTCCTCATATTTGAATTTAATTACAAAATAGTTAATTAATTTAATTACCAAGTGGAATTCAATTGCTTATTACAATATAGAAAAATAAGTAAATAAATAACTAGATAGTGGGTGGTCATCACACTGATTTCAGTTGTGACAGTTTAGTTAAATCTAGTTTATTAATGAACAAGGAAAAAGTATGGGCACCTGCTTTTGGGCCAAAGCCTGCGCAGGTGCCCCTTATGCAGAGAAAGGTTGCTCGATGTGTCCACATAATGGAGGCGTGTCATGCCTTGGCTCCATACAGAGAGCGTGTAGGCATGCTGCCGGACTTAAGAAGAGTTCTCGAACACGGTAGCGAGTTTCAGAGTCCCCTGTTCCGCTTTTTAGGGGAAATTGGTTTTTTTACTGTATATAATATGTCTTATGTGTTGTGTCTATATGTTTTGTCTGAGTGCATGTATTTATTAGCGTGAATGGCGAGGGGTGAGGGTGAAATATAACGTCATCATCGCCCCTCGAACGTTGAGAGTGTAAGAGTGTGTGTTCGGGGTCGATGGCGGAATATTTATAAAAGTACGTCGACCCCAATCTAGATTAGTTTAAGTATAGGTCGGTGGAGGAATATCAAGTACTCCACCGACCAAACGGAATGAGTGTACTGTATGGATGTATTTATGTGTATGAATGAATTTATTTGTATGAATGTAGTGTTTGAAAGGGTAAATAGAATATTTAAAAGAGAGAGAGAGAGAGAGAGAGAGAGAATTCCTCTCCAAATTCCTTCAACAGATCCTTGAAGGAGGACTGCTGGTGGCCAGATTCCTCCGTTTAATAGAACATTAATCATAAAAGCTGCTCGTTGGGCTTAAAAAACGCTGCATTATGTGGACCCAAGTTTGCTCGGTCGCTGAAAGCAGTTTGGACTGTCCAATATCCCAAATCTGTGCAAGTAGGCCTTATTTTTCCCATGGCCTGTAAGCGCCATCGTTAGTTGACCGGTATGCTTAATCGCGATACTTTGCCTTGCAGAAATGGTTGGTGTATACTCTCTTGTGAGCTTGCCTTTGTCAGAGTTTGTCCACATTTTTTCCAATTTTTCTAGGCTTTTGGTTTCCTCTTGTTTTTTAATGTACGAGACCGGAACTTTTGCGTACGTTGTTTCTAATTCTCTTTCTAGAGCTGCTTGTTTTGCCAATTTTTCTGCTCTTTCATTTCCTCGATTCTCCTACCTGGGATTTCACCCACAGTAACGCAATTTTCCAGCCCGAATTTCTTGTTAGATTTCTTAAGTGCTTCTTATTTTTTGGGCAGTTGGATGTTTTGTTTTGTGGCCATTTATCAACGCTTGGGAACTGAACCATCAGTGTATACTAATGCCGATCTCGAATCCTCTTCGTGACAGTGCAGGAACCACTCGAGAACCCTCTCTACTGTTTGCAGCTCTCAGCCTGGTTTTTAGAGCAGAATGGAGCTAGTTTTTTTCGTCTTGTTTTTTGACGTATAGTATTGTCGCACTGCCCACCATATCTTCTATTCTACTTTCATCTGTGTATACTTCGTAGGTCGGATTAAAAATTTCTTTTTCTGTTAGCACATTTTCTACTTCTTTTGGGAGTGGCCATTTCTTCACTCTTTGTAGTTACCGTATGTATATTACAAAGCTCGTTAATTTTGAAGTCGATAGGGGATGATCGCTAAGATTTGCTGCCTGGTATGTGATAGTTCTATATCCGCGAATTATCCTTAGAGCGACTTTCCTTTGTACGCTTCTCATTTTTTGAATATTTTTATTTATTTTTAGAGCATCTGACCATGCCGGAGCCGCATAGGTGAGGATAGGTATTAGGTGAGGCTCCTTTGTATAAAATTTCGAGTGCTCCTTCACCAAGACCCCAAAACTTCTTGTTGCTTTTTTTTCTCCACGAGAGTTCGCAACAGCAGAGGTTATATCAACCCTTGGGGTGCCGGTGTTTTTGAACAAAAACCCATTTGTAAGTATCCAGCGGCCCTGCATTCGAACTCGGGACTTTTACCATACAGTGATGAACGCCGTGTCAACGCCTAAACCGTTGCGGCTCTGCGGCCCCTCACAAATGTTTGTAATATGTGTTTTCCAATAACAGTTTTGGTTAAATTTTTTTTCATTTGCCTCGTAAAATATCAGGTTTACGAGCATATTCTTGCGCCATTCGACTTAGCAGCGTTTATTCCATGGAAAACAAGTGCAAATTTGTCGAAATTTTTCGAATTTTTTTTTTCTTGCCTTTATCTCGTAAACTGTTAGAGTAACGTGGATTCTTGCGCCAATCGGATCAGCAGGATCGTTTCCATTGAAAACAAGTGCAAATACGTCGGGAAAAAATCATGTTTTTTCAACGTATCTTGAGGTTTACGAGGAGCTTAATTGCATAAGCTCTTATTTTAAATCTTATTCTTTCCTGAATTTTTTCAGGATGTTTTGTATAAAGTAGTTCGAATTGGCAGCATGCATTCTAATTCGTCGAAAATTGAATCACACGCTATTCTACAATCGATCTGTCTGTTTAAATTGTAATCCTGAATGTGTCATGAGTTGTCGTGCATATCCCGCGAGCCCACGCTTTTCTCTCTCAATTGGCAATTTTATCCTAGGCTTTTGATTTAAATCCTCCGAAGCTTTTTAGGATTCAGGCGTAATGTTTGTCACAATAGAAGTATCGAAGAGACTAAATCCACAGCTTACATAATTCCAGAGAAAAAATATACAAATAAATTGAGCAAGTAGAGCAAACCAATTAACATTTTACAACAATTTATTATTTTTTAAACAATTGAACTCGTGTCGTTAAGGCATTATTGATCCAATTAATTTTTTATAAGTCAATATTTATCTTCTCAATCCTTTCATTAAGATTAATTCCTTGGATATTGACTTATTTCCATCGAAGCCATGAGGGTGTAATAGTTAAAAATGTGTAACTAGTTTCGGTAAAAGATCGGATATAATAAATTTAATAAATTACCATTTTATAGGTAACCTCAGCGATAGCTGAGAGTTATTGTCAATTTATTAGGAGATACGATGTATATCCAGTCCACCTATGCGGAGAGTAAAAAATTGGCTAGCGCGTTCATGTTTTTTTATTCAATCTATTTAAATATGAATTGTGCAAATCCAAATTATTGTAAAAACAAATCGTCTACAGTGAATTTACATTCCCCAGAGAAGAAGTCAGAATTTTAAAAGAAATAAATAAACATTATTTGCGGGAGGAGTGACAGTGAATGAATCAGTAAGTGAGTGAATGATTGAAAGAGAGAGAGAGAGAGAGAGAGCGAGAGAGAGAGAGAGAGAGAGAGAGAGAGAGAGAGAGAGAGAGAGAGAGAGAGANGAGAAAGAGAGAGAGAGAGGATAGAGAGCGAGAGAGAGTAAGTGAGTGAGTAAATAAGTGAGCGAGTGAAAGCGAGTGAGTGAACGAGAGAGAAGGTAAGTTAGTGAGTGAGTGAGTTAGTGTATGAGAGTGACAGAGTGAGAGAGAGATTAAGTGAGTGAGAGAGAGAAAGTGATTGAGGGAGAAAGAGAGATAGTTAGTGAGTGAGAGGGAAAGTGAGCGAGTAAATGATTAAGTGAATGTGGGAGAGAGAGAGTGAGACAGAGATAGTAATAGAGTGAGTGAATGAGAGGAAGCCAGTGAATAAATTAGTAGTAAATTAGAGACAGTAAATGACTGAGTGAGTGAGAGTGAATAAGTGTGAAAGAGGGGGAGAGAGTGAGTGAGCCAGGATGAGAGAGAGAGAGAGAGAGAGAGAGAGAGAGTGAGAGAGAGAGAGAGAGGGTGAGAGAGAAAGAGAGTTAGTAAATGAGTGAGTGAGAGAGTGAGGAGTGAGAGAGATAGTAATTGAGTGAGTGAGTAAGTGTGTGTGAAAGAGAGAGTAAGTTAGTGCGTAATGATTGAGTGAGTGTGAGAGAGATAGTGAGTGAGTGAATGAATGAGTGAGAAGGAGAGAAAGTCAGTGAGTAAATTAGTAGTAAATTAGAGAGAGTAAATGACTGAGTGAGTGAAAGTGAATGAGTGTGAGAGAGTGAGTGAGTCAGGATGAGAGAGAGTGAATAAGAGGGAGGGAGAGTCAAACGAAAGATCAAGACCCGCTTAGATTATAGGAATTTTCGAGAATTTCTTTTGTTAACTGAACGAAATGTTTGACTGTCTACATTTTGTTGTGTTAAGTAAACTATCCCTACTGCTTAAAAATAAGTGGAAAAGAGGAAGAAGCAATGAAGAAAATGTTATATAAATTTAAAAAACCGGTTGATATACTGATTTTTTTTTAATTGATGAAGTGTGGTGTTTAAATTTTTTGAACATGTGTATGTAGTTTTTAACACACCCGGTAATCCAAATGTTTCAATAATTCGAATACCCCCCTTCCAATGATGGAATTCGGATTATTGAGAGAGAGCACTGTATTGTTTATCCAATTTGCACATTAAAGGAACCATAGTTCGGGCTTGTTTCTTGTGACACCAAATCAATTTCACTTCACTTCCCTTCTTCAAATCTTTGAGAAAATTTTGTTTTTCGAAATTGAGGAAAAACGGTTGTTGGCTTGGTGGGAGAAGACGGTGGGGCCCGGGAGTATAAAAGCGTCGGGGAAGTTCTGCTGGTAAGTAGTCGGACAAGATGTGGTGGCTTCACTGTGTTATGCTGCTATTTTTGGCGGGGCTCGCGTCTCCAGCGTCACTCGATACCGGTAAGTAATTTTAAGTTTCCTGCTCGGACAAGTTTCCTTTTTCTATCCGACTGACCCAAGAGCACCGTTCGTCATACATATCTGCCTGACAGCCGACTCATTCCAATCTGTGCGGCAAGATTTAGCGCCACAATTAAATCTGATTGATTTTTTGTTAAATAGTAGCATAGTAAATTTTTCTGGGAAGCTATGCTACTGTAACATTATTGATGATGGCCTATGAAAAACTTCAGCTTAATTCAAAGGGCCATCCTCTTATTTTCTTATCAGTTGAACTTCTGCAATGGACAATTTCAAATTTAAGGCTTGAGCTACGTCAGTAGAAAAAAAGATTAAATTTTCCCCTAAAACCAACAATCTGAAAGTTCTCTAGATTTTTTTCCTATAAATGATCTCTAAATAGGCTTAAGTTGCATTAACTAATATTTTCGTTCACTTATAACTACAAACTTTGTCTGTTTTTAATATTGTTAATATTATTACTTATTAGAGCAATTTACCTGAATAAGTCGAAGGTTTTGGTTTTCTCATTTTTGGAATTTCTGTTTAGAAACGGTTTGAAATGAGTATAAAACTTACGATTATTTCCACGGCATTTGCAATTATCATTTTAGACTTCTTAAATCGACAAGACTGATGCACCCTGAATTATCTAATTGTCAGTAATAATATTATTCATGATTTTATTGTTATTATAAAGTTCATTTCAGTCCTGCCTGAGTATACTTTATTTTAAGTGTTAGATTTATCGACTATTTTTTTACTCAGGAATAAATCTATCACGGTATGGTATTGATGAAAAAGTAAATTAAATTGTTACTTCCTGGGTAACCATTTTAAGGTCATCATCAAGGCAAAACAATCATAAATACGTCTAAAAATCGATATAATTAAGTTTTTAATAGAAGATTTTCAAATTTCTTTGAACAACGATACAGTCCCAACATTGCCAAGAACTGTGAGTATATCACAAGGTTTCAAAAATATAATTAAATCAATTTGTCGAATTGAAATTTAAAATAGGTCGAAAGCTTGGCAGTAAAAATTGGATTTGTTTTTTCATCAAGATCGTACAGTGATTCAGATTTTTCGCGGGTATATTTTAGCTTTGTTGCAACATATTTTCAATGTTTTATTATTATTTATTTTTAAACCTCCAAGAAAAAAATATAATGTATTCATCCGAGGTCGTAATAGCATGTTAGAATAAATCAATTAAATGCAAGATATTTAAATATCACAAGTTACAATTAGAGAGAAAAAAAAAACAATCATCCTGATAGGAAAAATACCCATTTTCAAAAAACCTCCAAGCTATCCTCGAAAATTGTATCACGTGTAATTTTTCATTGCAGGAAAATGGATAATTTGACTAAATGCATAATCGACTAGAATTTAAAAAAAATTTGTACCCTTACTGTTCGTCACTGAAACTCACACAAACGTAGATATTTTAATTTGACAAAAATCCCAGAGCGGCACAGTTGGCACATTTTCAAAAATCGGACGATTTATCACTTATTTCCGAGTTGGAATTCTACATGAGTGCACACTTTTAAAAATAAAATTCTGTTAGTTTAATTATTTCGATGGAAGCGACATTAATCTCGACCATTTGCATCTTTACACCGGTTATTTAACAAGCTTACATCTCAAGGATAATAACTCTTTCCATCAATCTTGGTTCATAATGAATTCGTTGTTTTTTTATAAACCTTTTCGCCCACATCGGATTCTCTTTTCTATGTATAAATAAATAAAACTTGTATTTTAACATTTCCCAGATTTTACCCTGACCGACAATCGTACCATTTCTTCCCCAATCTCTCTGTGTACGTTCAACAACGGTTAAAAATACGTCTGGTTTTTATTTCTTATAAAGTTGTACAAATAAGTCCTAGAATAAGCTGCCCAACTAAAACTTAATATACTTGCAGGAATAATATCAAATAAATTATACCTCAAAATGAAATTCACTGGGTGTCGTCGCAGTCGAATAGTTAAAATATTTTATGTTTATAAAGCTCAAAATAAGGTAAAATAAAGTAAAAGTTGTGAAATACATACTATTATAGAGATAAAAATAACACAACGTGTCTTTTTAAGTATTTACTTAAAAAAAGGATCAGATCGACAGACTGAACTAACCCCACTTCCTAACCTCCTTTCATCATCATCATCATCAATAAGTATTTCAAAATTTAATATGTAAAAATTAATCCTTGGTATGTCGTGACGTTTTGTTATGTGGTGTGAAGAGACGTTAAAATTGAACGAAATCTGTTTGATGTAACAACTGTGTAACAAACACTGATCAAGCTGACTGACTCATTCACTCAACGACAGTTGAAACAAGAATAAGCCTTTAATAATGCCTATTTAGGTCACTGCACTCTTCTCGGGAATAGGAAATATCTTCTTCTCTGATATTTGAATATGTGCCAACTGTACCGATCTGGGTTTTTGTAAAATTTAAACAAAAAAATTTATTTTATTTAGGGTTAATTTTGAGTAATTATCATGTGATGAGTCTCTTACAAAATATTGGGCTGCCCGGAAAATAATCCAGGTTTATGGTTATAAAATAAAAACAATTAAATGATTATAAACCTTTTTTATTAATTAAAATACCCTCCATCACTCTCAATACACTGATGGCAATTTCTCTATACCCTCAGAATAGAATTTTGAGCCTTTGTTATTAACAAATTCTGTGAACGCATTTTCTAACCACATTTGATCAATAAATTTTTTATGTTATATATTGTTGACTAAGTGTCTGAAAAAATGGTACTCGGTAGGCGAGAGGTCTGGAGAATAGTGTGTTTTCGTGCTGTAACATGTTAGATGTGGCTGGGCTTTGTCGTGAAACAGAATCGGCCTTTTCTGATTGACCAAAGATGTCAATCAATGGCTTCAATAATGCCAATTTCTGGTGGACATTTCGGCAATGATTGTTTCGCCAGGATTCAAGAAGCTGAAGTAAATCAGCCCAAATGAAGCCCACCGAAGAATCGCGATCGCCTTTTTCTAATGAGTTGGGTGATTTGGAAAATGTGGTGCTGTTTCTGTCGATACACTGTCCAGAACGTCTTCTGTTATCTTAGAGAATCCACTTTTGATCACAAGTAACAATTCTATCCAGAAAAGGTTCGTTTCTGTTTTGGCGAAGAAGTGTTGCGCAAACGATGATTTTTTTCTGACTTTTTCACCTTTCCAACTGGCTTAAGATGGTCAGCTATGGTCTATTGGCTAACTGAAAGATTCTCTGCAAGTTCTGTAATAGTTGTTCTGGGATTTTCTTCGACCAAAGCTCGCAGAACATCTTTATCTAGGGAAGAAATCCTTCCACGACCTTCTTTGTCTTCAAGGCTAAAGTCTCCCGCTTTTTAATTTTTTAATTTTTTTAATTACGTTTATTTATTAAAACTGGTTTATTAGACCAACCATTAATTTTACAATAATATTATAGAATAAATAAATGTTTACATTTGTTACAAACCCATTGGTACAATAAGATTTTCATTTCACTATTCATTTTTAACTACACAAGTTTATATGGCTTTCTTTTTTTTATTGTTTTTTTACAAGGGTTTGCAACAGCAGATCATATCAACCCTCAGGGTAACGGTGTTTTTGAAAAAAAAGCGGTGTTGTAAGTATGTCGGGTTCGAATGCGGGGCAGCTGGATTCGAATCCCTATTTAAGTCCTTATCCCTTACGTACCAAGGTGCATTGACCATGTTACGTAAGATTTTATTTTGGAGTGTTTTTTATGATTTTGATATTGCTGTGTTTGGTACAACCCCATAGTTGATTATCATATGTTCACATAGGCTTTAGGATTTGTTTGTATAATAATATTTTATTTTGTATAGCTAGGTTGGAGCCACGCCCTATCGTTGTCTATACCTTAAACCTATATCGCTGTATGGTAGTTCTAGGTTTTTTTATATTTTTTTTATTTTTTTAAAGATTAGATGAACTGATTTATGGTGATTTAGCTTGATTTTTCATTTTTTTGTCCATTCGTTTATCTTATTACAAGCATTTTGAAGGATTTTGGTTGAATACCGGTTAGAAAAAAAAGCAATGGGGAAAAGAAACTGCCACTCCTATTATTTTAGAATGCGATGCAACAGCTCAATGAAGATATAACCTAGGGTACGAAGAAGACCCAGAATAAACATTTGTTTCAATAACTGTCAATGACCTTCTCCTTCTTACCTTTCTTTCCCTGAAATTGTAATCACTAGTTGCGTAGATTTAACTAAATTGCAAACGGAAAAACTATAACTAGTTTGAATCGCACCATTGCATACAAATTGGTAACATTCAAATTTACATATATTTTGTTGTAATACGAAATGTTGCCTGTCTAAGTAAATGCTTCTTACTCAAAACTGAGAACAACAATTATTCATGAATAGCTGTTTTGTCTCAAAGAAATACTCTTCAACCTGCCACCTACCTCATTGACCAGTACTGCCGAGTCATTGAATAGTGTCTTTCCCAAACTTGCTCATTTCCGCTCAGGGTAGCGTTCTGCCCCCACACTTTACCATTTGTACAGAGCTAACATACACCTTGAACTTTGCAGACGATACAGCGATTAAATCAAGCAACTATATTCTGCCGTTTCCACACAACTACCGGAATCTTAGAATTCAACCTAGAAAAACCCATCCACACTTCACTCCCCACAAAAAGATTCTTCCTTCAGTTTACTTCCATAATATACCCCTTCCCAACTGCGGACAGGGTGCCGATTTAGCGAATCGACACATTTTTACCTTAATCCACTTAACTAAATTCCCAAACACGAGTAAAACGCCAAGAGGTTGTGACATGAACAGAGCTTATGAAGTAGACGATTTTGCATTTCACTCTTTATCCAAGGTTCTGGACCTTCCCATTGTGTCCGAGCTTTGCTAATGGTTATCGTGTAAAATTTTCGTTTCTTCAATAAAGTACACAATTCTTCTTGGGGTGTGTTATCG